CATATCATGAATGTAATTAAAAAAGTGCTCAATTACAAAAGACACACTCATTCATTTGTCAGCAAATCTATTATCAACATCGTTGCGTTCATTGCACCTTTCTTCAGTCCAAGAACTTTTATAGTTCAGGAATATTGTCACTATTTTTGCCCAGAACTCTCTTAACTGTGCAGTAGTCCATTTTTCTTCTATTAATTCCCCTATTACAAGCTTTTTCATTATGTAACAAACAAACACACCACAGTAGACATTGTGTTATATGTGTAGTTAATATCATTATATGCAGTGATTCCCAAAAAAAAAAAAAATTGGAAATTACGTATGAGTTAAATTTTTGTTGTGAATAATTGTCATATGATACGATGGATAGCACTTTGTTTTGTGTGTCCAAGAGGATGCCCATTGCTGTTTGAATCTCTAAAATCTTTTACATAATTTTTCTGTTACATGAATGAACTTGTTAGTTATTGAAATGATTTTGAAAAACATTGACAATATATGATAATGATGTTGCGGTTTACCAATATCTTTGCATCTTCAAGCCAAGTATCAAGGCCACCTTTCTCTCTTGGCCTAAAGGAGTTGTAGTGTGTCCAAATCCCATTTTCAATGTCTAACACAAGCAATGTCCAGTGGGAAGGAACACGCTCAACACTTTCTACTGTTATGCCATGATCTGAATTGAATTTGATAGATTATGGAACCGTTGAGTAATGACTTGCACAGACAGCTCGCTAATCTGGTCGATCAGTTCTCCATTCTATACTTCAAGTTGTGTCATTTCAGCTTTTACATCTTCATTTTCTTTCTTCATAGATTTCACCAGATTCTCTAACTCGGTAATTTGTGTATCTTTTTTAACCAGGTTTATCATGAACTCGATGACTTTTTTTCTATGACAACATCATTTGAATGTTCATCCACTTGTTTTTTTTTTATTTTTTTCATTCCTTTCCATGCTTTTGATCACCTTTTTCAACTCTTCATTTTCTGTTGTTAGCACCCCAATTCTTTATTTATTAATTGAATTTTTTTGTATCTCTACCTATACACAAGTCAGATCATTATCACCACATGCTTCTGTCTTTTCAAACTTTTTTCACCATCTCTTTGTGTGTACTCAAAACTCACAACATCGAGCAAGGTTTCAAAGTTCTCGGTTTGATTCTTATTATATCCATAATATCGTCATTAGCATTAAACAAGGCTTCATCATCACTGTAATGCAATTTGTCATCAACTATTTGTTATGCATCTTGTTTTTCACCCACTGTTCCTTCTTCAATGGACTCCTACAAGTTTGTTGCTTCTACTTCTACTTCTTTGTGAGTTCCAATCATTGGTTTTATGTGCCGAAGTGTTTTGATTAAATATCGCTCTTCCTTGGTTTTTTTCAATCTTTTTTTTTCAAAACCTAAACATGTAAATGAAAGTTACAAATTAACAAAGTAACATTATAATAGTTTCACGATATGTTGTCATTATGAATAAAGAGAACAAGTTATAACAGTGTCACAAATACACCATGTCAATTTAAGCGTATTCACTTCATAATAATTAACTATACTCATTACAAAATAGACATGCTGAATTTTTTGCCGCTTCCCTTATTTGATAGTCCTTTGTAGAGTTGGCAATTTCCACTTTAGGAATTTTGAAAATGTGTTTGGCTTTTCAAAACTTATCAATGTTGTGTGCTCACAAAGACAGAACTTCAAAAAATAGAAAAAGTGGTCAATACATAATTTTACATGTTCCATTTGTAAGCTAACTAACAAGTTTTGTACAATCAACTTACACGTATAAGATAGACACATCCAGTAACTATTGATGGAGAGATATGGGACATAATCCCATGCAAGTGTGTGCCCCATGTTTTTGAAGAACAAATTTACCAGAAGGTATAGACGTAATAGTCTTGCTACGTCATCATAGTCTTACTATGTGTTCCCATCTATTGCTTATTTCAATCTATTTTTTATTAATGGTGCAGACAACCTATCATCACTTTTGAACCTCCGCTGAACGAATGTTGTTGACTCCTTTCCATGGTTTGCTGCATTTATTGTCTCACTGTCATCTTCAATTTCAAATATTAGAGTGACATCAGTTTTCCTCAATTTGATACTCTTTGCATCAATGCTAAATTTTGATGTTTTGGGGTCGAAACACAAAATTATAGACAGTATGTTGTTGTCACTTATCCTGTACCATGACTTTACAAAATTGTTCTCTATGATACTTTCAAAGATCAACCAAAAAGGTGTTTTCTGCAACGACATTTTGTGTTCTTCTTGCAACACAATTTCATTTATTGTCCTTATGATTGCAAGCATATTTGATTTGTATTGTGCGTCTAATGACTTTTCTTTCACACTTGTTTCAGCAAATTTTATTGCTTCCTTACCAGTTCTACCAGATATTGACCCCACCATATGCCTTGTCAATATTCCCCTTCGTTTCTCCTGGATTTTTTTTCGTTGTTGTGGATCGTGTTTTTGTCATATCCTGTGTTTAGAAAAAATTTAGAGATTTAAAAATAAATTTGAATATTAATGTATCTTGTCACTGTATGTTATATCAGTATGATTTTTAATCTCTATTCAATGATAATGCAATAGTCACATTATGTTGTATATTTAATTTATATATATGAGAAATGCAATTCATTAAATTAGTCGTCCATATACATTGTACCTCTATGGACTAAGTTTCATAACTCTTCTATGAATTTTTCAACAAATACAATGATTACCTAAGCAACAGAGTTATAACTGAAAGAATTCTAAAAGAGTGACATTATAACTTAAACAATGACATTATTTTAAGTTCTAAAAGAGTTCCAACAAAGTGTTACGTGAAATTGCAGCATCATAACGTTTCCACTGTATGTTGTCGGTGTATATAAAATTTTTTACGCATTATTAATTGAATATAAAAGTCAATATATAATGTATCACGACTGTTCCATAGTGTGTTACTAGGTTGTCACCTTCATACCTACTTGGCCACATTAGAATCTCAAGGTAAAAAGTCAATATATGTTGTATTATTATGACTTATCAACAATAGGTTATCAATATGTAGTGTAGCTATATGGATAATCTTCAATACCATCGTGTTACATCATTCTAAATTAACAAATAGTACAAATTGTTATCCCTATTGAAAGATGTAATAGAGTAACTATGTTTCCTAATTGAAAAAACCATCATTTAACAAAATAGGACATCTAATTATATGATTTGATTTTCTCGAAACATAGTAATTACACAATGCAGCATTGAATAGAAATTCAAATGAATTTTATGTATTAGATGTCATTTAAAACACTATCTAAAATATGATGGATCTCATTTAAAAATTAAAAAAAAATTAACAAAACAGTGAACTTTGGGATTTTTGATTTGAGGTTTGTAACATTGAACATAAACTTAAAATGGAATTGTTGTAGCTTATTATTTGTGTAAATAAAATAAAAACTATTATGGATGTCGTTCAAAAAAAATAATTACGAAATCACTCAACAAATTAATACTTCTGATTAGGGGTTTTTGTGTTTAATTTTAAAAAAATAAAAAAAATGAAAAAAATCACAAAACTTACAATTAAAGAGTCATCTGAACAATAACTAGTGAAGAGTCTCTTTATGATGACGCTGGAACCCCTCAACGATGTCAAAACAACTATGACAACTTCAACAGAATCCGTTCAAATTAAAGACTGCAACAACCTTCATCTTTAGAACAATCTTAATCAAACAAAGACAATGCAAATGGTTTGGATTTTTCAGAACTTTTAGTTGAAAGTGGAAGATGTCAGTTGAGAATGTGAAGAGATTTTGCACAATATAAGGGATTCCATTAATCGATTTCTTAAAAACCTGTTTAATGCTTTACTTTTCAATTTTCATTTTTAAATACTTAAATAACATTTTTGTTTTTTCATGTCACAATGGACTTTTGGCCAATATATTTTGCGGACAAGACTTTTTCATCAAAACCTCTTAGATTCTATACCGGCCCACGGCCCACAAAATTCCCAAAAAATAATATCAGATTTGGAAGGGAGCAGGCCTGGAATGAACTGGACTTGAAGGAGCCCAACATTTAGCCCATTATTCTCATAAACTAGTATGAGGCTTGGCCCATTAACAGTCCCCACTCCATTGGCCGTTACTGCGTTACATAGGGGTGCGTGATAAACCAAGTGGCGCATTTTACGAGGCGGCCTCTGCACTAAAAGCGAATGACGTAAGTTTCCATTTTGGGAACTACATAGTCGTGGTTAGCCTAATGCTATTTGAATTTGTGGTCTGACGAGGCAAATCACATTGTAAAACATCATCGTAATCACATTGTAAGACATCATCGTAATTCTCTCTCTCTCTCTCCGGCCTCTTTTGTTACGCCCACTTCTTAGGTGACCAGGTAGATATGCTTATTTGATCAGGTAGATTTTGTTTGGATCGAATTTAAGGTCTTTCAAATTTTAATTTTAATTTAATTAAAAAAATAAAATTTGAATTCAACTTCGATTAAAAATTTTATTACTGAATTCGATCTATTTATCTGTGAATATAAAATAATGTTATATCCAAATTCATTTATAATTAAATACTTGGTTCGATTATTTGATCTAATTTATAATGATATTTCGCTAACCAAAATTCTTATCTAAGTTTCTTTGCCCAATGTAAGTATCTGTCGGCTTATTTTTTTTACAGGTTATGGTAAAAAAGAAAAACGTTATTTATACTTGATTTATCGGTTTAATCAATTTCAATTATTAAATTAGTGACATATTTAAATAAATATTGAAACTCACAGTTGAATCAATGACAGTAATCAATAAAGTCAATAAATTATGTGAATTTGTGATTAATGCTATGTAATCCAAATAACAAATAAAAATTTACCCAAATAATAATAATAATAGCAAAGACATTTGTTTATTTCAATGTGGAATGGCATGTTGGTGTACAAAACAACCGCAACACACCATAGTGCTCGGACCAGTTCTGTTTCCTCCATTTCCATCTGTCTTTATCCACAACATTTTAATCAGTAATCGGACTAGTGTTTTCTCCGGTGCTGCAAACGTCCAAAGCCAGTAGCAAAAAGCTGCATGTCACTCCTTATATTAAGCGCCACAACCAAAACCAAAAAACCCGTCTACTCTTTTCTCTCTCAGCTCAATCTCTGCTTCTTCTCCTTCTCTATCATCTCTTTCTCGGTGTCTCTACAGGTTCGTATGCTATTGCATCGTTTTATTGGTTTGTTGATCACAAATTCCCTTTATTCTCATCCTCTCTGCAACTATTTCAGTTGAAATTAGCTGTGAGCTTTTGTTATTGTGATTCAGAGTTGACAGGCATGAGGAATATTGGGAGAAGAGGAATTCATTACTTGCAGAAGCTGAACGCCGAGAACGTTCCGAAAGATTTGATTGAAAAGGGGCAGACTCGCGTCATAGAGGCCTCACTTACTCTGATTCGTGAGAGGGCTAAGCTTAAGGTAAACCTTGATTTTGTTTTCAATGTCCCAATTTCTTGCTGTAGCCGTATGTCTATAATTTGTAGCTTAGAGTTGAAAATGATGACTCAGTCTGTACTCAACAGAAATCAACATGTTCACACACACACACACATGTATATATATAGTTGATTATCAGTATACATATAGGTGTGTATATTTTACAATCAGTAGATTACTTATTCATCATTTAATTTTGTCTATCATGGGAATAAAATTTTGTGATATCATTTTTCATTGTATTGTTTTCTTGTTGGAAGAATAAGTATTTGTTTATTACTATTAATAGCTGGTTCACCAACATCTAAATCAACTTAATTTTTGTTCAGGGATCATCAAGTTGCTTTCATTTCGTCTAGAAAAATGAAGAGAGGCCTTTACTTGCAACATTGAAAACTGTTTATTTCACATTAGCTTTGTTCACTTTTCATCATCTAGATCCATAATTCTCACTCTGTTATTAGTTTTGCTGTCTGGGTTATCTTCTTTCGTATATAAGCTAAATCAATTGCATATGCGGTTTCGCACATGATGTACAATACCCTTGCCCCTATTGTTGAGTGGTGTGTTGAGCTCGTGTTACTTGATGCCCATGTCAAAGTCAAACATCAGTACGGACTTTGTAGCTGTCATATATTTTTTTTGTCAGCATTATCATAATTACTGTTATGGTGATTATTCTATTATTTCCACTTTGTCTTTAGGGAGAGCTTTTGCGGGCTTTGGGAGGTGCTGCAGCATCAACATCGCTTCTTGGAGTTCCTCTTGGACATAACTCATCGTTTCTACAGGGGCCTGCATTTGCTCCTCCTCGCATACGAGAAGCAATCTGGTGTGGTAGCACGAACTCCACAACAGAAGAAGGTAAAAGCATATGGACATACAATCAAAAATTTCCCTGCATTATCTGATTACTCAGTAATATTATTCACTTGATGTGCTACCTTCTTGCATGTGAAAAAAAGACTTATTTTGGTACTTTGTATGTAGTGAATCATACTTTTGCATTATTATATTCATAATTCATGATAATTGTTTTTATACATCTTCTTGTTCGGGATGAAAGAGAAACACATGAGACCCAATCAAAAAATGGGCTCCGTTGAAATGATCTAGTATTCAAGATAAACGAATTGTATGTAATGAAGCGCCAAAATAAACAAAAAGGTATTGTGCAAAACTTGAAAGCATGCATTTACAATAGCTAGCGTTGTTCTTGACTTCCATTCTACGCATAGGGGATTGGCAACATGAAAAACTTCAAACATTAGCAGCTGTGGAGCAAAAATCAAACTGATGTACTAGTAACAACAACTAAGATACCGGTTGTCAATCTCAAGATGAAAGTGTAATGTGTCTGCACTATTTTGTGTTTGTGATTGTCTTGATTTGTGATGGTGTTTCACATCTGAGTTATGTATATCTTCCCGAATGTGTTTTTTTTTTCCTCATCGTCATTTCATATATTTAGGTAGAATTGAGTCCTTGATATATATGTGAGTCAAGCTGATGCCGGATAACCCTTACTAGCAGGCTGAGAATAAGCATGTGAATTAAATATTTGAGCTATAAATAATGTCTTGTGTGGTAGAAAGGATAGTACTTCATTTTAGCTGATTTTAGAAGAAGGATTTATGTAGCTAACCTAAGTGGGTAAAATTGTGGTTGTGTTTGAGTTGACTTCATTGGAGTCATGATAGTGTACTAAGTGTATATAAGAGTGAGGGAAGTAGGGCTTGTGTTACATAAGGATGGGGGGCTTACAGTCAATTAAAAAAATGTGCAGGTTAGCAAAAATGAAGATTAAGATGAAGAGGCTGGCCAGACATCTTAGAATTCTTATGAAGAATGTGGTCATCAAAGCCTCATCATTAAGTTTGAGTGAAAGAGTAAACAGCGAAGTTTTTGTAACCCGGCGATTTAATTTCCTGTGCCTTGTAGGTAAAGAAGACTAAGGGGGTTAGCTGTCTACTTCAAATTGAAACTTAATAAGAGAGGAGAGTTTTGCGAAGGAAAGGCTTTCTATGTTTTCAACAGGAGTTTCACTAGTTACAAACGGAATGTATAGAGTTAAGAACTACTAAACATAACACCAACTAACTAGGAATTTAAAATTTTCTCTTTGAAATTTCTCCCTCTTAATGCTCCAAAACTAAGTTAGAACATTGGTGGGTTCCCATCCCATTAAAAAATTACATCAGAGAAATATTTAGGCCATTTATTCTGGATCGTTATTTTCTTGTATTGGCCCACACCATTTTCCTTTTTCTCTTTACTCTTTTCATGCTTGAAGGGATGATCCAGACGGCAAAGTGTGGTTTTTTGAATCTACTTCCAGGCTTCATTGCATGTATTACAATTGCACAGTTGCGAATAACATTGTGGCTAAAGGTCTTGTAACTGTAGATAATTTCATAACCACTGCCACCTAATTTCTGTTTACAAATTTAATTATAAAGGGCGCATGAATCATTTACTCATCAAAGTCATTCTTGATGAAGTTTAGGACTATGTATTTTTGTTTCATTGCTTTGTATATTCCTCTATTTTTGTGCGAATAATGTTTTTTGTAAATTTAGGCCCTAAATCAATTTCATCAATGTCTTCTTATTCTTTTCCGTATTTTTTCATGCTCAAAGGGGCCCATTGCTAAATATGAATTTTTTTCTCACGAAGTCACCTCTGGGTTTTCGTCGGCATTGTGAAACATTGACGATTCACTATTTATTACCTGATAAGTTAAATAGAGTGGAAGTAGTCATATATAGGAACATGAATGCTTTTATCTATAACTTTGGCTGGATCCCTACAATTTCAATATTTCTATGGCAACTTACTTATCTGTATGCTTATTTGTGAACTCCAAGATATCTGATGAAGCAAATTCTATGTGTAACATGATGTTGGAACGATGCAGGAAAAGTATTAAATGATCCACGGATCTTGACTGATGTTGGTGATGTTCCTGTTCAAGAGATACGAGATTGTAGTGTAGATGATGACAAATTGATGAGTATAATAAGTCAGTCAGTCAAGCTTGTTATGGAAGAAGTAAGTTGTGTTCTGCTGTAGCTTTCTGCTCTGAGAATTTTCTGGATATTTTGCTGTAAGAAAAATCCCTGAAGAAAATCTTGTATGTTGATCTCGCGGTGTGTGCAATCATGCTTTTATTCTACCACCTTTTTTCTTGCTACTAGGAACTCCACATTGGGTTTTTTTTTGGCCTCAGAGTCTCCCATGGGGTTATTGGAATTCTTTGCTCTATCCCATTGTAGAGGTTGAGCTGACTGTAAGACAGTTTGAGTTGTCAAGCCAAAATAATATCCACTTCTTTCTTTAAGGTTGAAACCGATGGGTAGAAGTTACCTACGAAACCTAATAAATCTCATTTTTTTTTTTGTCTTCCATGATATGATTGCTTGAAGTCATATAATGTAGTCTTCAGTTACTTTATATTTTGGACAAGAACCTTGACTGTTATTATGTTTTCTACCTTTTCAGGAGCCACTGCGCCCTTTAGTTTTAGGGGGTGACCACTCAATATCATTTCCTGTTGTGCGAGCTGTGTCTGAGAAGCTTGGAGGACCTGTTGATATCCTTCACCTTGATGCTCATCCTGATATATATAATGAATTTGAAGGAAACAAGTACTCACACGCATCTTCTTTCGCCCGAATTATGGAGGGTGGTTATGCCCGACGACTTTTGCAGGTATGAGAATCTAAATGGTTTGATTGGCAACTGGACATATAAGTCCAACAGATTCTAGCCTCATGGCAACTAAATCAATGTAATGGTCAGAAGTTGATGATAAGTGAATTTGTCTTTCATAGTTTCATACTCTATCTTCCCTGAATTCATTCAGATTGATAACACTTGCAAATATCTTGCACACATCAGTTGTAGTACTCGAACTCATTGAAATAGAAACTTCCTTTGTGGATCTACAGCTTAAGCTTGGATCTACAGATGAACTTTTTGAGAACCTGGTTCATTTTCCCTCCAAATTCAAATTTTATTATTGCCGGATTCCCCTTTGGTCCCACCACCATCTTTATTGCTCAACTTCAGTAATTACTGAATTTATGTGTTATCCAAGAGAATTACATTATTATCTCTGTTAAACATTTATTTTTTCTTCACTAGTTTGGACATGATGGTAATCTTTGCACTCGGTGTAACTCACAATTTTTTTAATCATAAGTGTCAAATTTGTAACTGTCAGGTTGGTATCAGATCAATAACAAATGAAGGTCGGGAACAAGGGAAAAGGTTTGGCGTGGAGCAATATGAAATGCGAAATTTTTCAAGAGATCGTCACTTCTTGGAGAACCTAGTACTCTCTCTCTCTCTCTCTCTCTCTGTGCATGTGCATGTCCGAGTGTGTGTGATCTCTGCGTACACAGCATTGCATTTCAAAACCGGTCAGTTAATTTTTGTATGCATTTGAGGTAAAGATTGTGGCTAGATCAATTAACAGTAAAGATAACATTACAACCAACCATGTTGTGGTGAGCATTGCAACCACACACCTTTTAAATTCATCCATCATGTTATTAGGAGTAATGAGACTTATAATGTCGCATACTCTAAATAGGTATCAAATTTCATTTCGGTTATCTTTGAGACGAAAATATTTCGGAATTATTTTTGAAGCAAATTGCAAAAGGAGAAAATTTTATTTAGCTTTGTTTCCGAAACATTCTAAAAACATTGGTCGAAACATACCGAAAACACCTTGAAACATAGGCTTTTGATATTTAAACATTGGTTCATTTCGATTTCCATGGAAATGGAAACGTTTCGGCGAGTTCGAACGAAATCTTGATCATTGACTCAACGTTGCAAGAATTTATTACATCTGATACTAACAGATCCTGCAACAAACCGGTCACCATGAGCCTGCTCCTTGTAATGCAATAAATTACTTTCTACTTTTCACAACCAATCATCTGGAGACTTTGGTGACCTTGGGATTAGTTAAATTTTTTAGAGGAACTGGAAATTTTCTCAAGCTTCAATGAAGTTTCTGCAGAAACTGTATTACAAAGCATTGAAATACTACATTAGTATGAAGAGAACCATTGTCATGTAAATTAGTTGAGATAACATTGTAAGTATTATGCCTTAATATGTTACAATGCCTCGAAACTTTTTGGGTATAACTGAATTAGTTATGGATTCCAACTATTTCACTAGCTTCATGAAAAGTTAGATCTGCAGAAGGGGGTTTGGTAAGTCATGTTGGTATTTATTACCATATTCGTCACTGATCCTGTAACCCTCTGAGAGTCAAAATATAAAGATAGTGGCATAGATAAAGTATGCAAAACACATGTATTGTGTCCTAATTTGTAGTTGCTTACTCTTGTCTGTGACAGAAACTTGGTGAAGGTGCGAAAGGCGTGTATATTTCAATCGATGTGGACTGTCTTGATCCTGCATTTGCTCCCGGGGTATCTCATATTGAGCCAGGTGGTCTGTCTTTCCGTGACGTTCTCAACATCCTTCACAACCTTCAAGCTGATGTTGTTGCTGCAGATGTGGTTGAGTTCAACCCACAACGTGATACTGTCGATGGAATGACTGCAATGGTTGCTGCTAAGCTGGTCAGAGAACTGGCTGCAAAGATTTCCAAGTGAAAAACTGAGCTTCCCAACTGAAACAACTAAAAGTTTGACCAATTGAACTAGCTTAGAAGGGTTTGAATTACATTTTTGCCAGTGAGTCGGATGATTTTGACACAGCTTCAATTGCAAAGCTATTTTTGTAGCTTGCAACGGGGACTATTATGTACTTCGTCCTAGTCGAAATAAGTTGAAATAATAATGCATAATTTAGTTTGCTTTACCATGATCTAAGTTGAATAATCAAATTTCCACCGAGTGGGGTGATTTAGAGAGATACCGGCTTAACTTTTCATATTGAGGTTGGAGTAGAGTGTATATTAGAGTTCGGTAGTTGATCGTTATATTAACTTAGTTAAATTCATTCTTTAGAAGAGTAACGGATGTGGTTCGAAATTTCATGATCCCACCGGTGAGAGGGTTTATCAAAATGGTCTTCGAACGCTTTTTTTTTACCTCCATTCATTTTTTAACCAGCAAAAAGAAAAAAAAATGAAGAATCAAATTTGTCTGCTTTTGTGACAGGTGAAAAATTAATTTTGATAAGTTAGGTCCATTTGTTTCCAACAAATTTCCTAGTGGTCACGGAACTTGAGATGGCTCTATTAAAAAGATTGGCGGTTTTGACCGAAACATCAACATTAAATCAATTTTAAAGTTTGGTAACTTGAAAGACACTTTAGCTTTAAAAATTTTGTGATGGAGATTAAAAGTTTAATATTGCAAGTATAATTTCATTAAATCATAAAAATATATTCTTTTTTACTCATTGTTTGTAAGTTCAAGTCTTAATGAACAAAAAAAAAGTCTCATATCGGGCAAAAAGGGAAATAGTACTATCATTTAAAGGAATTCATAAATGCAATATTAGATTTTTAATCTATGAAGAATGAAAGTGAAAATTTTAAATTTTTTTTTTATCAACACTATTACAAAGATAATTACAAAAAGAGGACCGATGAAGTTCGAATTCATGACATTAAGGTCCAAAGTCATTAGACCAACCTCAAAATCTTAAAATCATTAAGGGGTAGAATTTCATTAAACCTAAAGGATAAAATACATTTTAATTTTTAAAATATGCGTTTAGTGTTTATTTAGTCTTTAAGACTCTTAATTTGTATTTATATAATCAAATTTCAAAAATCTATTAAAAAATTGTTAACACGTCTAGTCACACGCCAATTAATTTGAATAAAATAGACACAATTTAAGAATTTTAAAAACCTAATAGACACATGATTAAGATTATCACGATGTGTGATCAAAATAGATTGAATGGTCACGATTTTTTAACATACATTTGAAATTGGACCACTTAGATATAAATTAAGAATTTTAAAGACCAAATAGACATTAAATGGGGACTAAAAATATATTTTACCCAAACCTAAATTGAAATGAAAATTTTTAGTTTGGGACTGAATTCAAATTAGCAAAGTAAAGGGGTCAACATCATTTTTCATCCAACAGAAGAATTCTTGGCGGGAATGAAACCGCGAAGAGTTCAATAAATTACACAGAGAGAGAGAGAGAGAGAGAGAGAGAGAGAGAGATGGAAGTGTCGAGATTACCGCTATCAGCGTCACAGAGAGGGAAGCTGATATACGCAGGCTACACTTCTCTCTCTTCACTTTCCTCTGTCTCCTCCTCCGAACTTGCTCGAGGTAAGTGTTAATCTTTCGCACATCAACTGCTTGATGTTATTCCAATTTGAATTCTTATGGAAAAAAGTGTGCCTCATCGTTTCCTAATTCTGCAAATGATTTCCACATTTTTACATCTGTAAATATGAATTTTACATATATGTATATTTGACAAATGCTGTTTTCCTTTGTGTGTGTGTGTGTGAGAAGTAAATTTGTGAATGTGAGAATCTTCTCCATGGCAGCGTTGTTTTGTGCGGTTTGCAAAGAAGAATTTCTAGTGTGATTTGATTTCTTTAATTTGTTCTTTTTTTTTTTTAAACTGGATTTCTTTAATTGTCTCTCTGTTATGTGTTTTATGTAGATCTAAATGTTTCGGAGACTGAAGCACTTGAGATTCTGAAGGTTGCATCATATAGTGGTTGGTTGGACGGCACCAGTGGAAGTCATGCTATTGTCAATGGTGAGTACTCTCTCTCTCTCTCTCTCACTCACTCACTCATCTTTTTAGGTATATGAATTGATTATTTCAGAATCTTGAAGGAGGTTTTTGAGTTTCGAATCTTTTGTAGGTGCACAGACTGCCTGGGACATGCTGCATGAGGAGGAATTGTTGAGACGCATTACCACATCTTCTGCAGATTTGGATGACATTCTGGGTGGAGGCATAAGTTGCAAAGAAGTCACTGAAATTGGTTAGTCATTGTCACTTTTTTGTTTTATTATGTGGGTGTTGATTCATACCATTTGGATGCTATTGTTTTGGGTTCAGTAAATGTGTTCACGGACTAAGGTAATGTAAAACTATCGTTTTTCCTGATCTTATTAGGTGGAGTACCTGGCATCGGTAAAACACAACTGGGGTATGGATTGTTATCATCCAGTTTCATCTGTGTTAAATTGCTGTTTACATTGCTCCTAATGTAGAATAGTATATACAGGATTCAACTTGCAGTGAATGTTCAAATTCCTGCTAATTATGGTGGTCTTGGAGGCAAGGCTATTTATATAGGTAAATGTCATTACTTCATGACTGGCCCTTATGCATCTTTTTTTCTTCTTAACCCTCTTACCATATTTTTAGCTTAAAATATGATGCTTTTGTGAAGCTTAGATACAGAAGGCAGCTTTATGGTGGAACGTGTTTTACAAATTGCGGAAGCATGCCTGGAAGACATGCTAGACTATGATGTTCTTCTGCATAAGGGTGTTCAAGCTTGTCAAGTTAAAATGCAGCCTAAGGATTTCCTTGCCAATATATACTATTTTCGCATCTGCAGTTACACAGAGCTGATTGCCGTGATAAATTATTTAGAAAAGTTCATCTCAGAGCACAAAGATGTAGGTATAGGATGCATTTGTTGATTTGGATTATTTGCAATCAATCCTCTCAGCAATATTTAGTTGCCTGGTGCCTATATCTTTAACAATTGAATGTTGGTTCTCCTGATGACCTCATATCACATGTTCTGACATTGACAAAATCATGTTTCACAGTCAAAATTTTCCCTGCCCTAAAAGCTGTTAGATTTGCCTTTAAATTTTGGTAAATAACAAGGATAAGAAATTACTTAATGGACTAGCATCTTCTTGGGCTGTTTCTGCCAGATGCCAGTAATCACTTCCCATGGATGTGGGGAAGTATAGCAATCACAAGCTGGAGATTGACATCAACTTTACATATATATTATGTGTACTTGGATGATTCCTCTGTTATTACATATGTCCCCTCCTTTTCCTTATTATGGCTAAATATTATCAATGAACATTCAGACCCCATTACATCTGCCGTTCTTACCTCGTTTTTATGTGTACAGAGGCTAGTTATCTTACTACTATTTTATAGTTCATGCAGTATGTATGTTGCAAATGGCTCACATAGTTGTTTTTTTGTTTCTGCCTTTTGTTTTCATAGGTTAAGGTTGTCATTGTGGATAGCATAACTTTCCACTTCCGTCAAGATTTTGAAGACATGGCTCTTAGAACTCGACTACTAAGTGGAATGGCCTTAAAGTTGATGAAGCTTGCTAAAAAGTTTACTTTGGCGGTAAGAATGTTTATGTTCTCCTTGTACATACTTGATGCCAATCCCAGTTGATCTACGGCAAGTTACATCGAATAAATTTGTAATCTTATGGATTACTTCCCCCCCCCCTGTTTTTCTTCATTTTTTTCCTTAAATATTTGAACTTGCTGTAAGGTGAACCAAAGCTCCTTAACAGAATCGGTTTGTATGCTGCAAACAAGCTGAGCTTATTTGACTCCTTGATACTCTTTGAATTTCTTAATGCATTACCTGTAAAATCTGCTTAAGAAATTTCAGCTACCAAATAACTGGTGAATTTGCATGTGTTGTCATCTATCTATACACGAATTTGTTTATCTCTTTATTTTTTTAGTTAATTCGTTATTGGTAATGTTTCGAGCAGGTGATTCTGTTGAATCAGGTGACCACTAAGTATTCAGAAGGTTCATTCCATTTAACTCTCGCACTAGGTAACATACATTCTCAATATGCTTCTCATTCTGACTTGGTGTTCCACCTTCCTTTAGCATGGAGTATGTTAACGGGAACTAAAAGAACAGAAAAAAAACCTCCAGCTTGAATTCCTAGTTTAGTTTCCGTGGTCACTCTTCTCCTTGCCATAATAAGTTTGTATTATATCATGCTGAACAGGTGATAGTTGGTCGCATGCCTGCACCAGTCGGCTCATTTTGTACTGGAACAGCAATGAACGATATGCATATATTGACAAGTCTCCCTCTCTTAGATCTGCATCCTCACCATATTCTGTGACAGGTAGAGGCATCCGGAACTCCACTTCAAACTGTAAACGAATCAAAATGATGTGATTTTTCCACTTAAATGAGGGGGAGGCTACATATAAGTTTCCATCTTGTTTCTTTTGCTTGGATGATACATATCAATCAATGAATGTCTCTCTGCCGATAAAGGCAGTCCTTGCCAACTGGGCTAGACTTTGGCTTTCAATATGCATTTGAATAACATTTTGCAACTGTCCCAATATGTGAACCATAAAAAAAAAAAAAAATTCAAATCTTGGTTGTTTGAAATTTTTTAATATTGAGGATACTCCTTCATAGTCAAGAGATTAAGTGGATGTAAACTTTCAAGGAATATTATAACTTTAGATCATTGGATTAATTGCATTGGATGAGCTGACTTCTGATGTGAACTTATATTGCTGTTATCCTTTGTCCTTTCCTTTTGCCCCTTCATCTCTGCTGCTCTAATTGCATCTTGATGCAACTCTAGTTTTCTTCCCTGATGTTGTCTTAGGGTGTTGATGCTTTTGCTGTTGACTTTATAATTGTTGTTGACCTATTTTAGTTAATAATAATGTTACAAGGGTCTAATTTATTGATATAATACTGACTTAATTCATTAAAAATAGCGAGTATGGAATTTGATACGTATATTTGGGGTTCAAAAAAAAAATTTAGAATCGCTTAAAAATTTCAAAAAGCCTTTAATTTTAAGACAATTTTAGGTATGGAATGCGAAATCAATAGAGTTTTTGTTTAGCTTTGATAAAAAAATTAACTTGATAGGTCTCTTAAATAAACAAGTTAACATAAATCCGACTAAACACGAAACAAATTTAATAAATGTGATTTATATGTAATATAAATTTGCTATACAAGATTATAAATAGAATGAGTATAAATTGAGTCAATTCTAATATGACACAACTAAATGAACGTTTTTTTTATTACCTTTATTTTTTCAATCTTACCTATTTTTTTTTTTATATAAATATTAAAAAAATGAGTTATCTTAATACATAATATTTTATGTTAAATGAGACTTTTGTTTCATCTTGTTTTCTTAAAAATTGCAAACAATCTTTCGATGAGTTCTTTAATTATAAGATCCCTTTAAAGAATATTTTAGAGGATTCTAAAAAATATTTTTTATTTAAACCTTCTTCAATTAACGTTATGAAATATATAAGAAATATAAGTAGAAGACTAGATATTTGAACAAAAGATTCTAAAAATACCATAAATATATAATATTTGACAATATTATAGTCATTCATAATAAGACCAAAAACCTATATATTGGTAGAGTTTTCATTTGCAAGAACCAAACAACTTTGAGCATCGTACTATATATATATATATATGCACGATGTGCATTGTATGTAAATATATTTTTATAATAATTTTTTTATATAAAGTTTAAAATTATATGTGTGATTAAATTAAATAATTTTTATTAACTTTATTTTAATCATTGTCAAGCTTAATTATTAATTTATTCTATCGCTCTTCGAGTATCTAATCTATCATCTGTTTAGATATCTCTTCGACTCCTTAGATATTTTCCTCTTGTTTATAATGAATTTTTATTGTAGGATTGCCATTATTGAATATTTGTACATTTAATTATATTTTAAATTTATTATATTTTTGTCAAAAAAAGTTGATTAAATTACAATACTAGCATTTGTATTATAATAATATGATATTGTTATATATCAAAAAATCAACTATAACATATATTGGATAGTGAAATAATAAAATATAGCTTGTACTTTATTTTTTGTGTAATACTTAGATTACTTAAATTTAAAATGTTATATTTAAACAAAAAATACTTCAATTAAAGATAGAATATCAATTATTTTAAATTTTATAACTAAAATTCATATTCTATTATGACATTTATTGAAATAAAATTAAAATTAAAATTAAAAAATTATTTTTTCTTAAAAAATCATAATTAGTATACAATTAATGAAATAATATATATATATATATTTTTTTTATTTTATTTTAATAAATGACATAAATAGAACATGAATCTTGGTTATAAAATTCATATTCTATTATGAATGACTTAAACTTCTTATTTGATATTTTAGTTTTATTTTAATAGATAGTATAATTTTATACTAATTATAATTTTTTATTTTTTATTTTATTTTAATAAATGATATAATAGAACATGAATTTTGGTTATAAAATTTAAAATATTTTTTGTCTAAATATAATATTTTAAACTTAAAGAGTCTAAATATTATATGTTTATAAACTTCAGGAGGTCTTAGTGTAATTTACTAATAGATATAATACCATATTAACAATAAGGGTCTAAGTGTTTCGTGTGTACAAATTTCAGAGGGTCTATGTGTAATATTTACAATGTCAAAAAATTTGAATGATTAATTGACAAACCTCAGAAAGTTTTTGACGTAATTCTCTCATACATATGTTATGCATATTATTATGGGTATTCAAATATTATTAGAACTTTGAGCATTGTACCATATCTCCAATGCATATATTATTAATACATTAGGATAGTATCACTATTTTTCTTAGGATGAGTAATATTATTTGAATTTAAGAATCTCACATAATTTACTGATTAATGATGTGACTTTATTAGAATCATTAGATTAACACTAAGTTTTAATGTTTGACAGGGTTCACAGTCAATTTAAAGGACATAATAAATTAAGTCAATAAATTAGGTTTCGATATACTATAGAATTGTCATTATGCAGCGAAGATAGCGAGGTGATTAAAAATTTATTGCCAATGAGATGAGTTTTATATGCAAAAATAAGGAGATATTATGAGAATGGGAGTTTCAAGAATTTATCTTTTTAAATAAATAACATGGAAATGAATTTAAAATATTAATATTATTTATTTATATATTTTTTAGAGTTAATCTCATTTTGCACTCCGAAAGATCGTTCGAATCTCAATTTACACCCTCAAAGATTAAAAATTTCAATTTGCACCCTCAAAGATAAAAAATTATATCAATGTACACCCCCAAAGATCAAAAATTTCAATTTGCACCCTCGAAGATAGAAATTTGTATCAATGTACACCCCCAAAGATCAAAAATCTCAATTTGCACCCTCAAAGATAGAAATCTGTATTAATGTGCACCTAAAACTAAATTGATAAATTATACCTAGATCCCCTCATGTTTGTCACTTAATCATTTGAACTCTTTCACATTTAGAATATTACTCCTACATCTCATGACGTTTGTACATGTGTAAACATAACCACTTTTCGTTGATATCTATTAATATAATCGTTAAAAAATATGATTTTATCCTAATAAAAAATTATAATTTTATATTACCCTTTATTTTGTAGATTCGATATACTCTAAAGTTCAAAACCAAGCTTACCATTTGAATGTCTAATAGAATGTAGATATTTATAAAAAAAAAATATGAAAAACATTATATAAATATCTACATTTTATTAGACATTCAAATGGTAAGCTTGATTTTGAACTTTATAGTATATTGGACCCATAAAATAAGGGTAATATGAAATTATAATTTTTTATTAGGATAAAATTATATTTTTTAACGGTTATATTAACATATATCAATGAAAATGAGTTACATGTTGTACGTGCATAAATGTCTTGAGATGTAGGAGTAATATTCTAAATGTAAAGAGGTCCAAATGATTAAGTGACAAACATGAGAAGATCTAAGTATAATTTATCAATTTAGTTTTAGGTGCATAATGATACAAATTTCTATATTTGAGAGTGCAAATTGAGATTTTTTATCTTTGGGGTGCACATTGATATAAATTTCTATCTTTGAGGGTGCAAATTGAGATTTTTGCTCTTTGAAGGTGTAAATTTAGATTTGAACTATCTTTCGGGGTGTAAAATGAGATTAACCCTATTTTTTATTTTTGAGATGCAAAAATTCAAATTTAACTTTTGTATTTAAATTAATAGAAGTTAAATTTTAAGACTAAAATATAATAAAAATATAGAGAAGCATCCAGTAAACCAATTTTTTTTCCTTTTCCTCCGTCACTTCTCTCGCTCTCTCTCTTTCACCGGCGCCACCTCCACCGCGCCACAGTCTTCCTCTCCCAGGTATCCCTCTTCTCTTCTTCTGTCTCATACACGCAGATAACACTCCAGCTCTCGCCCTTCTGCACACACACGCTCGTCACAAACAAAATACACCAAACACAAACTGCCCACCATATGTTTGACAGAAGTTCTCAGAGAGTTATTACTAAGTGTGCCCACACACACGTAGCAAACACCCACGCAACAGGCACAGAATGCACACAGAACATACACACAGCATAAAACACAGCACACACAGTGCACACGCAGCAAACACAACACACATCACACACAACACATAGTGCACACACACATAACACGCGCACAAACCCCTCTTCATCTCTACCTCACCCTCTCTGTCTTGATCCAAATTCACTAAGGTAATCGATTTTGTGTCAAAATTCCCTTATCTATCCCGTCGGTCCTGGCACCCACACAAGACACACACACAAACACATATTTGCGCAAACACCCGCACCAAACCCCTCTCTGTTCGCACCTTCCACCTTTCCCATGTTCAATGAAAACTCTCAGAGAGCTATGGAACATCCAAGATTGCCCATATTGGGGTCTTCACTTTCTTGATGTTCTGGGTTTCATTTTTTTGTTTATATTTTGTGGGCTTTCAGATGTTTACAAAAGGGTGAACCTAATCTTCTCTTCTTGTCTGTGCATTATGTAAATGCAGGGAAGTGCTGTGGTTCTATTTGAATTTTGGGATTTGAGCTAAGTGTTGCCCAAGAAAACTAAATGCAAGAGGAAGTTAGGGGCTTATTGGTGAGACTTTGCTCATCTCTATTTCCCTATGCATATATACTCATTTACGGAGAAGTTGGTTTTTTTTTTTTTTCATTTTTTTAGGATTTTTCATAACTTTCATATACTCATTTACTGAAACCTTTGAAGTGTTTGCATTAAGAGGTTTTAGTTTTTTATTTTCATAGCTTTTTATGAAAAATTAGAACGGTGATTTTGTTGGAGGCGAATTGTTGGTCAAACATGCTAAGCATTAGAGCTCCGGCTACTAAGAAAAACACCGCCCTTACAGTTAGTTAAGGGTGTAGTTTGGCTTTTTTATTTTGTTAACGTTATCATTGATGGTATTTTATTACCGTGATCTTATCGAGTTTTTGCCCATATGTAGTTGTAAAAGAGGATAGAAAATAAGCATTTATGATAAGAGTAGTTTTGTTGCAAGTACTTACATGTGATGTGCTTAGGTTTCGGGTTTGTCGCTTTTTTATTGATTTTTGATATCTTTTGTTCGATACATTTCATTATTATGTGGTTTGGGTGGTGGTGAAGAACGTATAATGTTGGAGAAAGGTGTTGAACTGTTGATTGACCTCCTCATGATCGTCCCAATTTTATGCTCCTCATGAAGGTATGTTGAATCTTCTATTTAGCTCTCATTATTTTTGCTTTCTTTTTTGTATTGTTTAATTTTCTTAGCAATCGAATGGACAAGGGTTTCTATTATACTAGCACTTGTGTTGATGGTGTGCTAGATTGATTTATCGGTTCTTTTTATGATTGTAAATTTTGAGAAGATGATGATGTAGTTTCAAGTTCATAGTGAAGGATGATAACCACTTTCTTATCTAATATACTTGGTGTTCCCAGATCTTCAACCATGGCAAAGGAATTAGTATCATTAATTCAAGTGCCCTTTACTCCATTCATGATTTTTGCACCTCACTTTTTCTATGCATAAAGGTATGTTAAAATAACATCTCAACGTGATTGGTCATCAAATATTATGCAAACTATAGTAGTTACCCAATTCTTTCAACACCTAGATTTTCTTGAATATTCCATAATACATTGACACAACTTTCTGTTAAAATATAATATCAAAAAAATTAAAAAAAAAAGAGAAGTGGATGAGTATTCATTGTAGTCTTAATTATGAGCATTGGAGCTATAGAGAAATGGGGAAAAAATTGACCTCGACATGTATTAATTCAAGGAACTTGCTGTCTAGGCATGTACCAAAACTATGGTAATACCCAAGGATGACAAACACAAAGCATACCCATATCACATCGATTGAATTTGACAAATGGGTGAAACGAATTTGACTTTGCCATGAATTGAATTTGACAAAAATGGGTGAAGTGAATTTGACTTTGCCATGGATTGAATTTGCCTTTGATTTGGTGTTCTTGAGTTTTTAATTTCGATGTCGTCAACCATGATTACACAAGTGTTGCTATTAGGTTTTTTTTTGAAATGACCCTAAATCACGTGTTTCATTAAACTGACATTTGCTTGGGAAATAAACTATGCTGGGGTTTCGTACTTTTGGTGCAACATAGTGATGACAGAACTACTTTCTTGAGTTTGTCGTCATTAGTTATCTAATGTTCATGTCCTTGGTATTAAGTTGGGTTGCCTTGATCTGAGTGGATGTAGTCCATTTACATGATTAGTGAATTAGAGAAATTGCTACCTAATAACCAAATTGATTTTCGATTTTTGTTTCTGTGATTGCATCTACTTTGTAATTTGTGGTTTGGTTGCTTGATGTTATTGTATGCAAATAATTGGATGACAGAAAAATATCACATTATACAACGGTTTTTCTTTGATCTCTATTTATCACTCTCACAAATTGTTTGCAATCTTTATAAACACGTAGAATTATGAACGTAGTCGAATTTATTCTTTTTTTTTTCCTAATTATTTTTCGTCTTCCTCTTTTCATGAACGATTTTTATACTTTTACAACAACTAAAGCAATCGATACTTTCATGCTAGGTCGATGCTTTAATGGGTTTTCCTTTCGCTTGATTTGTTTGATTATTTTTTACACTTGGTTTTTGAAGAAGAGGATCAGATGATGCGTTTTCCATAATTTGATTTTTTTGAATTTTGTTTTTGGTTTTTAAATATGAATTTTAGTTAATGTGAATTTGAATGGTAGTCCCAGTGAAATCGAGTATGTGTGTACAATACATCGTCTTCACGTAGTGTCGCCCCTAGAAATGTAATTAAACTCCATTAGTATCTTAGCATTGCCAAAGATATTTTTAGTAGCATATGGATTTTTTGTCTTCCTTCATGGAAGTCCACAAGGTCTATGGATGTAATAATGTTGGTTTTGAATATTAAATGAAATAGAATTGTTAGTTCTCTCATGTTGCAAGAAATGTGTTTATTATATTTGGTTACTTACCTCTCCTTTCTTCTATTATAACTATCCAGGAGTCTGATAGCTTGCAAGTTGAATTGTTGTTAAATCAATGATATTCCTTGACTTTTTAGAGATCAAAGTCGGTTATTAGCAAGAGAAAATTGAATTGTTGTTAATCTGTGACCCATAACTCAAATCATGTTTTACAAGTCATGAAAATATTCATTTTGGTGTCAATTAATTGTCTATTCATTGGGATGAGCATCTTAATTTCTAAAGGTGTAGGATTTTGGGTTCTTGATTTTTTGGTATAGATTTGACAATGAAACCAGTATAAAATATTGTGTTGTGTTGTTTTCATGTGTTTGTGATTTGTGAAATAGGTGATATCATTTGACTTCAAAGAGTTATGTCTACAGCTGTGAGTTAGTTTTACTTGAAATGGTGATTGACCGAAGATCCATGGGCAAATATTCGAGAATTTTCAAAGATGATTGTTTGTTGCTACTAATGAATGGGCTTGGAGGTGTATTTTAGCATTAATTTTTCTGTTTTTGTTGAAGTTTTTTCCCATCTGGAGCTTGCTTTAATGGTGCATTATTGTAATGACTTTAATGTTTCATGCTGGTGTTGTTGTTGGTTGTATGGCCTCTGGTGTTGGTAGCGATTGCAAATGCATTGGTTTCATGAGTGTTAATTTCAAGCTCTATGTGCATGAACATTTGCATAGATTTTTCTCTGGTTTCTGTTATCAGATCTCTAATTATTTCTGAGATGGGTCGGTCAGTTTATTTTTCCCTGTGTATTTGGCCGGGAGAAATGCATTTCATTTATGTCAAGTACTGTGTGGAAACCATACATGATAACTTATTGGTTGTTTATTGTATTGTTTCCATTTTTTTTTGTTTCTATTATGGTAACGTTTATATTTATGATTTGATTGCATTATTAGTTGAGATGTATATTGCACTCCAAGCGGTGAGTCCAGTAGCTGGGCTGGGCTGTTTTTTTTTTAATGAAGCTTTTTTGTTTTGTTTTGTTATGCAGTGCCTTCATGCACGGCTCCATCGCTATTATCCAATATTCTGCCAATTTTTGCCACTTGCACAGGTCCAATCCCACAGAAAATCAGTTTGACATGCAATACAGATTCCAACCGTTAAGAAAATTTTCCCAGGAAATCCAATCTTTATTCAAATCTCAAACCTCAAACCATCCCAGAAATCATCGACTTTCCCACATTATCTCACCAGAAAACCTTTCTTTTATGGTTCCCCTTCAGAATTATTATCAGTCCCATACAAACCCAAATTTTGACAATTCCAATAGAGACAATCAGGAGTTTATTGCACCATTGCGAAATGGTAATGAAAATTCCGTCATAGACAACGATGCTCTCAGAGTCCAAAACCTCCTCAAAGCTCAAGCCAACAAGACCTATGATGAGGTTGAAGAAGCTCTTAATCAATGCAGTGTATCAGTAACCCATGACTTTGTTCTCAGTGTGCTCCGACGACACAGTTCCGACTGGAAACCCGCTTACGCATTCTTTATCTGGGTGTCTAGAGGGGGAAATCAAAGTGGGTATCTGCCTGGGTCTGCTGTTTACAATGAAATTCTTGACATTTTGGGACGAATGAGACGGTTCGATGAATTGACCCAAGTGCTTGATGAAATGTCAAAGAGAAAGGGTATCATTAAGGAAAGAACAATTGGAATTGTGCTAAACAGATATTCAGCTGCACACAAGATTGAAGAGGCAATTGAACTTTTTTACCAGAGAAAAGAGTTTGGTCTGGAGCTTGATTTGATTGCCTTCCAGACACTTCTGGTGTCGCTGTGTCGGTATAAGCATGTAGAAGCGGCAGAATTGTTGTTCCAAACTAAGAAAAATGAGTTTCCGGATGACATAAAGACGAGGAATATTATTCTTAATGGATGGTGTGTCTTGGGTAGCTTACGTGAGGCGAAGAGGTTTTGGAATGATATTGTTTTATCTAAGTCCAAGCTGGATAGGTTTACATATGGCACTTTCATAAATTCATTGACTAAATCTGGGAGGATAAACACGGCAATGAAGTTGTTTCGCGCAATGTGGGAGAAGGGTTGCAACCCAGATGTCGCAATATGTAACAATGTCATTGATGGATTGTGTTTCAAGAAGAGGATTCCTGAGGCTCTTGAGATTTTTCAGCAAATGAATGAAAGAGATTGTCTACCGAATGTAGCCACTTATAACTCGCTCATTAAGCATTTATGTAAGATTCAAAGGATGGAAAAGGTCTGTGAACTTGTGGATGAAATGGAACAGAAGGGGGGTGGTTGTTTGCCAAATGCTCGAACTTATGGTTACTTGCTAAATTCTTCGAAGAAACCAGAGGAAGTTGTTGGGATTTTGGAGAGAATGTACAGAATTGGATGCAAGATGACTAGTGACACCTACAATTTGTTGTTGAGACTGTTTATGGGATGGGATGAGCAAGAGAGAGTAAAAAGTACTTGGTCTGAGATGGAGAGGAGTGGAATGGGACCTGACCAAAGATCTTACACTATTATGATTCATGGGCTTTATGACAAGGGAAGGATGGAGGATGCATTGTGTTACTTCAATGAGATGACATGGAAGGGAATGGTACCTGAGCCGAGGACTAAGTTATTGGTTAATGCCATGAATATTAAGTTGAAGGACAGAGAAAGTGAATCAAGGGGGTATGGGAGCAATGATCAACGACAACTCTTTGAAGTTTTTTCACACAAGAAGGGAAAGTTGAGCAGGAAAGCTAAGTAATACGTACCTCATTTTTTGTGTTGGACTTGGAACCCGTTTCATGAGAAACCATGAACTTGGTGCAACTGTCTTGGTAAACTTCTTGAAGATTTGACCCTGTTATGAACTTTCTGGACTTGGAAAGGCTGTTAAAATAGTTTAGGTGTTGAGGCGACGATATGAGGAATATGTGATTTTTAACACCATGGATTCAAAAATTTTGGGGCCAAAATTCAATGGAAGGAAAAGAAAATCTGTATGCATGAATGTATATATGGTATTTGTGTGTTTTCTTGTTTGTTAATATAGCAAAATAATTTTTTAAATGATGAATGTTTCTAGGATTTGAATAGTAAACAACTCCAACACACTTTGTTTTTTTTGTTTTTTGTTTTTAACTATTTTGTGTGTAATTGTAAAAAAAAAATAATTAAGTAAAAATTCTGACACAAACGAAAAATGCCTCAAATTTAAGCTAAGACTTGATTATTTGCCTCCTGGGTTTTGTAAATGAAAATTCCCACCAATTTATAGGTCTTTCTGCCTACCATGATTGACTATTATATTGTCAAGTGTTATATATTTTTTTAGTATTTATATAAAAAATAGTTAAGACTGAAAAACATAAAGATAATGAAAAAACATTCATTCAATTGTGTCGTGTTATAATTGATTCAATTTATACCATTTCATTTATAATTTGTGTAGTCGAGTTTGTATTATATATGTCATGTTAGCAGATTTATTTCATATTTAGTCGAATTTATGTTGACTCATTTATTTTATAAACTTATCAATTTTATTTGTTTATCACCCGTATCTACTAAGACTAACCCTAAGTTTGAAACGTTATTTTTGTATTGATTTTTTATGGGAATCGGATTTCGTACTTAAAATTGTTTTAAAATTAGAGACCCTAATTTTTTTTAAGTGATTTAAATTTTCTTTTTTGAGGTCTCAAATATATGTATTAAATTGGGAGCCCCAGGCGAACTTAATGGGCTATGCCTTAGGCCGGACCATGCACCTTAACTCCTAAAGCCCCTAAGCAAACCCAAAAATTGATCTACTTGTCCATCCTTAGATTCTCCTAGAAAGGATGATATTAACTTCTTACTAATTTCAAAATAGAATTTCTTCCGTTCTTAAATATCTGTCGTTTAATGTTTTTGTACAAAAGATTAAGGAAGCTATTAAATAGCTCTATTATGATTAAAAAATAATTATACAAGACTAAAATATCCTTATTCAATACGTATTGAGAAAGAAAAAAATATGAAAGACACTTGACCTCCACCTAATTTAATGTAATGAAAAGTTAAGGATAAATTTTCAAGAAAAAAATATTAATTATGCTTTGATTTCATTAAACGATAGATATTGTAGAATAAAAAAAATGTGTAAAACGACAGATATTTAGGAACGGAAGGAGTATTAAAGAAGGATTTTAATAACTAGCACTTTATTAATGGAAGAAATGTTTAATACATCATCAAGCTTTTGTCAACTCTTTGAAATTATTTTAAAGATCTATCTTGATAATAACATGATATATGTCAAATTGAAAGATTATATGTATCTGAATTTTCTAGTTTCGACGTAAATGATTTATCTTTGATCAAATTAAAGTGAATATTAATCGAGATATACGTAAGCTGGTCCAGACACCTTTATCGTTAAACTAAAAAAATATAAATTTATTTTTATCAAAAGTATTAGTCAAATGTTTTTAAGGCCTCTAATGTTGAGATATTTTTGTCATTATTTAATCTCTTCTGTAATTTAAATTAGAGAAGTCTTCGTCATGACATGACATACTTATTGTCATGTTAGAATGTAACATCAAATATTAATTTGTTCACTAAAAAAATATTAGGGTCTAATTATATTTTTTTGGTTGGTAATCCATCTCAATCCATTCAACAAACAAACAAGTAAAACTAGTGAGTCATAGAGAGCATCAAATCTTTTTTTTTTTTGGTTGAGAAATTACTTAGTTTTCAAAAATTATAAATATATTATAATTTGTCAAAATTACTTGTTTTTTAATTAAAAAAACCGCTTGCTCCACATAATCAATTGGGCGAGATATTCTCCCCCTTTAAATTTCTTTTGTTACTCCGTTTAATCATCTTTTTTCAAACTACTAAGTTCAACCCCATTTATACACATCTCCTTAATTACTAAACTCACGCCGTCTATATTCACTAATTAAAAATTAAATTCATCTAATTTTGAAATAAGATGATTAAACGAATTGAAAAAAGAGATTTAAGGGGTGAGAATAACATTAACCAAAACAATTAAATTAGGTTAGAGATGACTTGAGAAGTTTTTTCTATCACTTTACTTTTTTTTTAGAATTTAGAATTTTTAATTTAAAACTTAAGACTCCCTCCAATGAGACGCTAACACGTGTCATTAGTAACTTCTCGGCAATTCTTCAATAATTAACTATTATTTTTAAAATTGTTTTAAAAAATTAATTTTGATCACACAAAAATATAAATATAATTATTTATTTAACTTATCAAATAATAAAATTAAAAAAAAACGAATTATCATTGCACGGGCCGACCAGTAGATAAAAAAGGCATTCATTTCCTACCCCAACTCAACAGCCCCGATCCTCTCCATCCTACCCATCCAACGATCAAAATCCCCTCACCATCTCCCCTTCTTCCCAAGAAGTGTCACTCTCTCTCTCTCTCTTCTCTGCTTTACTTTCTCTCTCTAAAACAACGTACAATCCATGGCCACTTCTTCATCTTTGACCCTCTCCCAAGCTATCCTAGCTCGCTCCATCTCACGCCATGGCTCATCCTCTTCTTCCCAAGAACGTGTCTCTCTCTCCCCCACTTTCTCTCTCCCATCATTTTCCGGACTCAAATCCACCTCACCTCCCTCTTCTCGCACCCCCACCCATCGTCGCCGTGTCGCCGCCACGACACATCAGGCAATTCGTGCCTCAGCATCCGTAGAGACGCTCGAAAAGACCACAGACGTAGCCTTGGTGAAGAAATCGATAAACACAATTCGATTCCTGGCGATTGATGCTGTGGAAAAGGCGAATTCGGGGCACCCGGGACTGCCTATGGGGTGTGCGCCGATGGGTCATATATTGTACGACGAGGTCATGAAGTACAATCCTAAGAACCCTTATTGGTTCAACCGTGATCGCTTTGTATTATCAGCTGGACATGGGTGTATGCTTCAGTATGCTCTGATGCACCTCGCTGGCTACGATAGTGTCCAGGTTAGGTTCTTGTATTAGTCTTTTCTTGATCATGTTGGTTGATGTGTATATGTTTGTGTAGCAGTGAGTGTGTGTGTATTTACTTTGTTGGTGAACTGATTGACAAACACTTGTGAATTGATCTGGATCTGGATCTGGGTAGTATAAGAAGAAAAGGTTGTATTTTGGGGCCAATATCTGGTGCACAGAGAGAGAGAGAGTTACGGATTGTCTATTGGTTTCCTCACTTTTCAACTTTTTTAACAAATTACGACACTTTAAAAAAAGCGGGGTAGTTGAGCCCTCTTTTAATCAGATGTTAAGCCTAATGGATTCACTCTTAAAAGTGGAGTTGTTGACAGTTTGGTAGTAAGTTCAAAAACACCGTATATCGGTAATATTATTTGAAAATTGCGGCACACTAGTAAATACCTCATTGTGTCTGTGTGTATGGAAACAGAGAGGGGGAGAGAGAGACAGAGAGAGTTGGAAAAAGCAAAAGGCTTAAGAAGAACTTTGCTTGGATAAATATGTATGTTAGGTTCGTTATGCCAGCATGTTTGGCTGCTTTGATTTTGTGTTTATTTGTATGTTTTGTTTTTGTCAAAATAGGTTTTGAGGTGACCATAAGTTTGCTTGCCTAATTTTGTCATCTCTTGGTTTTTTTAATCTTGTTTTTTCTTTTGATGTAACTGATGAGACCAGCTGGATGTTATATTTTTTCTTTCTCATCAATTGAGCTTATGAATTAGGGATCTCCAATTTTCACTTATGCTTTTGCGGAATCTGCTGAGTTATCTCTTAGGGATTATAATGGACGATGGTATTTTAGAGTGAAATAGCATGAGTTTTTTCTTGTGTTTTCATTATTTGAGTTACCTTCTGCTTGTGTTGAATTTTTTTTCCTTATAGTTAGACTTCTTTCATATTCTTCTAACAAAAATAATGTGTTTTGTATCATCTATTAGGAAGAAGACTTGAGGAGTTTCCGTCAATGGGGGAGCAAAACCCCTGGTCACCCTGAGAACTTTGAGACCCCTGGTGTTGAAGTCACTACTGGTTAGATTGTAGTCCTCCGAGTCATGTTAATTTGCTTGCGTTAGTAAAGTGAAAGTTGTATAAGTCATTGCAATCTTTGTGCTCTTATGCAGGTCCTCTTGGTCAGGGTATTGCCAATGCTGTTGGTCTTGCTCTTGCTGAGAAGCACTTGGCGGCTCGTTTCAACAAACCAGACAGTGAGATTGTTGACCACTACACGTAAAATTACTCTTTGAATCTTCTTGCCTTTTACCTTCTCTTGTATGAAATGAAATTAGTAGAGTTTTATTCTGATTGACTTATTGGTGTTCCGGATCTCCAGATATGTTATTCTGGGGGATGGTTGTCAAATGGAGGGGATTTCTAATGAAGTTTGTTCTCTTGCTGCACATTGGGGTCTGGGAAAACTGATTGCTTTCTATGATGACAACCATATCTCCATTGATGGTGACACGGCAATTGCATTCACTGAGAGTGTGGACACCCGTTTTGAGGGTCTTGGGTGGCACGTGATCTGGGTCAAGGACGGTAACACAGGGTATGATGAAATTCGTGCTGCCATTGAGGAAGCAAAGGCTGTGAAAGACAAACCTACTTTAATTAAGGTCAGATACTGGCTGCACAAACAGATGGCCTATCAAGAAATTAGGCCAAGGAGGAATTTCTTACATAATTTATGCAAGTTTTACCTTTTCAATATCTCAGACAAAATGTATCGGATTTTCTTAAAATGGGATGACATTTACTTCTTGGAATAAGTTAGTAAGGCCTTATATAGTTCAATGGTATAGCTATCCCGTTAATTTTATTCTTCATTGTTTGTATCTTACTTAGGTCATTTAAGTGAGGCATTAGGAAAAAGGAAATCACAGTGCTAGATTAGAGGTTTTTTTTCCTTGAATATTCTTCTAGAGTGGGCTATTCTTATTTTTTTAAATTCAAATTGCTTTAGGTCAGAGTTATGCTTTTGCTGAGTTTTTCGTTCCTCACAGGTGACTACAACCATCGGTTATGGATCCCCTAACAAGGCAAACTCATACAGTGTACATGGGAGTGCATTGGGTGGTAAGGAAGTGGATGCTACCAGGAAGAACCTTGGATGGCCTTATGAACCTTTCCATGTTCCCGAGGATGTAAAGAAGTATGTAAAACTTTTTATCATGCTTGTGGAATGGATTTGAAGTTTGACTAACTTCTTCACGAATTTTTTTTGCTTCACAACAGGCATTGGAGCCACCATACCCCTGAGGGTGCTGCTCTTGAAGCTGAATGGAATGCAAAGTTTGCTGAATATGAGAAGAAGTACAAGGAGGAAGCTGCAGAGTTGAAATCTATCATCAATGGTGAATTGCCTGCTGGTTGGGAGAAAGCTCTCCCCGTGAGTGAACTTTCAACATTTTCTATGTTTGTCTTATCTTTGAGTGCTTGTTTGGAAAAATGTCATATGGATGTCGGAATGTGGATGTCATAGCTTTAGATAGAAGTGGGTTCGATTCTTTCCAGAAAACACAACATTGAAGCAAGTTTTTCGTCACAACACCTTGTGCTATTTACTTCTATTAAACAGTAGGCAGACACTCCTAGCAAAGTCAAAATCACTGCTATAACTCTGTGGGTCCTCAGTTAAGCTATCTTATCATTGTAGTATGAGAGAAAAATGATTTAGCAGTACATAGGGCTAATAATATGTACAAGTTTTTGAGGAAATCAAAAGAACATATATAATATGTTTAAGATGGTTTATTTGCACTTCCTCAGATGTATACGCCTGAGAGCCCGGCTGATGCCACCAGGAATCTCTCTCAACAATGCCTAAATGCCCTTGCAAAGGTTCTCCCTGGTCTTCTTGGTGGTAGCGCTGATCTTGCTTCCTCCAACCTGACCCTGCTCAAAATGTTTGGCAACTTCCAAAAGGACACACCAAAAGAACGTAATGTCAGGTTTGGTGTCCGTGAACATGGTATGGGAGCCATCTGCAATGGGATTGCCCTCCACAGCCCTGGCCTCATTCCCTACTGTGCTACTTTCTTTGTATTCACTGACTACATGAGAGCAGCCATTAGGATTTCTGCCTTATCTGAAGCTGGAGTTATATATGTTATGACTCACGATTCAATTGGGCTAGGAGAAGATGGACCGACCCACCAGCCTATTGAGCACTTGGCGAGCTTCAGAGCAATGCCTAATATTTTGATGCTCCGTCCGGCTGATGGCAATGAAACAGCTGGTGCCTACAAGGTTGCAGTCCTTAACAGGAAGAGACCATCAATCCTTGCCCTCTCTAGGCAAAAGCTGGCCCAACTTCCCGGAACTTCCATTGAAGGAGTTGAAAAGGGAGGCTACATTATATCAGACAACTCTTCAGGTAACAAGCCAGATGTCATCTTGATTGGGACGGGGTCAGAATTGGAAATTGCAGCCAAAGCTGCTGATGAGCTTAGAAAGGAAGGCAAGGCTGTTAGAGTTGTCTCCTTTGTTTCTTGGGAGCTTTTTGATGAGCAATCAGATGATTATAAGGAAAGTGTCCTGCCAGTGGCTGTATCAGCTAGAGTCAGCATTGAAGCTGGATCGACATTTGGGTGGGAGAAGCTTGTTGGACCCAAAGGGAAGGCTATTGGAATTGATCGGTTTGGGGCAAGTGCACCCGCAGGAAAAATATACAAGGAGTTTGGCATTACAGCAGAGGCTGCTGTAGCAGCAGCTAAAGAAGTTTGCTAGGCCTTTTTATCTTATTTTCTTGGTTTGCTGGCAGTCTACGAAACTTGTTTATCCTTGGGTTCTGGGATCGGAAATTACAGTGGACAGTTCTTGCTTAGGGGACTTGACTTGGTTCATGGCCTCTTAGTTCTTAATAACAAAAGAAGATAAAGTTTTCTTTTGTTGCTTTATCTTCTTCAGTGGAGCAGCTGAGCCTGCAAACTGAATCAAGATCAGAACTTACAGACTAGGGCTTATGAATGTTCAGTTGTACACTGAACATGTGTGAGTTTTGTAATTTTGTGGTTGATTGATAATGAGGTTTCATTTTCTCCAGTACTCGGTTGATTAGGTATCAGATAATATTTCTCCTCTCTTGCAATGTACCCATTTCGATTTGTATACAAGCAAATTGATGATCAAATTATTAATCCCATGATATTGTGACATTAGGGTTTTGAGTGATTGGGACTGTTGAATTGATCTTTTTGTTCTTTGTTTTTCTGGGTTGCTATTTGGTCTGTTGGTTCAAGTAATTCATGGATTAAAGGGCAATGGGAGATGCATTTTGATATAACATGAACAAATTTCAACTAGCCTGTAAACTAGTATTGGAAGGTTGCCCTGTGAATGCATGGGTGGCAGAGGTATGGACATTGACTGAAAAAGGATTTGGTTGTGCATTTAAGCCATTCATAAAAGGCAGGGTGTCTAATCTTTCCCTGCATATATTCATGGCATAATGTGTTGTATGGGCCCCAACTAAAAAGTGGAGAATAGACATATGGCCCACTGATACTTGTCTGTTGAAACTCTCGCTCTATGTGGTGGTTGAAGATCAGGATCTCAGCTTACCCATCCACATCATTCATCATTGTCTTCTACACCAACATTATGATTATTACTATAATGATTTTTTTGGTCAGACAAATATTGTGATTATTTGCTGATGAAGGATGGGGTCACTACTCATTTAGTTTAGTTGAAATCTCCCAATCAATTATTATTCTGCTTTCATTTTAAAACTTCACTGTGTAGTTACCGTTTGTTTCAAATCTTATTTGTTAAAAACTATTTTTTATATGAAAATATAATTTAAATTTACGTTTTTAAAGTAAAAACATACTTATTATAATAAAAAAAATCTTAAAACAAACTTTCACATAAAAAACATGAATTTAAATTACGTTTTCATGAAAATGTGGTAATTTTAAAAACGGAAAAGATGGTATTTAGGAATAACATTAAATAAATTAAGGTACAATGGTTTAAACAAAAAAAATCTGAAATCCTCTTGCTTTGAGGAAAAATAAAGCGATAAGTATATATATTTTTTCATGATAATTGAAATGAAATGCATATCTTGCAAGGAAAGTTTTTGATTCATCTATCATTATAGACGGCGAGGGCTAGGATAGGAGAAAATATTTATTACAACGGTGATGTCATTCTTCTCGGTTTGCCATGTAATGGTAACATATTTGTTGGCCAACTATGCTTATAATTGCCTATGAGTTTTTAATTTTATGTAAATTAAAATGTGTGTTACTTTGATCCCTAGTCTCCTGAGAAACAAGTATAATGAAGCATTTGACCTAATGGGTTGTCATTCTTTGCCTACTTATACAATGATCAGATAGATATCTACACCCTCTTTCGGCAATATTTTGAAAATCATACTCTTTTCGTTTCTAAATATCTGTCGTTTAAGAATTTTATACAAGAATTAAAAAGTTATTAAATAGTTCTAATATGAGTAAAAAATAATTACACAAGACAAAAATACCCTAATTCAATACGTATTAGAAAAAGGAATATGAAAGGCATTTAGCCTCCACCTAATCTAATGCATTGAAAAATTAAGGGTAAATTTAGAAGAGAAAATATTAATTATGTTTTGGTTTCATTAAACAATAGATATTATAAAATAAAAAAACTTGTGTAAAACGATAGACATTTAGGAACATAGGGAGTATTTGTTAGCTATGAGCAATAACAAAATATGCATATATGTTGTGAAAAAATATAAATATTTTATTTTTCTCAATGAAATTACAATAAGACCTATGAAAAGAAGAGTGAATTTAGAGAAATGATATCTTAAAAACTGAGTATTTGTAATTAAATCGAGTTGAATAATTTATAAAATGGGTGTACCTAGTTTTTTTTCTAGCATCAAAACCATGCCTAAACAAATCCCTTAAGGAAATTTCAAGAAACAGTACCCTCAGAGGATTCCATTTGACAGTATGTGATTAAGATCAGAAGCATTTAATGTAGACCATCATAGGATTATTATTTACACTGTATACTCCTTACATTAACTAGAAAGGGATGGAACATGAAGTCTAGTTATAAAGAATGAGCTAGTTGGGACATGGTTGCCTCACCTTCTGTATCAGATTATCATGTGTAGATGGTGGTTTAGGGACTGTTTGATAATATCATTTAAAATTTAAAACTGAATACTTTAAGTACTTAATAATTAAACTCGTTTGATAACCTAAAAGTTATACTATTTAATATTTTAAACACTTCTTAAAAATAGGCTAAAATTTTAAGTTGCACGTCTCCTACTTATCATTTAATGCTGAAAATGTTAATCAGTAAGAATTTTATCAATTTCTCATAATGAACAAATATACCCTCACCATTATTGTATCGTCGCCGCCATTACCATCACCATCACCACTATTGTGCCACCATCACCATCACTGCCACCATTGTTGCTATCACCCCCACCTCCACCATTGCCGCCACCACCTCCACCACCATCGTCACTATCATTGTGTCGCCACCACCACCATTACCATTATGTCACTGCCACCGCCACCACCAATACACCACTATTGTAAAGGTGGTGATCGAAAAAAGGTACTTGTGGAGAGATGGTTAAAGAAAAGAACAAAATTAGAATAATAATAATTTTCTTATTTCAGCTCCTTATATTTGTTAAACAATTTGATTAAATTCAATTTTTAAATTTTTGTTGATACCAAACAGTCTACGAATTAAAAAATTTAGCATTTAACACTTAAAATTCAACATTCTATTTTTTTGTGTGCAGCTTTCAATTTTATCAAACATCATTTTAGTAAAAATGTAAAAAAAAAAGGTTGTATCTATTATATGAGACTCCCATCTATAGTGGATCTGTGAGAATGATAAACAATTTATTGGAAACTCTTTTTCTTTTTTTCTTTTTTTTTTTGGGGGGGTGGGGAGGGGTTGTTTTTGGATTTGAACTCATGCTATTGACTGACATTTCAACTGCGCTTGACTAAAAGTGTCCGATTTTGATCCTCATTGTACTTGTCACAAGCTATTAAACAAGCAAAAAGAGAATTGGCTCTAGAATTGAAATAATGGAAATGCTTTGTCATATAGCTCGCAATTCAACTGGAACTAAGGACCTAAATGAAATTTCAAGTTTTTCATGACATCTTAATAATCCCTAATTTTCCAGTATGGAGTCACCTTCTTCGCTTGACTTGCTTTTTACCATGCCCATACCATGTAGCACGGTAATAGTAGTCACCTCTACTATAAAGCGATTGCTTTAGTATTCTTATTATTCTCCATGAAAGATGAGTAATAATCGCTTTACAATAAATAATTACTCAAAAACATGAATGTTTAACTCATTTTGTTGGGTTCTACTGCACTACAGATTGAAACCCCTCTTGTACTACCAATCAAGAAAAAAGATAGAGCCCTTGTGCTTGAATGGGTGCAAAATGGTCCATGCCAATGGTGCTCACTTGATCTTAGGGTAGAAATATATCAAGATAATAGGCCTTTTTCATTAATATGAGTATGAGATTAAACATAATAGGTAGTTTACTCTACAATATACATTCATGAGTTTAAATAACAGAAACATTCTCACACAGACACGAAAAAAAGAAAAAAAAATCTCATACATCTGAAATTCCCCTGATCATGTGCATTAAACTATTTTTTTAGGCATGTTGATTGATATGGTTTTTTAGGATGAGTATTGGGTAGGGTGAGGGAATGTAGGTGCACTCACTGTAAGTGGGTTTTAGGAGGTGCATTCAGTCGAAGTAAACTAATTTGGGCTTGTGATTTTGTGATAGTTTTCACATATGCTCACTCTCACATTAAGCTAGCCTAACATAGAAGGGAACATAAACATATTAATGAAGGTTCTTCAAGAAGAAGCTTTTGCTTTATTTTCATGTTTGTTTGACTATTACAGCACACTATTTGTGACCTCACACCCCACTCTCACATGATCATTTCTCTTCTTGCCTCTTGCATTAATACACCTACTTCCGCCTCTCTCTCTCTCTCTCTCTCTCTCTCTCTCTCTCTCTATATATATATATATATATTAAAGAGAAAATAAGAAATACATTATGTATAATGGTATAAAAGTTATTTTATCAAAAAAAATTAAAAATTAAAAATTTGACCTTTGACATTATTTTTAATGAAATTCTGGATGATTTCAGCTTGTTCAAAAACTATGGGGTTGTGCATAAGTTTAAAAGTATAGGAAAATAATAAAATGGCCTATAGGCCTTCATTTTTCAATTTAAGTCCCCAAAAAAAATGAAAAATGGAAATTTTAAGGAAAATATTCCTAAAAAAGTTTGGATTGAAAATATGCATAACCCCTCTAATTATAGATGCCATTTCACTTATTTCATTGATGCCAGAAATAACATTTTAAATTTTAGGGCAAATCACTCTTTGCACCCTGAAAGATACTTTGATTCTCAATTTGAACCCTCAAATATTAAAAATTTTAATTTACACATTCAATGTTATGAATTTGAAATAATGGGAACCTGGCCCAGATACCATTCAGTTTTTCATCGTAAATTAAAATACGCGAGGTGCAAGTATTTTGGGTATGAGAACGAGGTATGTTCACTACCGCATATCTTCATTTGCGATCAATTTGATACCATTTGATATATCAAAAATAAGGTTTCATTATGTGCAACTCACACGAGGCACCGACAGTGTGTGAATTTATACATAAGTCCATGCCCGAAGTACTTGTAATTCGTGTGTTGTAAGTTATGACGAAAAAATTGAACGACAATCTGAACGAGGTTTATATTACTATTAATTCATAACATTAAGAGTATAAATAAAAATTTAAAATATCTTTTGGGGCATAAAGTGAGATTACCCATATATTTCAACGAGGAATGCAAAGTTCCAAATCACCACAAATGTCTCCTACTTTTCAATGGTGTGAAATTTAGTAACCCCTCATAATTAGCCTCAAATTCTCAACCACACCATCTTCAACAAACCCCCAAACCCACCCTTCAAATCCCCAAATAAAGGAGAATGAAAAATGGTGGCCTTAATTTCAAGGATTCCTCAACCAATCAAAGCAAAAACCCAATAAACAGAAACATTTGTTTATCATTTATCCATTCATTAATTGATGAGAAGATTTGATTTATTGAAAAGTAATGATGAAACAAACCCTAGTTTAATTAGCTTAAACTTGATGGGATTAATAAATTTCATTAAATGCATTTCAATTTGACTCTTCTCAATCTTTCCATTAGTCCACTCTAAAACTCCATTAATCCATTTCAAAATCCTTCAAACCCATTCCTCTCCCTCTCTATTAGAAGTCCACTGTCCACCCATCAATCCACTCTCTCTCTCTCTCTCTCTTCTATAACTCACTTGCTTACTCAATCATCAAAATCTCAATCTTTCTCTGTAGAAACAGGAAACCCACAAAAGCAAGACCACCACCACCAACTTCTAAGCCCTCCCAGAAACCAGAAGATTCCCATTGATAAGGATAAAAAAGGTTTCACCATCACCATAACAACCATTACCACCGCACCCATATTTTTATATCTCTGATCTTCAATAATTGTGAAAGAAAATAATGAAGTTCCCCAAACCCTAGCCCTGAAATTCTTTCCCACATTCCGAGAAAACCCAAGAAAATTGTCCTGAAAACAAGAGAATCCAAACAAGGGTTTTCTTCAAATCTCCCAGATTTTCCAAGGGACTGTTGCAGATGAAGCACATTGACAACATCCCATCAACACCTGGCAAGTTCAAGATGGAGAAATCTCCATACATTCACAGACTGAGATGGCACTCTTCTTTAGCCAAGCTCACCTTATGGTCCTTCGTGTTCTTGGGCTTGATCTATTTTTTCTTTTACAGATCACCGTCTTCGTTTTCACCGAGACCCACAGATCTCTCTCGCCGATCGCTTCGAACCAATTTCTATGGCGGCCCCGCCTGGGAAAAACAGGTCCGGTCCTCGGCTCGAGTCCGGTCCCGGAATGGGATCTCTGTGCTTGTCACCGGAGCCGCCGGGTTCGTCGGAACACACGTGTCCGCCGCCCTGAAACGCCGTGGTGACGGTGTTCTCGGGCTCGATAGTTTCAATGACTATTATGATCCGTCATTGAAACGAGCCCGCCAGGCGCTCTTAGAGCGCTCTGGAATCTACATTGTGGATGGTGACATTAATGATGTCTCTCTCCTCAAGAAGCTATTTGATATTGTAGCATTTACCCATGTAATGCACTTGGCCGCGCAGGCCGGTGTAAGATATGCATTGGAAAATCCGAGCTCTTATGTGCATAGTAATATTGCTGGGCTTGTGAGTGTTCTTGAGGTTTGTAAAAGTGTCAATCCACAGCCGTCAATTGTGTGGGCATCGTCTAGTTCTGTTTATGGATTGAATACCAAAGTACCATTTTCGGAGAGAGATAGAACAGACCAGCCTGCTAGTTTGTATGCTGCAACAAAGAAGGCTGGTGAGGAAATTGCACATACTTATAATCATATATACGGACTTTCGCTTACTGGGTTGCGTTTCTTCACGGTTTATGGACCTTGGGGGAGGCCTGATATGGCATATTTCTTCTTTACGAGGGACATATTGAAGGGGAAGTCAATAACCATCTTTGAAGCAGCTAATCATGGCACAGTTGCAAGGGATTTTACCTACATTGATGATATTGTGAAGGGTTGCTTGGCAGCATTGGATACGGCGGAGAAGAGTACTGGTAGTGGTGGTAAGAAGAAGGGGCCAGCTCAATTGCGGGTGTACAATTTGGGAAATACTTCTCCGGTGCCAGTTTCGGATCTTGTGAGCATTTTGGAGAGGCTGCTGAAAGTGAAGGCCAAAAGGTTGATAATGAAGTTACCACGGAATGGGGATGTGCAATTCACCCACGCAAATATAAGTTTGGCTAAGAGGGAGCTTGGGTATAAGCCTACAACAGATCTGCAGACAGGTTTGAAGAAATTTGTTCGATGGTACCTCAGTTACTATGGTAATGGAAAGAAGAGTGTGCAGTGATACCTCAGTTGCTTGGCAGCATTGGATACGGCGGAGAAGAGTACTGGTAGTGGTGGTAAGAAGAAGGGGCCAGCTCAATTGCGGGTGTACAATTTGGGAAATACTTCTCCGGTGCCAGTTTCGGATCTTGTGAGCATTTTGGAGAGGCTGCTGAAAGTGAAGGCCAAAAGGTTGATAATGAAGTTACCACGGAATGGGGATGTGCAATTCACCCACGCAAATATAAGTTTGGCTAAGAGGGAGCTTGGGTATAAGCCTACAACAGATCTGCAGACAGGTTTGAAGAAATTTGTTCGATGGTACCTCAGTTACTATGGTAATGGAAAGAAGAGTGTGCAGTGATACATTCTTTCAATTTGTGGTAGGAGAATTCAGATTCTTATTCATTTTGATTCATATGATTGCTTTTAACATATCGCCATTCGCCGGATTATCTCGATTGAATATATCTTAATGATGCCATATGGGGGAGGAAATTTGCATCCCAGGATAAAGAAGTTTTTGTGGTTGGTTCACATTGTTTGCTGGCCATTCTAATTCCGGTCTTATCAAAGGAAATCCAGAGCCATCTACTTTTAAGTTTTAGGAACTCTTGGGAATGTGTAATTTTTGTAGTTTTATCATTCATGACTGATAGATCAATTTGCTGATTTGTGGACCTGTATCATGTTTTTGTAATTCAAATAAAATAGCACGCAGTAAATTGGCTATTATGTTCCCTTTATTGATTCATTCAATAACATTTGACTTCTATGCTTGCATGAATATTTTCTCTAGTAAAATTTGTGATGTATTAATGACGTCCTTGTCTAAATTACCTCTGGTTTATGCAGCCTTAATGTTTATCTGGTGTCTCTTTTACAGTGCTTGTTGACCTGTTGCAACAACCTACTTGTCTTATTCTGCTCAAGAAGCATGCATTTCTTGGTTTGTTGACTGATATGAATTCGTAGAATAGTTCAACACTCTTTCAATGATTACTTATCTAACTCTTTCCTTCGATGTTTGGATTCATCTCGTCGATATCTTGTATAAAATGAGATGAGTTCCAAGATTTTGTGGCTAATGTGTTATTAGAGTTTCAATGCTTATTGTCTGATTAAGTTTTTCTGTTCTATTTACCCTGTGGTCTCTACTTAGGAAAATACATTAGAGCCATCAGAATTTACAGCATGCACTTTAAGTGGAGGTATACTCCCTGTAGGTTGTCCTTGTTTAGTATTTTAATATCAAGCAGTCTTATTTGTTTACGCCATTATAGGTCAACTCTTGGTGCAAATATTATTTTAGCGGTTTTTTATTTGTTTGCAGTTGCATCTGAGCTCTAGGTATTTTGAATTAGTAATTCTTTAAAACCTATTGTTGTTGAGGAGTTCAATTGTGTCTTTCAGTGATAAGGATTTTATGTCTAAGCAAGGTGGTCTTTTGGGAGTGTAATGAGAAAATGACAAGCTGTTGTAATAGGTTTAGCTGTTTCGATGTAGGAAACGTACTCCAATTGTTTGGTTGACCTCATGTTAAATTAGGTTGTTATTTTAAGCAAGAAGAATTCGCGATTAAGTAAGATCGTGACATGTGTATGGTTATGTGCACATCTGTAGTCTGAACATCACTTTCACCCATGTCTTGAGTTCTCCAAATGTCCTTATTTGGTGGTTTTGCTTAGAGATTTAGCATTTGCTTGAGGCTGATTGAAAATTGAATTCTCTATGTGCTCTGTAGGAATAAAGGAGATTGACCTATCTTGCTTTTGGTTCCTTAAGAATAAAAGAAACAATAAACAGAACAAAAACCTTTAACTTTGGGAAATGACACGTAGGGATGTCGTAAAGTTTAGTTATGTGGAATAATATTCTATGTTTGAAAGAATGTTAGATGGTTGAAATGATGTTTGGTGTAGGGTTGTTTGTAGCTGACTGTTGGACGAAAATGCAGTAGTAAATGGTTGTTACTATTGGTTGACTTGAAATTGTTTCGTTTTGCTACCAAGTTTTTTTAATAAGCATAAGTTTTGAGCCTAGTTTCTTGCATGATTGTTCTTTCTGTGATGATACAGTTACAACAAAATTCCTGTGCTTTACAAACAAATTTGTCAAGCTTGCATTGACAATTACAAAAGAGATTATATACTTTTCAATATTACCTTTTCTTTTTGTGCTATATCCTATAGAATCTGTTGTTTTCATTTATTTATTATTGTTGTTATTCATCTCTTCTCTCATAGTTAATTTTACATAACGCGTGTCAAATGCATTGCTTTTGAAATATGTTTTAGTGTATATCCTACAGATCTACCCTTAGTTAATTGGAAATTGAAAACTGATTCACTTTTTGGATGGTGTTATTCTTTGTGAAATGGAATATGTACATAGAAGTTTTCCTTTCCGTTTCCAGAGCTGCCTATGAAATATGCGCAGCCCTACAAGTAACGGCTAGAGGACATGCCAATTTGCAAATATGTTGACTCTGTAAAAAATTAGTTATACCTTTTCATATTAAGTGCATAGTATTATGAAGTATTTTTGGTTCATTAATAACAACGATAACTTACTTTATATTTCTAATTCTGTTATTATTCATTTTTTTTTCGTACAGCAAATGGGAAATCAGAAGTTTGTCAGGTTATTTAAAGAAGGGAACTAAAAAAAAATTATGTAAAATTACAACTGCACAAGAGAATGTTATGATCGATCACAAATATTTGTGATTGATTATGAACTCTCAATATTGATCTCAACTTTTTATGATTAATTATGCATTTTAAAATTATAACTTACACCTCAAAAAATTATAACTAAACTTTAAAAGTTATAATTTTTAGTACGTTATTTGCTTATGAGCACTTTTATGTTGCACAAATATTTGCCCAAATTTGCTTATGAGCAATGCTATGTTGTACCAAATTTTGAATCCTAAATCAACGCAGGTGATTGGATTAGTGGAGTTCACCGATGCATGAGATTTTAAAACATTATTTGGGATACAAGATTTGGACAACAATTTGTGCACCACAACTTTATCCTTTATTTAAATATGTAATGCTTGCCATTTTAACAAAAAAACCTCGATACTCATATCTCTTGCCATATTGAGAAAGTTCTATGACTTGAATCTATAGTCAATCCTATTTTCGATAAGGATAGTTGACAATTAAATCTGATTTTTTCTATTATTTTCATATCCGTAATATGACGAAAAGAAGGTCCGACTCCAAGTTGTTAAAAAATAGTGGCATTGAGTTTCTTGATCCTCTGACTTAGGATTAATCAGTTCTATATATAGTCTTATCCAGTTTGTGAAGGCTTCTTCAAGTGTTAAGCTCCACTTGGTTACATTTGAGAACAGGAAAGGAGGCCGCAATTTAAATTTATAATCCAGATTCCCGACCATACATTCTTCCTCTTTTTTTTTTTGGCAAATCATTCACCACGGAATTAAAAATTCACTTATACACAATAGATCTCACTTGAATTTACAGTAGATGACCCACCAAGAAGAAAGATGAAGTAAAAATATATTGAATGAGATCTCTCATTCCTTTAAAGTTTGTGTACTTAACTGGCCAAAAGCTCCCAACAGAAAATACAGTGAAATTCTTCTAGAGAAAGTAGAGAACATTTGTATGAGATGTAAAAGAAAAGCTAAGTTCAATCAAAGAATACCTACTCAATCAAACAGTGAAGACATATCAGCAGTGGCTAAGCTCACATCTTCAACAATTAGCATTTCTCCGGCTTGCTTTCAGCAAAATCTGGCGTGCTATAGAATTCACTGAGCAATGGCTGAAAAAAAACTGCCACCATCCATCCGAATGAATTGGGTGGGGGTGTCATTCCATATGAAAATTACAGAAGACGACCCCGAGGCTGAGCCATGACCACACAAGGTTGACTTTAGAAATCATACTTGGTTCTTCCACTCTTTAAAATGAGGCATAACATATCTGAAATATCAGAAGCCGAGGACGAAGACAAGAAGTTCCAAGACTCAAGCATAAGACGTTTCCTTGATCCCTTAAAATGGACAACCTGTATATAGGAATAAAGCCAGAGTTTTAAGTTAAATTATTCTTTTACAATCTTTGGAACTACATTGTAACCAACCAAAGAATTCTGCAAGAATATATCCCAAGTTCAACTAGTTGTTAAAATTGTTGCGAGGAGGTGATATTTAAGAATTGGAGTGTACCTTAACATCCAAAGGCATCCCATGAAATTGACCTGCGCCTTCTGGTGGTGTCCAGTTGTACCGTAAACATGGTAAGAACAGCACTGAAGCACCAGCAATATCTGCCAGAAAAGCTTGTTGTCTGGTAAACTGTTTCGCATTGAAGGAAGGGTGAGATTTAACAACCCAGGCAAGGGCTAATTGATCTCCAAGCATTCTGGAAGCTTTCATGTATTTGGTACTGTAAATTTTCAGTACTTCCTGTAAGAAAACCTTTGCCCTGCAGCCATTTAGTCATGATTGCTTATCTTAATTTGAAAGCATATCAAATAAACTAATTTCTGTTCGTTTAAATGGCAAAGAGAAAGAGAGAACAAATAAACAGTTCCTTATTTTCAGATCCTCAAGCCCTAAGGTTTGCTTCCACTTTCCAACAAGCACAGAAAAGGGCCATTGTTGGATGCTAACACTCCTCGGACATCCTAGGCGTGTGCCAGACGCATCTTGGACAAATAGCTGATTTAGCCAAAAAATAAATTAAAAGCTCATAGAGGACTCAATTTAGCATAAAAAAAGGCATGTTTCTTTCTGTACATTAGGTGCTGTAAGTTGTATTCCTTCCAGGAAGGTCAGTCAGGTAAGATCCATGTTTATTCCACTGCCGAGTGCATCTTTCCACGTAAATGTAGTCTGGTAGTGTGTTGTCTGGTGTTGCATTAGTGATACATTCATGTGACATTAAATACACATACATACATAAATATATAAATGGATACATTCATTCATACAGACATACACATGTATTTCAAAATATATATATTTCGTTCCCATCGTTGTCTTGGTTGTGTATACACGTGCCTTCAAGGTGGACCTTATTAGCAAGCTTGCCTGACAGTGGCCTAAAGAATTACAACAAGGGTCTCTCCTCATGTCTTTCAGTGCATTATGAGATACTTTTATCATACGGCTGATTGTTGTTTATTGTGGTTCGTAAGTTATTATGTTACAATGGAATCTTAGATTTGTAATCATTAGGTGATGTTCCTCATATATAATACAATATTATATAGGAAATTGTTGTGTCCAGCTGTGTCTGTACTTTTCTCAGTTTCATGGAGCTTGTTTGTCCGCGTAGCATCGTATCTGTGTTCTGTCATGTTATCCTCCCTCTGCCATTGCACGACCACATAAGCAGGTACAACCCCAATGGCACAGGTAGAGGAGATGAAGAGCCATATGTGAATGAAAGGTGGTTGTGCCATCAGTGATGAGCCTGGAGGCAGGAGGCAATGGCAGCAGATGTCCCAAAAGTGATTGATCTCTCGAGAGGGAGGTGATATGGGCCATAAATGTTTTCTTGAAGGCAAAGCTCCAGGTTTGTTTTCAGTCTGCTATATTGCAGACGACTTAGTCTTTTAAGAAAATCATAATGCAGATTACACAAAACACACCTTAGAATTCCATCAGGAGTGCCCCTCACTGCAATAAACCCCGAATTCAGGGGTTGCTCTTTGTTGTTTCGGAAGGTCAGAGCCAGATGAAAATTAGGGTAGTCATGGAATATTTGCCCCAGATCATCGACCACTGCTATGTCTGAATCAGTAAAAATGTAATGATCAACTTGCCCCTGCCACTCAGAATGCTCCTCAAGCTTTGCTTCTAGAAAGGCCTGCACAGACAGCAAAGGCACATATAAAAAAAGAGCACTGCTTAGCAAATTTAAAACCATGTATGAATCTAAAACATCTTAGAAATGAAACTTACACTTGTACATAAAATAGCTTCCCAATAATATGCCATGAAACAATTTGAGCAACCCTTATAGTAATTAACAAACGAAATAATGAAAACTAATGTGTACCTTATATATGAAGTATCAGACTAAAAAATAGAGTATAAAATTCCAGAGAAGCAAAACACATAGCACATAAATAGTTCACCCCATCTAACCCAATCCCCCCCCCCCCAAAACAAACAACACACACACACAAACACGAAAACAAACAAAAAAATAATAAATAAAACAAAAAAAAAAGCCAAAAACAAGGGGCAAAAACTGATATACTGGAGGCATTCATATTTTGTAGAATGTAAGAAACAACTTATGTAATAAAGCTGAAGTAAAACAATAATTTACCAACAACAGAAATGTTCTACTTCTTAACTACCAAGGCATTGTGCTCTTACAATGTAAGACCTGATCCTTTGAAGCATTAACTTGTCCCGTGAATATTCACCTTGAATGGGATATATAGTGACCCTGTTTCTATGAACCGGAAGCACAGAGGACGGTTCAGTAAGAATGATAATGTTGCTTTGGGGCATTGTTACCTGCAAATATTTGATACCAGCACAAGTTAGACCCCCTGATACACATAAAAGTAGTAACAAAAATAGTTCCATAGTCCTTTTAAATAAATCTTGAAGGACCTGATTTAACATAATAGTTTTGAATTGACAGAAATTTGGGCTGTTTGCAAGTTCTTTTGGAGTAGAGCCGGCCAATGTTCCATTCCAATTTTTCAAGAACTCATTGTATATAACTAAAATGTCAACCACTATTTAAAACCAAGAGGGTTATTTGTATAAGTGATCTGCTCAAAGCAATGCATCAGGTGGCAAGAATAGTATTCAGATAGAGCTGACAAAGTTCTCCCAAGCTCACATACTTGTGGTTGGATATCCGGGAGCTGGCTCCCATAGAAATGACGCATTGCCAGCTTTACACGCCCAGACTATAAATTGTTTGCAAAAAAATCTGTACAACAGTGAATAAATTTCAACACACAGCCATGAACGTTTTCTTTTTCCTTTTTAAAATGATAAGCATTGAACATTCGGCTGCTATATTCTTTAGGAGTATATCACTAGTGAATAGTGACATAACAGAAAAAAACCATTTGAGCATAATAGGAAATTATACTTATTTATGATCTTTGGGTGAACAACTTAACAATTGTATTTTTAAATTTACGGATCAAAAACAAGTTCATTTATCCAAGCTGTTGATAATCAGACTATGGTTTTATGCTCCTAACATTTCAGCAAGGCTTGAAAAGAAGTGGAACTGGGCTTCATCTCTCGTCAATCAAATGAGAATCACTTGTTGAAGTGCTTGTACGTGCACATTTGTGCGTACATGGTGTTGCTTGTGAGGAGAGAGAGGAAGCAAGAGAGAGAGAGAGAGAGATTAGAAATACAACTCAGCAAATGAAAGTTAAATAAGCTCAGTGAATGGAGAATGTGGAAATGCATTCTACTCCAATTTAAGAAAAAAGGAAAAAGAGCCACAAAACTGAAAACAACTAAAAAAAAAATTAATTCCCATGAATATTGTAGAAAGCTGATACACCAACTTCTTTATCGATACAACCAGGAAAAACCCATTAAGTTACATTCCCATTTCGGAAAAACCCAATATTGTGTCCGTCAGCGACAGATCTAAATCATTCAGTATATCAACCATGCTCACATTCTCAAAACATACACACCCACCAGAAAGACGAAAAACAACAAAAAATAAAATATTAATTGTCCTTCACATTTCTCAAGGATTTGAAAAAGGTTACTATGTAGCCCCCTTTGACCGAGGGCATCAGGGGGATAAACTCAGTATAGAGCTAATCTTTGGCATTATTCACATAAGTAGCAACACTTAGTTGAACCGACAATCTCACATATGTAGCTCAAGCATGTACTACTATACTAGGCGGCAATGGCCAAAAGGCCATCACCTAGTTTGTTCCCGTTAACCAAGGTGGCAAGAGGGATGAGATGGGTGCAGACCTATCTTTGACATTAGTTGCCCAAAGTAGCTTCCCTCAAATTCAAAGGCATGAGAAAATACACTTTGACACTAAATTTTCTTTATTATCATTTCTCTTTCTCCCAAGAAAGTTGTTGGACACCACAATTATCTTGGCAGGAAGCTTCTGGCTATAAAAGCTGATAACAACTATTGCTTTTACAAGAAAACACCATGGAAAAATTGTCATAAATTTCAACACTTAAGCAAATCATGTAAAAAACTTGATGGAGTTTCTTTTCGACGTTTCAATTAACAAGGAATGAAAAAGTGTGGTTATCCAGTCATGCTGTATGGGAATCTACTACCCAATTTACCTGAATGAAATTAATGAAGACATTCAAAATGGCCATTGATCTCTCCACTTTGCTGTATGAAGTGTTCCCAACGGTAAGCAAGTCACTTGATTTACCATTGACCAATCTATCAACGGTGGGCTTATAGGTGGCAAATACGGTGACAAAGGCAATGTGGTTACCAAAGTTGGAGTTGTTAGAGGAGGTTGAAAAGTGAGTCTTGTTAACAGCTTTGATACCTGTAACAAGTCAGAACATGGAGTGCATGAGAAACACTTAATTTCATGAGTTAATCTTGTGACAATAGGATAGGAAATTCGGATAAAGAGGGTGGTTGAGCTCACTCACTGGACCCATCACTCTAAAAAATATGCGAGCATGGAGATTTCAGGTAGAATAGGTGAATATGAGTTCAATACACTAGTCAACTGAAGAAATAGTCATTGGTTTTCTTTTTCTATCTTTTGTTTGCACATTACGCACTGCAAATTCAAAGCATTGCGAAAAGAATTAAAAGTAACAAATATATGTAAGTTACGATATAGATCCAACAAAAATAAGCTTTCCTAGATTTAGAGGAAGCACATTCACAACGTAACTCGTAAATCCAATAAACCAGAAATAAGTTGGAAAGGTAACCAAATGGTAGATATTTGTAACTATTAAATACAAAAAGAATATGCACCTAAGCAATGTGACTAGTGAAGGCCTCACAAAAATTCAGTTTATCTTAAACGAGATTTAGAGGGAGGAACCTTGGCATTGGAGACGCTCATGGAAACCTTCACCAGCAGCAGGTCCAAGAACCAGATGATCAAATTTCTTAGGTTGTCTTCTGTGCAGATCTTCCACAGTTGGGTTTTGATGCAACTCTAAAACTGAGTAAGAAAGGAAAAAATTTATCTGAAGTACTTCCCAAGAGATTAAGAAGTGGTAGAGTAAAAAAGGGAACCATCAATCACCTGAGAACATATGAAGAAACAAGAAAATGAGAGGCAGACATAAAAGAAACCGACCCCATCCACTGCATACTCTCATTCCTTTAAAATAAGAAGTGAAGGGTTTGAACGCCTTTGCCCTGAAAAATCTGAAAAATGCCTTGACTTTCTGCAACAACCCTTTAGTAAAAGTACAATCATTAGACTTTAAATCAAACCAATGATAACAAAGTCAATTGGAACAAAACTACAAGAATCACTTTTACTGCTTGCACCACTGACATCTAAAGAATCACAAGATCTTGGCTTCCAATCTCTTATAGCCACTTCTTCCCATCATGATTTTCTTTATGGAATTTTGGGTTCTCACCAATTCGAGGTTAATAGAGCCTCCGGGCACAATATGTATGTGTTCTCATTGGGCAGCAAATTTGTCATCCAGGTAAGGTGAGGGGACAGCAGTGGAGGCTTTACTGCACACAAGCAAACCTAAAGGTCATTATATGTCAGAGAAGGAATAAGTTCAAAATTCAACCTAATAGAGAATGTGTTGGATCTAGTGGAAAAGCCACAGTAAGACCATGTTGCACGACCTCCCCCAAGTATTGAAAATTGTTTCTAAATTTAAACACTTTAACTGTTTATTAATTTTCAAAATATTATTAACTCAGGCCCTCTTAGAGTATAGTTTTTTGTTCAATATGGTTCCTCTGGATCTAAATTGTATTTTGTCCCCCTCTTGGTTGGTCCCCTAGTTTTAAATTCTTGGCTTCACCTTGTTTTATTCTGGGTGTATGGTTCATGAGGAAGGCGTGGCTCCGGAGGTTGTCACTTCATTCTATGGTACCAAATTATGCAGTAATAAAAAATTTAGGCATGAAATTTCAAAACATGAACTACAAAAGAATATAACCTATTAAAAATTTCTAGAGTTATTCTAATCTGTGACTTCAATGAAATCGGAATAGTTTCCTTCATTGGTATACTACTTTCATTGGTATACTACTTTAATTAGTAAACTACTACATTCGGATGAAATCGAATTGGGTTTCAAACATGTTTAATCATTAGAATTCTTTCAACCTTTTTTTGCGAATGAGAAGGATATACCACAAAATTTGACAAACACAAGCATACCCAGAAAGCAATGAGTATAAATTAAGTTGCAGAAGTGATATTCGAAACAAAATAATGAAAACCACGCATTCTTCCAAGAATTTTGAATTCCCTGTATTGAATACCGCAGATACAGAAACAGAGCAAATAGGAGGATACAACTGTTTTAGGAACTTAAAGAGTAAAAAAAACAAAAGATAGAACGAGAGATAAATAGAAAAACCATAGCGGGTAGCAGACAGAATTTTGGAGCAATTCGCTTACCTTGGTGTAGAAGCTTTCGGAGAGAAGGAGTGATCTGAGAGACCAAGCAGTTCGCGAGCTGGAAGAGGAGGTGATAACATTACCTATATACCCTCCCTCCAACTAGGCCCGGATTTGGATGGATAGGGCTTTTTTCGATCTGGGATTGGATTGGTAACTTGAAGAGCAAGTTTGAATCAAAGAATGACATTTTTCTCCCTTAAATATTTTAGTATTTTAACCTAATCATATTATCCCTTTAATAATTTAATTTCTTTTAACACTGAAACATAATTTAAAAATATAATGCATTGTGACTATTGAATAAGGCGAAATAACATTAACTTAACATTACAATAAAACTTGGATTCTACTACAACATTTTACTAACTCGAAACACCTCGGTAAAGACTTGGACTCTACTACAGCATTTTACTAACTCGAAACACCTCGGTAAAGACTTGGACTCTACTACAACATTTTACTAACTCGAAACACCTCAGTAAGACAACCTACCTTGGCTAATGCTTGATTTTATCTTGAACACAAAACGCTTTTCTTTGCTCCTTAATTCTAAGAATAAGAAAAAAAATTCTTGGTTTTCTAACTCTTGCTTCCTCATCCACGCTCATCAATCCTGAAAGAGATTCTTGGTTTTCTTACTCCCACTTCCTCTTCCACGCCCATCAGGCCTACTCTGCTCTTTTGAGGGGTGAAATATCGATTGAAACGGACATTTTAAGATGACATCGAAGAAATATTTCTACATATACATGGTTACGGTCACCTCGAACTGCCTTCCGAAAAAAGTGGTCTACTTGAAAGAAGAGCCGAAACTCTTGTATTTCAACCCCACTGTACTTAACAGCCTCTACGATAAGCAAGTGAACGGGACAAAGAGAATGGTTCATCAAGCCATTTTTCAGCTCAACTCCTTAAATAGGAAGATGAGAACTTTACATGTACTCACAGTATAACCAGTAATCAGTATTACATAAATTTCAGCGGTGCAATTATATATATTTTTTTGATAGGGCTCCATCAACAGTTCCAACACACATTGAGCACCAATAACTCGATCGAAATTGATAAAATCTAAAACTGAGAGGATTCAGATTCATATGATATCCGCGTGGTCATGCAATTCTAGGTCAAACAATCTCTAGAGACCTTGAAGTAGCCCCCTGCAAATAATGAAGTAAGAGAGAAAACCACTCGCATCCCGTCTAAAATAGTATGGGTCGTCTATCTGGCCATGACTCGATCTTCTCAAAGAACGTTACTGGCACAACACCATCAAAACCTTCAGTCAAGATCACCTTGTTGTCTGAAATATAAAGCCTCATACTCTCTGCAGCAAGTATTGAAGAGATAGAAAAGAAAAAGGCATCAGAGTTCCTTCATTTCCCTCGTTGCATTGAGAACAGAGTTCATGATTGATTTCATTATGAGCTTATAATTATACCTTCCAAAGCTTTTCTGACATCGAGAAATATCAAGACGTTAACATCCCGTCTAATACCTGTAAAAATAAAAGTAACGCAGCTAATCAGAAACAGTTATGCTATGTGTCATTTTACAGCACTCAAATGGCTTGTCTCATGATGGTCATCTTAATCTCCCTCAACCCCTCCAAAACCACCAAAAAATTAAAGATATGATGCTACAGAACAGTTTCCTTTTTAAATTAGGATGCTACAGAACAGTTTCCTTTTTAAACTAGGATGCTACAAAACAGTTGATTGTCAACAGAAGACAATCAAACCAATAGGTCTCGGAAAAAAATGTACCTATTCTTCCCTAAATGTGTATATGCATGGATGTAAATACATGGACCGGAAGCCAATCATTAAACGGATGATGAGATGTTTATCTGCATCAAGTGAGCTCTCCCATTGATCAAGCACCATGGACATATCATCTGCTATAGGCAACCTTTATTTGAGATATGTATCTCCCATCAATAAATTTTCATCTCCCACTACCATTTTGTCGTGCCAAATGAACAGGTCAATATTCAAGTCCCCAACCAATGGAGCTGAGACAAAACTCAGCTCCGTCACTCCTATCTTTTCCATACAATTTGTGGGCAGAAAAGATTAGGCAAGTTTTATGGAAGGGACAACCCCCAAGTACTATTGTCTTACGACAAAAAAAGTCATGAATTCCAAAACCAATACACCAAAGGAACCCATCAAACGTCTTACCACTAACCACTTCACCCTCTGTTGGCAACCCACATGAGAAGTGGACATGCAATCTATTCATGCATTTAAGACCATGCTCCAGAATTGATTCCAAATTCTTCCTGTAGGTCCCATGTACACAGACTGCACAATAACAGGAAACGAATATGCAAAATTTGATATTATCCACCCGGATATTTAATTGCATTCTAAGTGGAAAAATCATTTATATATTGCATGCAACATAAGTGTCCCCACCAGGTACTTCTTCAGCTGATAGTATAGGTTTTAATAATCTTTCAGTTTCAACCGCCTGCCAATCACACAAAGTAAGGCCATATCATTCTCAGTGAAAGAAGGAAGCTCACTTAAAATGCTTAACGAAGCAATAACATTAAGCTTGAATCTTAAAAAGAATTACACAGGACTCCAACTTTCTAAAACAAAACAGCAGGTAACTAACACACTCATCAATGTGTCAATCAGTGAAGAGAATAAATGATATCCAAGTATATTTTAGGCACTACAACTTCAAACTGTGAATCGCCGAATGTGTTAACTTGGAGCAACATTGTTATTTTTCATAATCAGATGGTCAGATAAGCGGATCGAGACTACAAGGGCTCTTATAATTCACATATTGTTGAAGTGCATCAAAAAGCATCCACATACATCCAGAATCATTGTATAAAATCCCACTATACACAACTTGAGCGCTATTACTACAGTTCACTTGCAGTCCGAGATGTTTTCTCCCAGCATTTCTACCTGGAAAGAACTAGAATAATGGCTGAACATAAAATTTGACAGAGGTATTTAATATTCTGGCAGAGAACAAGGATAGAACTATAAGGAATGGGCAGCAAGAAAGTCATAAGGATGAGGATTTAGACCTTAACCAAATCTTTCATACTTTATTTATTGCAAAACGAAAAGGAAAAAATCAAAAGCTAGCTAGCAAATCTTCCCAACCAGTAGACTGCATGCATGGTCATACATACAGGCTACTTTTAATCAAGTTTTATTCAAATTCTTGAGCCAGAAAAGATGCTCAAATCTGGTTCTTCCAAGAATATTACCGTTACTGAGTGTCCCTGGTTTGCACGTATCAAAAGGTTCCCATTCTCTCCCAACAGGCTAAACCTCTGTTTATTGTCTTTTCTGACAGCCTGGAGAACACAAAAGACAAACAATTCAGATATGTTTATGAGACATGCGAATAATCAGGATAAACTGTTCACATGTTGCTGATCAACTGAATAACAAAAAATAATGTTGTGTAAATCATGATGTATGCATTGTGCAAGGGTATATCACGGAGACACATACATATAAGCATGATATGAATAACCAGGGTGGGCTTCAAGAAGGTAAATATTTGATGTATGGCATATGTGGAATCTCTTTAAGCCATGCAACACTCCGCACAATTGAGGATGACAATGCTCCCCAAGGCTTTCACAGCATCAGCTCTAATGGATTCGGCAAACCAGACGATATAGAAAGACACCAAGTTTTTTTTTATTCTTCAACCTTTATTTGATAGGCTCAGATGTATCAACCATCTCATGGGACTCCTCGTTGAATCTATTTTTTCAGAGTCTGGCGACCAAACACTGCCTTGAAGCTAATATGAGCTAGATGATACTACACTTTAAAAGTCTCCACTTGGATTCTCTTACACTTCTAAAATTAGCCATCCATGTAATACCTTGAGAGGCTACGTGATATACTGGTAAATTTTTACATAAACTTGTATGTTACATTTATTTTGTCAAAGAAACTATTTATACGATTTGTACATAGTAGCTATTCTTATTATCAGTCCAAAGTAAATAGTATAAATAAAAGGACACCAAGTAAATATAGAATCAATTGTTATTATCAAACTTAGCTCCACTGAGTATGTTACTCCATGGGAAATCAATGTATTTGTGGAAGATATTAGATATTATGCTAGGTTACATAACCTTAATTTTTTACACAAGCTGAGGGCCAGTAACAAGGCTACTCACTGGGTGGTAGCCTCTGCTATGAACAACTCCTTCCGTTGAGTTGGACTAGCTATCCCCCACCCGAGGCTTCTATCTTGACTAATTGTAATTTGGCTTTTCCTACTAAAATGAAATATTTTATTCTTGTTTGATCAAATTGCATAACTCAATCCAATAAAAAAAAATTTAAACAATCCAATCTGTATACTCAATTATGATTGAAGAAGAGAAGATTGGCATTCCAAAGAGAAGGGATGGAAAGAACAAAAAAAGTGATTGGGGCATTTAGAGAAGGCATATGTCCGTGTCAACTGTTACAAATTTAATATATTTACTCTTATGCACCAATCAATTTACGTAATAGGTTTATTTCACCTACAGAAAAGTATATGCACAAGAGGGATCGTTAAGGCTATGATATTTTCCGAACCAACCTCTCTAATATCACCAATTGTGTGTGACCTCAGTGGAATGTTGGCAAATGTTTTCAAATCGAGCTTTAATAGATCTTCAACCTTAACATAGCCATCACTCCTCAAATTCAAGTTCAACTCAGAAGCCTGGTGCCGCAAAATCCGTGTTCTGAAATCATTACCAACAGAATATAACATTCAGATGATGGCTTGATTAAAATGAGAAGAAAGTTTACGGTATAAAAAAAAAAATATTGGTACCTTACCAAAAGTTACAGTTTTTAATGGCAAAGTTACACCTTTGAAAGGTAAAGTTACAATGGATTGAGGGAGTCCCATGAATGATCATGGATAGTTATAACTTCTCATTTATGAGTTGTGACTTAACCTTTAAAAATTGTAACTCAACTTTTGAAAGTTACAACTTCCACGATTGATCGCAACATTCTAGGATCAATCATGCCTTTGCAAGTTATAACTTACACCACAAAAAAATTATAACTTAAGATATAAAAAATTATCATTTTTGGTACGATACCGTAATCTTTCCTTAAAATGAGTTACAATATCACAGCATAATATTTTTCTTCTGTAGTGTACTTTCAGCCACTTAGATGATGTAATAAAGAGGAGTTCATACTTTCCACACACACCCCTCCCCACCCCCTCAAAAAAAAATTGGAATTTTCCAGCTCCAACACTAACTTGGACCCAATTTGTAGATTTCCAAAAGCTTGTTTCTTTTATGCGTTGTTCACTGTCCCCAACTATCATCTCCATTCTCAAAAAACCCACCTGAATTGAATGTGTTTTTCCCCTTATTTCTGTTTACCTTACCTTCTAAAGTTATAAACATTGTCCCCAAATTGAAAGTTACAAATTGACCATAAAAAATACAGATATACAAGGACAATAAACAAGTTATATCAAACATATGATAACAATTAGAAAACTTTCAAAAAAAAAAAGAGCATACAGAAGTCTCCCAAGAGCATCAATTTTGTCTTTGCCCGAACCACCGCCACGGCCTCTCGATCTTTCGCGATTATCTTTCAGTTCGAAACCTCTTCCTCGACCACCACTATTGTACATATAAACAACATTATAATTACTTACATAAAACAATTTCCCATCCGTTTGGTTGCCGAGAAAACTGAGGAAAACAGAAAACATACGAAAGCAAGACTTCCAATTTTCTTCGTTTCTTCAACAGGCAAGCAGAGGGAAAGGAAAATTACTCAAACTGGGAGAGAGAATCGAGTAAGGAATGAAGTACCTTCCACTTGAATGAGCAGAAGCAGTGAAAGAAGAGCCACCGGCTGTATATTTTGCCGAGTCCATCCGAGCTAGGGCACGAAAAATCGTAATCGGAGGAGAAGAAGAGGAGACGAAGGGAACAGGAGGAAGAGAAACACGGTGGTAGCGTAGAAATCGTAGACCACCGCCGGTAACAGAAGCCCACATCAATCGGTGGAATGCTTTGGAGCTCCTGTTAATGATGTTGGTAATGAGCGATGACGAAGGTGGTTACTGTAGGTGGTGATACAATACGACTGCGGGGCCTTTAGTTTGAGTGTGGATCAATTACTACTGCAGGCCGTAAACGTAGCTCACCCAAATATCAGACGGCTCTGAAGCTTGTCGTTTTTTGTTGGTTTTTCCGCTCCTCAGCTCTTTCACACCTCCGGATATCTGGTGGAAACTAATGCAACACGTGAGATACATTAGAGTATTTTCACCTTTTATTTTTTTTATTCAGATTTAAATTTAAGTAAAAATAATTTAAAATATTTATTCAATATTAGACCTATGCACGCGCCAAATGACTCAAATTAAGCGAGACACTATCTTTTAAAATCATATATTTAACAGTGAAATTTTATTATTTTTAAAAAATTTAATAATCATATTTATCTTCATTTAAATTTGAGTTTATCCACATTTAAATTTAAATTTTACTTTTTTTAAATTTGAGTTCCTCTATTAAAGAAATCTATATCAAATTAAACTTCTAGATCTTGATTCCTCATACCATTATTTGGGTATGGTCAATGAATTTTTATTATTTTAATTTAATCTTTTAACTATTAATTTTAGATCAATTAAAATAGGTGACACAAGCACATGACGATACAAATAGAGACACACGACGGAGCAGTAAACACATTGGTTTACCTCTATTGTTTATCGGGTGAAATAGACAAAAAGAAAAAAAATTATCGACAAAAAATAATTGATGAACTAAATTAAGACAATTAAAAATTTAAAAATTATTTTGAAATACGAAACAAAATTTAAACACAAATTATAATATTTTCCCTTCATTGCATAATTCATCAAACAGCTTATGCTCAACATTTTAAACACCATATAAATATAAACAGCATTTTAGGATTTCTGATATTCAAAAACTCACTTCCACGTCTTGTCAAAAACATTTCCTCAAACACCTTATATTCAGCATTCTAAACACCCTTTAAACTCTACAATATGATACCTTGGGAGAGATCTCTTGGACGTTTCAACATTGCATTTCACTTTCCTCCAACTCACATTTGTTCATGTCATCTTGCTTGCTATTTGAATCCTTTGATGGAATCGATTGCCATTCCTGATGAATTTGTTGGGCTTAAACCATGACTTACTTTCCTGGATTGACCAAGTTTTCAAGCACCAATAAGTAAGGATGGTAAACAATCCAAGCTACTCAGGCTCAGCTCGTTCATTTAAAAAACGAGTCAAGTTCAAATAATTTTTTTAACCTGCTTAGAAGACGAGCTCATCACACTCGTGCTCAAACGAACTCATTCATTTGGTTCATTTACCACTGCTACCAATAAGCCCCAACCAGCTACTCTAGCTCAACATGAGAAAAGACAAATTCGAAGCATTGCATAGCCCTCGTAAAGAAAGTATGCAAAAATACACAAATACCATTCCACAAAAGTAAGTGTTCTGTAATAAGCAACTAAATATAACTTACCAAAACGATATAGAGGGAAACAGGACAGCTGTCATTACCATCACCAAAGCCTAAGCATGACTTTGATCACATAATCAATGATATCTATAGAAAAATCATCTTATCAAATTTATCTTTTTAAGATTGATGAAACCATTGCCAACAAATGTCAAAAATCTCTAACTAAACATGATCAGATAAAAGGTGCACTAGACAACATATTTCAAAACACTAAATATCTTGTCCTCCCAAAGAACAACGGAAGTGTCCTATTAGTTATTAGGTAGATTCGCAAATGGAATATTCCAAAACTGTCTTGCTCAACCAAAGGGAACACTCAAACTACAAAACCCACAACTTCCAACGAATGTATCTTCTCTAAGCCACAAGAGTACTGGCGGTGGTAGATTCACTGCAAGGAAAAATCAACTAAGTATTACAATCAAAGAGTGATAACACAACAAAATCTCTCTTTCAGCCTACTAAAAAAGAAAGAGTAATGTCATTGGGACCTAAAAATCTGACATAATTCGTTAACCTAATGATATACTAATGGATTAACACAAAGTCCCAATCCAAGTTTCAATTAAGCCTACAATCAATCCAATGACTATAGTAAATTATGACAGCAAAGTAGTTCAATAAATTAGGTTCCAATAACATTGCTCAAAAAGAAAAGCACCCAAAGAAGTAAAATTAATTAAAACATACGTTTTCGAAGAAAAAAAATTATTGAAACATAAACATCAAAGGGATTGAAAAATTGAACATGGTATGCAATCATTTCATTCGCATAAATATAGAACAAGAGAAAGATACCCCACCTACACCCTCAAAGAATAGAGAAGATTTTTTTGTTGGTGTTGTTTGGGAGAGGGGTGGCAAGGAGGTTATTGCCTTAAATGCAATCACAGGAATTTATTGCACATGATTAATAATGGAAAACCATTTTTGTTTGTTCCTTGCACATCACCACACAAACAACTAAACCTTGGTGCATGTTCCAATAATAAAATCCTGCCAGCACCTATTTGTCAGTGAAATTTTTATTTCACTGCTTGACATTGGATCATCAGCAAAGTAGTGTTTACAACAAATTGCCACACAGGATCTATATTATTGTGTTTCTATGGGTCTTTACCAGATAGTATGGATATATGCTGATTTCCAAGTCACGTTCTAAATGAAGAAAAAGGAAAGAGGAGAAATAGAAAATTGGACTTACTATTTCCAGACTGGTGGAAGCTTCTTAGTCTTCTTGTAGTAGCGAGCAAGTCGGTGGATCCTGCTCTCAACAAGAATCAACCTAAATTTGGAATCCTTGTCCTTCCTGTTCCTCTCCAGATGCTTTCGAATTGCAACTGCTTTCTTGATGAGATGGTATAGGTCCTCAGGTATTTCAGGAGCAAGCCCTACACAATAATAAGAACCAAGAAAGCAATTTATCATTATGACTCAATTCAGATTGGAAAATTCAACCAGCACCATTAATGAAAGAAAATGCACCATGGGCCTTGAGTATCCGAAGAATCTTGCTGCCAGTGACACTTTTCACTTGGGCAATCCCATGAGAATCTCGAAGAATAACACCTATCTGTGAGGGTGTCAAACCCTTCTTCGCAAACTTACAGATGTTATCATCAACCTGAATGAGAATATAGTTCACTATATAAACTGAAATGTAGGCATCTCTGCCAAAAGCTAATAACCTTATGGCTTGTAGTCAAACAAAATTAACATACTAAGACTTCATATGATGAAGATTAATAGTTAATCAAGCTTAGCCTTCCATTCATGATGAAAATATCAAACAAAACGCAACTTATGGATTTGGGGTTTCAATCGTTGCAGATAAAAATTGAAAAGTTTCTATAGCAAGAATTAGACAAGAACTCTCCCACCTTAAAAGGCTTAATATTTCATTCACTTAAGAAAGGTATTACGAAAAAAAAATAATGGAAACACTCTTTTTCTTTCATTGGAAGAAAAATCATTCCCGTTTAATAGAAAAATCATTCACTTAAGAAAGGTATTATGAAAAAAAGCCATGATGGAAACATTTCGTTTCTTTCGTTGGGAGAAAAATCATTCCCATTTAATAGATCCAGAAAACATTTTGAATGAAAAGAAATCATGACAGGAACTTATGATTCATACATGAACATCAGAAGAAAATCATTCATCACAATCCACTCTAGAGGTGTACACCAGATTCACATTTCAAAGTGGTAGCATTATACAAGCAACTCCACATTGAGATATAAGGACAAAACTTGTGAGTTTCTAACATTATTGTACCAAGTATGCACAGACTTGGGTTTATTGGAACAAGAAACGCATGTACAGTACTGCTTCTAATGCTTGGAACAAGAAACGCATGTACAGTACTGCCTCTAATGCTTGGAACAAGAAACGCATGTACAGTACTGCTTCTAATGCTTGGAACAAGAAACGGATATACAGTACTGCTTCTAATGCTTGGCGTTTAGATATATAACAATAAAACAATTAGCATCCAAAAAGGAGTCAAACAATGGCTCAAATAAAACATTAAGAAATCACCACCTTCAATTGCATGCAGTGAAGGAAATTAAAAATTTAAAATACCCCTCATGTAAAAAGGCCATCAGTGCTCAAGCCTCAATCAAATTAAGCAAATTAGACAATTTCTACTTTCCGGTACTAAATGTCTAATGCAAACGGATTTAGTTATTATGGCAGCCATTCATGAAACCAGATAATAGTCAGTTGATAACTAAGTATGGCATTAAGAGGGACATACACCATCCTGAACGAAAACCTTACAGAAGTTAACAATCATATGGTTCCATGTGTTTATCGTGGGAAAGGAAAGGAAAGTGTAAAGGAGATCATTCTCTTCTCTGGCTTGAAGAATTATACAAGGGAAAGTAAATGGAAAATTCTTGATTCAACACATCATTCCAGGAAATCATAGATTGAAGAAAGATTGGTAAGATATGAATAAGTATTTCATACGTCCTGAGAAGAGATCTTCAGCCAACTTGGTGGAGTCCTCTTGTATGGCAGAGCTGAAGCTGATATACCCTTACTGCAACCAAAAAATATTTTAAAAACACAGAAATTCAAAGGCATATAAGACAAGTATCATACAGAGTGATAGAGGTAGAGAGGAGAGACAATAAGATCAAGAACAAACCCTCGACTGTGCATGCGACCCATTTCAACGGCGTAGTGTGTGTGTGGCGCTGCCGCTCTAGTTAAACGGTATTGCTTCTACCAGTGCAAACCCTAGATTGCTGAAACGGATAGTCGAGATTAGGACCTTTTATATAGCTCTCTCATATTTGCAATTGAGCCCTTGGTTTTTGTTTCTTTTCGTTTTTTCACCCTTCTAAATGGAGTAAATATTGAATGTGGCAATTACACTATGTTAGGGGTGCAACGTGAAATAACCATCTAATAAAAAAATTATAAATAAATAAAATGGAGTCCACTTGCTTACATGAAGGTGGATATGTATTAGATCAGGAAGTAATTATGAATTTTTGTGAAACTCACTTGTAGACTAGTTCACTGATTTATACCAAATGACATTGTATACGTGTATATTTTGTAAATTATTTAGACAGCCCTAAAATTTGGAATTTACCAATGACTACCACATTAAATAAAGGTTCATGAAATAAAAATAAGGATTTAGATTCATTTTTCAAGTGTAATTTTGTAACTAAGTCAAAAATCCCACAAAATATACTTAGATTAAAAAATTAGAAAAATTTATAATATAAAATAAAATAAAATTTAATAAATCTATTCGACGGTCTCAAATAGACTCATTCAACAACTATCAATATCTCTCTCAAAACTATTCATATTTTATCGTGTCGGACATGGGTNAATAAAATAAAATTTAATAAATCTATTCGACGGTCTCAAATAGACTCATTCAACAATTATCAATATCTCTCTCAAAACTATTTATATTTTATCGTATCGGACACGGGTTACCTAGTAATGTATAACATAGGATGAGTCATAATCGAGTGGATTAATTTGTTGAACGCATGCAGATGTGAAATCATGGATGAATTTTTCTCTTGGTAACAAAAATCACATAATCCACTTTTGGAGTGTGCGCGGTGCGGTAGCTGTGTAATAAAGGAGACAATACCCTTTGAGTNTTACCTAGTAATGTATAACATAGGATGAGTCATAATCGAGTGGATTAATTTGTTGAACGCATGCAGATGTGAAATCATGGATGAATTTTTCTCTTGGTAACAAAAATCACATAATCCACTTTTGGAGTGTGCGCGGTGTGGTAGCTGTGTAATAAAGGAAACAATACCCTTAGTGAAATTGAGCAAAAATACAGTGGAGGGTTACATCTTACTTGCTATGTACAGCATTATTTATCAAGTAGTTAGTCTTAGGTTCCACTTTGTTTCCTGCAAGAGGAAGTGAATCTGTAAAAATGTTCTTCACCAGTACATTCATCCACTCTAACAATCCAATGACTCTTCTTTCCACCACCAGCTGGTATTCTAGCCACCACCGACCCCTTCCCAATGGGTAAAAAATGCCCCTTCACTTCCCTCAACCATGGTCCCTTCTGAAGGGCATTGTACCCCACAACAAGAGCTCCACCATTACTTGCACCCCTCTGCGCTGCAAGAAAAATTCCTTCATGATCTTCGATATTGAAGTCGATGAGCACAAAATCAGCGCCTCTGCAGTCGTTCAACAATATTTTCCGAGCGTCTCCGACCACGAACTCAACTATATCTTCGTGGTGTCCGAGAAATTTTTCTGATGCATGGAAGTCTTTGAGGTTGCGGAAGATGCAGACTTGCCGACCACCTGTTTGATGTGCGGCCGCGACCAAAGCCAGTGCGGTGGATCCGGCGGTGCCTGCGCAAGCCATGACCATGAGTTGAGTGTTGTTGCCTGCAGCTAGCGCAGATATGAACTCTGCTACATCAGGTTCCTTCCCTCTCTTTCCCTGATATATTCAGCAGAAACCCAAATGAGATAACAAACAGATGATGAAAATTGAACTCAGTTTGTTTCTAAGCTTCTCAAAAAAGTCATGGCTTGGCCTAACCTTTGGCTCTAAATTTATAATTCGTCTCTATTACTACTTAAACTACCATTTGGATTAGTGCTGAAAAAGTTTTACAAAACAACAATGCTACCGATACTTATTTTGAGGATGTAATTAAAAGACATAATGCATTGCAATTATTGCAATCGTAGTTAGTTTTAGTGTGAAATGAAATCGAACTCATAATCTATTAGATCCTCAAATTAAATTAATGTAGCATTGTTGCTCATAAGACACATCGAATACCAAGTATGGAGTGAAGAATCCTTTTGTTTTTGTTAAGTGGATGATAGTCATCATAAATTACAAAGGTGCAATGGATCTGTCGATGCAAATGATAGACAGTTTCGTCTCGAGCTTAGAGAAGTTAATTTTCAGACTCAAACCTGCAACGTATTGTTTAAAAGTATGAACGCTTATAAATCTTAGCCATCATGAGTTCTTTATGAAAATTTAATGTAATTAATGTAGCTGAAACTCTGAATAGTTGTGTTAAAAGTTTTTATTTCAAGAATTCACTTCACATATAACATTAGAAATCTTTACCCTTGCAAATGCAATGATTAAAGCCGGAGGCTCTGGGGGAACATGTAGCCAACAAGTCCTTAGCTATGAACCATCCAGTACTGAGCACTTGGTCTAGAAGTTGGGCATGTCATTTGATAGATCCTAAATACTAATTACCTTTGTCTATTTGGGGACATTTTAGACAAATTCAAGTCACGGTGCCTAGACACCTTATAACTTANAACATGTAGCCAACAAGTCCTTAGCTATGAACCATCCAGTACTGAGCACTTGGTCTAGAAGTTGGGCATGTCATTTGATAGATCCTAAATACTAATTATCTTTGTCTATTTGGGGACATGTTTTAGACAAATTCAAGTCACGGTGCCTAGACACCCTATCCTATAACTAANTAGCGCAGATATGAACTCTGCTACATCAGGTTCCTTCCCTCTCTTTCCCTGATATATTCAGCAGAAACCCAAATGAGATAACAAACAGATGATGAAAATTGAACTCAGTTTGTTTCTAAGCTTCTCAAAAAAGTCATGGCTTGGCCTAACCTTTGGCTCTAAATTTATAATTCGTCTCTATTACTACTTAAACTACCATTTGGATTAGTGCTGAAAAAGTTTTACAAAACAACAATGCTACCGATACTTATTTTGAGGATGTAATTAAAAGACATGATGCATTGCAATTATTGCAATCGTAGTTAGTTTTAGTGTGAAATGAAATCGAACTCATAATCTATTAGATCCTCAAATTAAATTAATGTAGCATTGTTGCTCATAAGACACATCGAATACCAAGTATGGAGTGAAGAATCCTTTTGTTTTTGTTAAGTGGATGATAGTCATCATAAATTACTAAGGTGCAATGGATCTGTCGATGCAAATGATAGACAGTTTCGTCTCGAGCTTAGAGAAGTTAATTTTCAGACTCAAACCTGCAACGTATTGTTTAAAAGTATGAATGCTTATCGTGCCTCGAAATCTTAGCCATCATGAGTTCTTTATGAAAATTTAATGTAATTAATGTAGCTGAAACTCTGAATAGTTGTGTTAGAAGTTTTTATTTCAAGAATTCACTTCACATATAACATTAGAAATCTTTACCCTTGCAAATGCAATGATTAAAGCCGGAGGCTCTGGGGGAACATGTAGCCAACAAGTCCTTAGCTATGAACCATCCAGTACTGAGCACTTGGTCTAGAAGTTGGGCATGTCATTTGATAGATCCTAAATACTAATTATCTTTGTCTATTTGGGGACATGTTTTAGACAAATTCAAGTCACGGTGCCTAGACACCCTATCCTATAACTAAAAAATAAAAAAGTTAATCACAAATTATACATCGAAAGATAGTTCGAATCTCAATTTACACTCTCAAAAATCAAAAATCTCAATTTACATCCTCAAAGATATAAATTTATATTAATGTGTACCTGAATCTAATAACTATAAAATTAAATAGATAAATTATACTTAGATCCCTTCATACTTATCACTTAATTATTTGGACCCCCTCATATTTAGAATATTACTCCTACACATCTTGTTGTTTGTGCACGTGTAACACATAATCTCTTGTCATTGATATCTATTAATATAACCGTTAAAAAACATGATTTCATCCTAATAAAAAATATAATTACATCCTAATAATAAATTATAATTTTTGTACTACCCTTTATTTTGTGGGTCCGTTATACTCTAACGTTTAAAATCAAACTTACTATTTGAATATCCAATATAATGCAAGTATTTATATAATATTATTTATATCTAATACAATACATCATTTAAACAAAATTATTTGGATGACTAATTGGGGGAATATTTTTAGTCATATTTAGCTCCTAAAAGGATGTAGGTGTAATATTTCAAATGTGAGGAATCGAGTTGATTAAGTGATAAGTATAAAAGGATTTAAGTATAATTTATCCATTTAGTTTTAGATGACAAACTGACGACTGTTAACTTGAGATAAGCATTGATAACAAATTTTTATCTTTAAGAGTGTAATTTAAGATTTTTGGTTTTTGAAGATACAAATTGAGATTCGAATAATCTTTTGGGGTGCAATTTAAAATTAATCCAAAATAAAAAAATTTTTAAAAAAAAAAACACCTGGAAAACTCTTGCCAGACGAAGTAGCCTAAATTAATGTTTTGGTGGCCTTCCTGGTAGGTACCTTTGCTGAAAAATTGGACTTTACACAAACATCTCTGATCCCTACATCATTCCCAAAATATTCACATGCTAACAGCAATAATATTTTTGATCAGGAAACCCTAAGGAAAGTCTAGGGTATCGAATTCAATATCAGCCCCAACCTAAGTTCGTTGAACCCATTGAATCGTAATTTTACATGTTCAAATCATAATTTGATTCGATTTAAGTTGTGCATTTTGCTAAGAAATCAAGAAGTAACTTTCGATACTACAGTCTTTTCCCGACAACCCTAATGTATATGAAACGGTAGAAAACTAGACATATTAAACTCTTTGTAGCCTTCTTTCACGACTAGTTATGTAATGCCCCATGTTCATTCAGGCAGAAGCCAACATGCTCCCAAAATAGGCCTACAAGGAGAATAGTCCATTCTTGTGTCGAATATCAGTATCACATCTGTGCTATGGGGTGATGGAGAAGTTAGCCCCCAAAAAAAAGATATGGTAAATAGATAATATAAGANTATCTTTAAGAGTGTAATTTAAGATTTTTGGTTTTTGAAGATACAAATTGAGATTCGAATAATCTTTTGGGGTGCAATTTAAAATTAATCCAAAATAAAAAAATTTTTAAAAAAAAAAACACCTGGAAAACTCTTGCCAGACGAAGTAGCCTAAATTAATGTTTTGGTGGCCTTCCTGGTAGGTACCTTTGCTGAAAAATTGGACTTTACACAAACATCTCTGATCCCTACATCATTCCCAAAATATTCACATGCTAACAGCAATAATATTTTTGATCAGGAAACCCTAAGGAAAGTCTAGGGTATCGAATTCAATATCAGCCCCAACCTAAGTTCGTTGAACCCATTGAATCGTAATTTTACATGTTCAAATCATAATTTGATTCGATTTAAGTTGTGCATTTTGCTAAGAAATCAAGAAGTAACTTTCGATACTACAGTCTTTTCCCGACAACCCTAATGTATATGAAACGGTAGAAAACTAGACATATTAAACTCTTTGTAGCCTTCTTTCACGACTAGTTATGTAATGCCCCATGTTCATTCAGGCAGAAGCCAACATGCTCCCAAAAAAGGCCTACAAGGAGAATAGTCCATTCTTGTGTCGAATATCAGTATCACATCTGTGCTATGGGGTGATGGAGAAGTTAGCCCCAAAAAAAAAAGATATGGTAAATAGATAATATAAAAAGAGTTTGTATGCCACGTCGATATAAGCAAACTATTGCAAAAACCTTGTTATGACCAGAATCAAACCATAATTTTGCATTTTACCATGTATTAGTTTTCATTGATATATTTCATAATGGGAATTTATGCCAGCTTCTATTTTTTGCTTGTGGGTGATTATGTTTTCTTATTAGGTCAGGGATGGTACAAAAAATACGTGGTAGCACAGAATCTCCATGTGGAGGGGAAGTTGAAACATGTTTTTTTTTGGGTACATTAAATGAATATATAAATAAGTCCCACCACATATTCGTCAGAGAGCATTACCTTTCAGCACCACACAGCTATTTGTTAAAGACCCCACTGCACCTATGTCAGGGCTGAAACTAAGGTCCTACTACGTATTTCGGGCACTGAAGAGTAGGTCTAACCACACCAAACTGTCATAACTATAGACACTCGAACCCCAAGTATTAAGTAAGGAAATTCGAATTCTTATCCATTGAGCTAACAGCTCGTTGGTGAAACATGTATTGAGGGCACTAGAGAAAACCTTTGAACACATATATCAGGTAACATAAATTATGCTTAATTTCAAGGAATCACAATCAAGACAAACAAAAAACTACAAGCAGGACTTTCCATTAATGTTTCCGTGGATCAAGACCATGATCATAGTCATAGATTCATAATTATTTATATAATCCGGTGTCGGGGATATCTAAACTTCATCAAAACAATGGAATAACAACAGAAACTGGCAAGCAACTACTGAAAAGGTTTATCATTTCAAAACCGGAGTTTGAAAGCTAGTTTAAAAAAAAAAAAATACACCCTCATAAGAGAAGCATACGACGATGAGAGCACCAAGTTCTAACATAGTTGATTATATATATAGACAGCACCAAACAAAGGAACAGTGACTAACTGTTAAAACTTATCCCATTCTATTCAATATTAACTGGGATAACTTTTTTGGCTCTCCTGGTATCATCCACAACTTCACTACCTGTTTCCATTCCTCCAGCACTTCCTGAGTGATCTGTCCATGGAAGAGCCCAACCCCAACCATCCCAATTTGCCAGCCCATCCCATCCACTGCTGCTAGCACCTACTACTAGAAATGGAAATAATGAAACCAACCAACCGTAACTTTCAGGAATGATAGCTGACAATGCTCAAAAAGAGGCATAGAGGCGTTATCACATCAAAAAATATCATCAGAGGTGTCGTATGGAACATTTAATTGAAACAAATATCAACTCTTCAGCACACAAATGTAGTCTTGCATCTATTACGTCAACCACAAATAAGAGACAAATATATTTCAAGCAAGCAGCTGTTGGGATCCAATGCGCTTTAAACCCACAAATAAACACACACAATTGAAGAATAAACCAAAAACAAAAAACAATGAGAAACAAGAAAGAACAAGACACACAGATTTTACGTGGTTCGGCAATTTGCCTTCTTCTACGACGTTGCAAGGATTTCGCTATTAAGAGAGCGGAATACAGAGAGCAGCTATACAGTTACATTTAAACCCTAATCATCAAAGTAATAGGTTTTTATATGTCCTGTGTACCGGGCAACAAAACAAGCCCAAAAAATTTTCTTCGCCCTTCGCTCCATGGACTAAGTCTCAAAAAATTTTCCATTAAAAACCACGCAATATTATTTCAAGTCGGATTATCATCCGGACACAAACTAGACTTCACAAAAGGCCCAACAGCAGCTACAACTAGGCAATTGTGAATCGATAGCTCAATGCACACCTTTTAACTGCTGTAAGTGTAACAGTGTTGTGCAATTTTATGCACTTACCATGTACATGCCACTGTTGTAACACAAAAAAAATAGCAAGTTGGGGACAAAGCATGTTTAGGGACGTTATCAAGTCCAATTCATTTAATGACCAACTTGGCCAAGAATCAAGATAGGTGATGCTAATCAGCCTACTCTTATATTCTAAGACGAAACTGCAAGAATATATTATGGTGCAAATGCAATACATATTACTTTGGCGTACTCAACATTTAAGTACTTAATTCAAGAGATAGAGATCCAGAATTTACGACTGAAACAAAAATGGCCAATTTTTAATCTAAACTGTTACCTGGTTAGGAACCAAACACCAATCTTACCTGCACTCTCAAGCAAATTCAACTCATTGTTCCAGCCGGGTAAATTCCTGTCAGCATTGACTTTCCATGCTTCTTCAAAACCAGCAAGCTCATCTAACAAACACCTCAACATAAGATACTGATACAATCCCCGAAAATAAGACATCCAAGGTCCACAAAGGATAAGAATTAAAAACAGACCTTCATTCAAATTGTGTAAAGTCTGCAATGAATCCATTCTACCATCTGAATTGTGTTTTGTCGTAACTGAATGGCCCTGCACAAGCAATCAAATCATCACAATTTCAGTACATCCTACATCTCCAGTATGAAAGGACCACTCAGTGCCTTCTAATCTTATATTTGCAACATCTACCACAAATTTTTTGTTAGAAAAAACTCCTGATTAATTCTCCAATATGCAAATCCTAATTAAAAATAATTCAGCCTCACAAAAGTCCCCAACTACTCAGAGTAGCACAATGAAATCTCTCTGTTTCTACGTTTTCTTTTCCATTCAATATCAAAATTCTAAAATCTTGTTTCTCTGGAAACTATTAAAAAAAACACCATGTAGGAATACCTTATCATGGATTCCTCTGGAAATAGTATGTAGTGCTTCACCCACTGTCTTATCCTCTTCTTTCATCTCTACCAGAACCACCTACGCCACAAAGGAAAAAACTAAAAAATTGAAAATCCCAAAACCCACAAAAGATTCAAATTCTGCACTAGGAAAAATTAACATACCCCATCATCACCAATCCTCCTAGCAACAGCAGAAGTATAATACATTCCATTTAACCCACCATAGGCAACTCTCCGAAAGCTATAATTCTGCGTTCCTGTAAAGTGAACCATACAAATTTCATATAAAAGCAATTGAAAGTACATTATTTATTTTATATCTCAATCACAATACGGCATGTCAGGAATAGAATGTAAGAACGACATGTACCGTTGGCTTTGTCATTTGGGTTCTTAATCACTATTTCTTTGCTTGGCACAGAATGCTTCTGAGCATTATCATCATCATCAGAGTTTATTTCCTCAATAGTTATTTGCTTTTTGGGACCAGCTTGGGTATCGAACAGATGAGTGAAGAATGGGTCATTGAATGGATTTTTCCCACCAAATATGTAATCAAATGGTCGAGTAAAGAAGGGATCATCAAATGGGTCTTTCCCTCCAAAGAACTTCGACATCTTTCCCAAAAACTAACCAATTTGTGACCTGAGCATAAGAAAACACTCAGATTCCATGGCAAACCTCATTTCATAACAGATTTAGAATAGAAAATTACATTCGTTCATATGTGAAAAACCAAAACTACATAGAAATACATTGTTTCGAAAGAAAACCCACATCATAATTACTAGATGATATGCAATTCCTTCAACAAACACTACATATTCCTATGCATTTTATGACAGACTTCAACCCTAAAACCCAAAGGTGCTGCATCTTCTAATTGTCTGAAATTTTCTTCACTCAGAAAAATTCTTGTTCTCCATACACACACTACAGATGCTTACCCATCGAAACAGAGAATAAGAACGAAGAATAAACAAGACAACACCGTACGGAATTATAGACAGTATATACAATGGCAGAAAATTTACCTCGACACTGAGTGAAGCTTTGCTTCAAAGCGAGAGGAGAGAGTGCTTTTTTGAACAGGCAAGTGAAGAAGCTTCCGGAAAACTGTGGACACCAATTATGAAAATTAATAAAATATTGAATAATTTTTTTTAACAGCTTCAATAATACTATACTACTAATCTATTTTATTAGTAATAATTTTTATAGTAAATAATATGTATACAAAATACACGTGTCATTTTTATTTATTAATTAAAAAATATTAAATAAATTTAAAAAATTAACTTAAAAACTTGACTTGATAAATTATTACCATTAAATAAGTAATGAGTCACAATAAATACTAGAACCTATAATTAAATCAATGAAAAATATAATAATTATATCAGTAAGTCATATTTTTAAGTCTGTATAGCATTGCTCAATTAATTATAGAGTAGTGAGTGAAGTTAGTTTGCCAAATTTAAAGAATTAAATTAGACTCTCGATTTTAGTTAATCTAAATATAGAGATGAATTGGAGATGAGTTTCCGGGGATTGACGGTTTAAAATAGAGAATTAAGTGAGAATATGTTCTTATTCATTTCTTTCTTATTTCTCTTCAGAACAACATCTCAACTAATACACATTTCTTTTCTTTTTTTTTTCTCCACAAATCACCAATCATTCACCTGATATTTATAGTTGGGAAGTTAAATCTCAACTTATAAATTTAATTTTTATTTATTTTGATCCAATAATACAAAATTTATCTTAATTATTCATTTTTCACTCAAAAAAATTATATTCCCTGCATGACTCCAATATCAGATAATTCAATCAACATAACTCTTCGATGGTAGATAACTCAACTAATCTATATAGGGGTCGAGCAAAAAAATTATTTTAAGGTGAGTGCACACTAACTACAAGATTCAAATTTTTTTTTAACATTTTTTTTTTTTTGTTGTCGGTAAAAAAGGGGATGGGGGGAAAGACGAATGCCCAATGACCACCTTGATAGACAGAGAGTGTCGGCCCAATCTTTAGACCATTGCCTAGGGTCCCCAAATTGGAAGATAAATTTGGGGCCCCAAAATAAAATAAATAATAATATCTACTTAAAATCTTAGATTTTAGAATATAATTTAAATGTTCAATATATTTTAATTATTGAATTAATAGTGAGTGTTAACTTTAAACAAAAATTATTATTTATCTAATGTACTTGATCCTCAAAAAATCAATTGTCTATCATAAAATAGGTACTAATAGTAATTTTACATTTGTATAAATTAAATTTAAGATCATTTTTTAATAACTTTGTTTACAATACACATGATGACTATAAAATAGAGTGAATATAAGTAGTGCATTAGTTATCTTTTCTATTTAAAAATAACACTTTTTCTTTATGATCTCTAACAATTAGGGGTAACTTGTGCTTGAAGGTACAGTGCAACATAAGTAAGAAGTGATTAATTTAGGAGAGAATATTCAATTTGAGTGATTTTAAGAGAGATGTTGGTAACTGTTGGATACCGTTGAATAGACTTATTGAAGTCTCCTCTATTTTATATTATAGATGTCTCATTTATTTTAAAACTACTCTACTTGTATAAATTCCTATTTTTATATACTTTTTGAAAAAAATAATTATTTTACTATTTAAACTAATATTTAATTATTTTTCTCTTTTATCTTAAACAAATAGCATGTATCATTGTATTTAATATCTATTAATACAATTTTTATTTGTAAAAGTTAAATTTAAAATTTGAATTAATATGTTATATCTCAAAAGGCAAAACAAATAATTTGTAAATAAAAATATTTTAATAAATATTTGATATTACTATTATTATTATTATTGAATAAATATTTATAGGATTTCATATAACATTTTTGCCTCCTATCCCAAACTAGGTTGGGCCACCCCTGCTAATAAATCTTCATTGGTGGAATCACGAGGCTCTTAATCACGCATGTTATTCCTCTCGGGAACGAACCTATTTAGACTAATATAACGATCAATTACTGAGCTCTAAAATAACCTTCAAGACTCGAACCTTCAATCTCAAAGTGACAAAATTCAATCGATACCCCCGTTGAACCACCCCATTCAATGGTAAGACGAATGTTGTTGAATGCTTGCTGGTGAGGGTGAAAATGAATAGACTTCTCCAAAGTATAACATCTCTAGCTCTATTCACAAGTCAGTCAATAAACACTACACTATCCGATCAAAAAAATAGACACTACACTAGTAGGATAGGTCAGGTAATTAGGAATGATTTTGAGTCCTTCCTATAGCAAATATGTCATGGTTACAAGAGTCTATCCATCACATCTAAGCTTTAAGGGAAGCACAAAACATCCAGACTAAGTCAACAATAAAGCAAGAAAAATGTATGCAACCACTTCTACATTTGAAACACTTCATTGAAGTTTTTCGATTTGTAATTTTCCTTATAGGAAACAAAAAACACAACAGAGACAAAGAAGATAAAATTTGTTTCAGTCATAAGCCATACAGATATTTGTAGTTCAAACAACAAACATGAACTAGAGAAAACCCTTTTGTTTGCAGCATTGAATTGCTCCATCGTACATATCCTCGAGGCCATGCTTATACTTGAACCCAATATCCAGGAGTTTTTTTGATGAGAGGCCCGGAAATTTAATCCCTCTGATCTCCTTTAAACAACTGTAAATTAAAAATGGAGGTGAATTGAATATTTTCTGACAAAGAAAAGCAAACTTAAGATAAGAAAAATAGAGTTTAATACTTACTCGGCAGTTGGAATTTGATATTCAGGGTATCTGGATGAAAGAAATTTAGCCATCTCTTGAATTGTTATTTCGACTGCTGCGCATATGTACCTTCCTTTTGCATCAGGATGTTCAAGAAGGAAAATATGTGCACTGGCCACGTCGTCTACATGCGCCAAAGTTGTATTAACGAGATAATTGTACTGGTCCTTATCACCTGCAAAATTATAAATTTTCTAAAGACCAAATTGAAGTAACCTTTTTAAATGGCATTTACCGTAAGATTTACAGGCCATATTTGATTGTAACTAAGAATGCTAATGGGAATTTCGTAAACTGCTCTTATACAGTTTACCCAGACCTCGATCTTCAATAGTCTAAATCTGTCTCAACCTCAGAAAATAAATGAATCATATAATTGGGACCTAAAGAAGTACAGCAACATGCAACTAAAGATATCATAATTATTTGTCATGAGAAACAAAACATACCAAAAATCATAGCCATTGATGAGCGCACCGAGTCTGGCAAACGAGGACAGATGAAGGGGCCATGGATAAAAGGAGGAATTACGGTCACGAGATCCAATCCATGTTTTTCAGCAAACTCTAAAGCTGCTCTTTCAATTGAAGTCTTGGCAATCGTGTATGAAGTTCCAACAACTTTTAGAGCTCTAACAAAATCTACATCGGTCCATGTGCTTTCATCAAGTACATCTAAACCCTTGTTTTGACCAAAAACAGTGGATGCACTAGAAGTACACACAACTCGTTTAACTGTCTTTGATTCAAGGCATGCCTTTAAAATGCTTAGTGTCCCATCAATGGCTTTTTTGGTCTTTGTTTCTTCTGTTTCCTTGTCCTCAAAATCCATGGGAAAAGCAACATGAAACACTCCAATGCATCCCGCAATTGCTGCATCAAAACTGCCTGGAATATAGAGATCTGCATTGAAAATTTGTAGTCTTTTTGTTGCGCCAGGTAAGTTTGTGAGGAAGCTAATATCCTTCTTCTTGTCTGGGCAATACACAAACTGTTAATGATTTCTGATAATACAAGATAGAAGGTGCACAAAGTCACAACGCACAATTTTCACAACTACCAACATTAACAATTACAGGAGAGTTCAGAATGCGAATTCAGTATATCAGCATATGACCTCAATACAAGCTGGATTGAAACTCTGTTTTATAGGAGAGAAAGCTGGAAGATCTAAAATTCTGCTGCCCTTCAAATGGTAAATCTGTGGGTGGGGACTGATAATTTCAGACCGTGTGTGCAAAAAAATTTATAACTGAAAGGAATGCTATGTAGATATGAAATTAAGTGAATTGAAATGCAACATGGTTTTGTCCACGAGCTCAGCCATGAGTTCCAAGAAATCCAGATATATAAGCAAGGGATGCAATTCCAAATGAACTTATGCCATTGTCCTGTGAACTTTCTGACAGCATCCTTGCAAGTAAAAAAATCACTTGCCAATTACTTGGATGCAATTTTATTGGAGAACATGTTACAAAGAAAGGCAATCAGACCAAACCCGAAGCAAGTCAGGCATCGCTTTTTGTTTCTTGGGTTTTACTTTTCTGCTTAGAGCAACCAATTAATCCTCCCGGATCCATTGTAGTTCCGTATCCCACATGTACCATGTTAGTTCCATTATTCCAATTAGGAACGGCAAGAATATAGTGACTTTGGACAATGAAAATGTTGGAGCTGCAATTGAACAAACTTGCAAAGAAGACATTAAAATGGTGGTTTTGTAACCACGTCATGTTCATATGGTTTCAAACTAAAGTAAACAGATGAATGCATTAACAACGATAATAATAAAATAAAATAAAAAAGACCACTTTTCTATCCACAATTCTTCTCTTCTTGCGACTCTTCTGACCGTGTTCTGACTCAGATTTTTGACAAAATTCCATTGAGAATTCACACTAATATGAGGGGGCTTTTATGGGAATTGAAAACCCATAAAATAATCCTTGAATCAGGTAAATTTGAAAGAATTTCAGAAAGACCACCTTTAGTTCATTATAAATTCTTAAGCATACACTACTGTAATTTGAGGGTGATTACAAGTATCTAGAGTTTACTCTCATAAGGATGAGTCCAAAGTGTCCCTGCCTTGGACAGGTTCCTCGTTACTAAGAAAAAAACTTCTTAAACAAACGATTCAAACTCTCTCCGTTACATTTTCTTTCAATTTCACCCGAGCATCAATCACAAGTGAGAGGCCCACTTATAAATAATGGGTCTTATGATAGGTAAATCTAACCATAGTCCTAATCCGGCCATGTTTTGGAGCTTCATCGGAGATAACTTTTCCAGCCATATAACCGACAAGCTTAAACTTTAAGAGAAATTGAAGGCAATTTCTTATGCTAAGAATAAAGGATCTGCCACACACCGAGAGTCCAACCCACGTGGTCTTTATATAATCATCATCTAGTTACAAGATAAGTAACATACCACCAGATTTGATCTTCTAAATAAACTCCTAGAAGTACTGAAAGATTATAAAAGATAAATACATGTGAGGATAACTCCTTGAGTTATTGAATCAATAGGACACTCTAAGATAGCCTTAAGTTGATCGGGGATTGCATCCACCATCAACTCGGACTTAAGGTAATTGAACTGTTGAGATGACGTACTTAATCTGTAGCATAGTTACCGCAATTCACTGAACCCTGACGATCTATGAACTGGATATTTCTATCGCAAATGGGGTGACACGATCTAAATCATTAAAATGGACGAACCCAAATTGTAATACTAACCTTAAATCAATTCACTTTAAAACATATACCATGTACAAAAGCAAATTTGTTCTTAAATCAACTTCCAGAACGTTGTATCAATGCTTAATTTTAAGTTTAAACATACAAAGCACTGTAAATCTTTGCAATCGCCGAGAAAATATTAAAAAAAGACAAGCTAAAAGTGTAGAATCAACATACTGTGACTTTGATGGGTAACGAGAGCGTTATTGGATGTCAGGTAGCTTGAAGCAGGGTACGGTGAGGACTATCTATGGTGCATTTGGTCTGTGAAGGCTTGCGAGTGGAAGGTTGCGCTGGTGCTGGTTGGGTGCTGTACCGGAGCAGACGGCGGATCGTGGTGGTGGTGATTCGGTGGTTGCAGGGAAGGGTAGGTAGCCGGGTACTGAGGAAGAAGATGAATACGAGGGTATTTTCGGGCAGAGCACATTTTTCTTTACCGTGATTAAAAGGCTAATTGTAATTATACTTAAATAATTTTTTAAAATTTAATTTAACCCAATAATTTTTGACCAAATATATAAAGACTAGTCAATTTAAACGTAATTTATAATAACGCTTTGGTTCAAACCAAAGGTCAGAGCACGGTGCCAAAATATTATTTTTTATTCCATTCAGATGATTCGTTTTGCCTGATCCCCAAATCAAAAGAAGTTAATGTGATTATTGTTTAATAAGTGGAAGTGAGACGGGACGATTAATAAACGGATCAAATATGAGTAAAATTAATTAAAAAATACGTGATATAATTTATTTATATATGATACGTGACATAATTTATTAAATACAAATTAACAAATAAATTAAATATGAATAAAATCATTTTAATACGAACCAGTTTACTCGACAAAATAAATAACTTTGATATAGCCTAAATATATGGATCAGAGATGATGCGTGTGTTCAAAGTTCATCCGACTTGGAACATGTATGACAATGCAAATTCAAGCTAAAATGAGTCATAAAGGCATGATATATCTGCTTTGGAGAAGATGATATCGATGAACTAACCTGGTTCAGACGACCTAACTGTTGCATGGACAGAATAACCCTGTTCAAGAAGCTTCATAATCAGCCATGATGCTACAAAACCAGTTCCACCGGTTACACATACAGCTCCCTTGTTATGTCCTTCCATCCCTCTCTCTCTCTCTCTGTGTCTTGGGGGGCGTTTCACTGGCCCCTTTTAGCTTTATAAATAGTACTGTGACAGTGCATAAGAAGAATGGGAAACAATACTTAATTGACTTAATGTCAACTTTTCGTCGGTTTTAGTAGCCACAAAGTTTGAAATTCTTATCGCCTCCCACAACTGACCATGCCCTCTCTGACTCTGGGGGTCTATTTGAACCTGAATATAAATAGAATACCTCTCATTTCAATGGGTCAAGCACACCTTGCTTCTAGACGGTCAATAAATGCCTTGTTTCTCGGGGGAGTGTTTGTGGTGGCAGCAATGGTGGTGGTAATGCCAGTGACCAAGTGATAACAGCGACAATAATGGTGGTGAAAATGGTGGCTGTAGTGGTAGTGGTAGTGGTGATGACAAAAGTATATTTTGAATATCTAGTTATGAATCAACCAACTTGTTATAATCCAACACATTAATATGGTGGAGTATGTAAAACCTTACATTAATATTCATTGAGGTTACTTACAAACGCAGTAATCAAATTGCAGAAACTTCCAGTGACACCATCTTTTCGTAATAAAATCTACACAATTACGGTCTGAGAAGCATTTCAAAAATATATATATTCCAAACATACACAATTGTTACGTGGGATAGAGTTTAATCTACATTTCTGGTGAAGTATGTAAAACCTAAATGAAACATCAGAGCATTTCTTATCTTACAGCACCCAATACCCGAATCGATAACCAAAACACGAAGTAATATCAGCCCACCAACGACCCATCCCAACACTATGCAATCCACCCAGCTTCTGCCCAACCTGTTCGATGCATTAATCTCTCTTTCTTTTTTGTTACGAGATTCTGGTGGGAATAGTGGATCCCAAGCCCAAGTTAGTTAAGACCTGTCGAAACTAATTGAAGAGTAAACAAAAACTCTGTGGAGGACTTCAGAATAGCTGTTGGAAAAAGGATGCGTCCAAGTTCCAAACGTGATGTCAACTTGTTAATGATACTCAGAACTCTTGGGCATCCAAGTCAGGCTTTGAAGGATATTCAAGACCCTGAAGGGCGGGCATTCTACGTAAATCCTCTTCAGAATAAGCTGGGATGAACCAGTATCGCTTGTCTGTCCCAAACACCTGATACAAAACACCGGAACAGTAGTTAAGAAAGACCAAGATGAGAGCTGACAAATTTATAAGTGATCAAGACAATGCCGCAGCTTAGAAAATTAGAAATATTAGTTAGGGATCTTCTGTTTCAACCTGCAGACACAAAACCAAATCAGTACTGTCCAGTCTGTCCTTGTGTTACAACTTAGATTAGATGAATATCATCCCAAATTAGAATAATAATAACGCGCCATGCACACAGAGGAGATCGATTATGACTTAGGAGAAGCAGGGCCACCAATATTTCATGAGTATAATGTGTGACAAGATATCCACTATATTTTTTCTTTCTCCTCAACCTCATGAGCAAGAATAACAACTCAATAAGCTTCAGTTCTAAACCACCATACACCAGCTACATGGATTCTTCTTCCCTAGTCTATTCCACAATCAAGTCTTTTCTCCCAGCCTCATCCCACATTCTTTATACCGTCCTCTTCATTAGTTGGCAACCTTAATTTTGAACAAATCACTACTTCATATGTTCTATGCTGCACAAAGCAACATCTTAAATTATTGTAATTCCATGGTGCATACCTTCAATGATTCCTACTCTTGTTCCCAGGAATTTATTTGCTTATTTTAAATTATTCCCCACATTACAACTCATAATCAACATCTTTATTTCAGGGACACAACTCATTTTTTCCCAGAAGTCCCATAAAAGTCAAGTCTTAGGTTGATGAATCAAGCGAGTTTTCATCAAAAGGAAAAAGAGAACTAGGTATCCCACAAAATTCCATGTAAAAAGAAGAAATAACAATGGTAGAGTGTTATAAAATTGACCAACCTGTTCAAAGTTCCTCTTCCGACCAAGGTCATATCGCCATTTTGGTGTGGTCTTCTTCTCATACGCCTAAACACAAGGCAACAAATAAATCAATAATTTTATCAAAATCTTCTGCATCTGAATTTTATAGATATCTGCTGCATCTTTCCTCCACAAAGAAGTGCTTTTGCAGAATTTCATTCCAAAAATGAAGGATAGCGAAAAGGCTTTAGTGGAATCATTAAAACTGGACATAGGATTTTGGTCACCAATTTTTCTTTCCGGTGAAAATAACTTCAGCATCAACTAAGATTTTGGGTGCCCTTTTTTCACCTTACAAACACCCCCCACCCCTCCCAAACAAAAAAAAATCCCATCTTCTTCAAACAACTCGAGGTCCTGGTGCTGGATATACTCGGAGACACCTACCCAAATAGTACATTTGTGGTACAAACATTTTACAGGTTCATTCCCGATCCTTAAAAACACTAGGGCCAAAATTTCTCTTGCACTCATAAGTGCAGCATAAAAAAAGATGTACCTAAAGAAACAGAAATTGAAACAGAAAAAGGTCACAATCATTAACGTTATGATTAACCATACAGAGATAACAACGAAGAAGAAGGCAATACCTCAATCGTGGTGGTATTTGCGGCCACCAGCGATATGTGCATAACCAGAAACCCCAAAACACTCAACGCAAAAGCCAGGTTCAAGACTGTGGATACCACAGGAATGGTTATATAAATATACAGAAGCAAGCAAAAGGGAATAGATCAGAGAGAAGGGGGACAGGAGAGGAGGAGAGTGAGGTCCAACAAATAGGCTCATTAGGCCTTACCAAAGGCAAGAAAAGTGGTTGCAAGGGTGCCTGGCGTCCCAGGTATCTCTCCATCACTAAAGAATGCTATAAAATGTGGTAGCAATGATAAAGTCACAAGACTGGTCTCAAGAAATGTGTAAAACTGCAACAAAAAGAATGTAATCAGCTTTGCTATTTGACAATAATGCCAATAGGATGCCAAAAAACACGAGTATTAGCAGCACCAACAAAATCTTGAAGCTCTCAGTCCACATTCACGTATTACGAATAATTATCAGAAAACCCAGAACAAATAAATCAAACACGTCAATGTTGCATCAGTCCATGATGTGTATGCCGATGCACAGATGCCACATGATAGTGGAAACATCAATAGCCAGACGAAATTTGGTATGGTACTCTGATGATCTATGAGATTACTACATGAAATAAGACAACAAACTATTGACCTGTTGGCTAGAGATGAAGATTTTCCTTTGAAGTTGTGAAGTCGTGAACACACACTACTCAATTTAATTTAATTTTTTTTTTTTTTGCTGTTTATACTACTCATTTTAATTTTCAACCAAAAAAATTAATCCCACTCTTCTCACTTGAAGCATATTAAATCACCCATTATGGGGTAAAAAAAAAAAAAAAAAAAAAGAATGCTAGGTATTCTCCCACCCTTTCCTGTCAGCCACCAAATCAGCAATATGCATATTGGAAGCATACTGAGATTCATAAATATAGGTATGTGGCTTAGTTCAATTGAGATTTGAAATTTCTAAAGAATCTGACAATAAAGTATAACACCTAGTGGTATTTACATTGAAGTAGGAAACAGACTGTCTCATTGAGGCATGTTGGGGGTTTGATAACAGAATAGTTGAAAAGCAAAAAATAACCAAATTGGTAGAATTGATGGGGAAGTTTCATGTTTTGCAACATGGAGCATGTCAAAAGATGAACAAAATCAACTTATTAAGAGTGCTGTAATAAGGAAGCAGGAATAACATACCAGAAAAAGAAGAAAATACTTGTAGTTAAGTGCCCCAACACAATTGACAACCCACACACAATGATGGTCCATCTTTAGCACACATCTCCCGCCTAAAAGAGATATATAAAATTAACTCAATTCCTCTCAGATAAAAGAATGAAAACCAAGATCACAGAGAAAATGTGTAAAAGAACTCACAAACAGAACAATGATGGCATCGAGGTGGCTTCAGCTGGTTACACTTCCGACACATTCGAATTCTTGGGTTACCTTGGTCAGCTTGCAAGGCAACAAATTCTGACACAGTCAATGGATCAGTATCGCCTATCTCCTGATCTCTAATTGGCTTCCAATTTGGTGGTACACTACCAGGATCCGTAAAAACCACAGAAAAATAACTCCATAATAGCATCACTAACTGCACAATTATTACAAAATACATCAATTTCAGCTTCATTTACCCCAACATACATCAAAACTATTTCTTTTAAACTCTGGAATTAACTGATATCCACAATGCCTGACCTGTTTTGCTATGTGGACCATAAGAGTCCTAATAAAAAACAGAACACAAAAAGATGGTTCCTCAACTCAAATTATCAAAATCGGGTTCTACATCAATGCAGGTGTACATTAATCAGTTTTCTTAACAAAAATGAACAAGAATTAAAGACAAAAAATTATGACAACCCACCAAATCAACTGATTACAATAGAAACTGATACATCACAATTTTACCATTTTTTTTCCAGTCTTCTCAGCTAAAGTAAAAAAATGTATCTCTAATATACCCTGAAATTTTGTATTTTATGACTCCAAAAGAGCTAAATTTCGAAAACTTAAACAAAATCATCTTCAATCAATCTCAGTCTAGTTAGTAAATTTCCCAACAAAATTGCACCAAAAACAAAACCCATCTTGTGATTGAAGAACCCTACAAGCCCAGTAAAAGTAATTGCAGAAAACCCAAGAAATCGAAATTCTGAGATAATTTACCAGACAATGAAACAAGATCAAGACGGCAAGTGCAGTGAGGCAATCAAAGCCACCGTCGGTCAACGTCGGACCGTAATTGGAAACAACGACGGCATAATATGAGACACCGACTACGCCGAGGACCAACAAGATCATGATCGAGCCCAGACCCCTCAGGGCCGTACAGAACTTGAACACATTCCAAGCCATCACAGCTCCAGATCTATACATACTCCAATAACAACAACAATCAAACCCAAAAGAACTGTTTTTTCTCAATTTCCTATTCTTTTACCAGTGTCTGACTTTCTCAAATGGGTTCTTGTAATTGTTTCGGTTTTCTTGAGGGTTTATGGATTACTGGTAGGGAGTATCGAATCCATGGGGAGAGAGAGAGGAAAAAGGGGTGATTAGATTATGTGGGTTAAATGAGGAAAGCATATTATTAATGGGGGTTGGTCTAAGTTACAAGTTTTTGACAACTACTTTATAATAGGAAAGTTCTTTCTTTGTTCTTTGCTCATGACTCCGTGACCGTGAGCATCTAGAGGGTTATTTGTATATAAATGTATAATTTTATTATAAGTGCACTTAATTGTATTAAACGTCCTCAAGTAGATAGTGTCCAAATTGTTAATAATATTTTATTATAAATTTGTCACATAATACTTAAATATGAATAAAAAAAATAATTTAAATAACACTTGACTAAATTTTTATTCAAATTTTGGTTAAATATCTATCTAAATTATACAATTTTGATTATGAACTATCCAATTTTTTGTAAAAAATATCTATATTACACATTTTTTTGTCAAGAGTTACCCAACTTTTGTTTAAGAGCTATTAAAATTATTTTTTGTCCATAATTAGTTATTACATGACAAATTTATGATAAAAAATCGTTAGTAATTTGGATATTATTTACTTGAAGGACCAAATAGAAACATATTCAATAATTCAGAAACAAAAATGATGCAATTGAAACATTAGAAACCAAAATAAGACAAATTTCATATTTTAAGAACCTCTAGTTCAATTAACTCTTACAAGTATCTATATAATAAAAAATTTATTTAAATAAACGGATAGTGTATAATCGAAATAAATGGTAAATACGGATTCTTATAGCCAACCCAAATGATTGGGACATGAGACTTGAATTGGTTTATATAATAAAAAACTTGATTATATATTTGTTTATACAAATTGATTTGCAGTAGTCATCACATACGTAACAAAACCATAAAATAAAAATGGGTTAATTACAAAATACCCTCTTTAACTTTGGGTAGATTGTCATTCAGCCTTTTAGATTTTAATTTTAACAAATAGTCCTTTTAAAGTTTGAATAGTTTTGTAATAAACTCCGACAGTTAATTTTAGATCATAAAACACAACGAAAGTTAGATATCATAAATTTACATGATGTATAATTTATTAAAAAAGACAATTACCCTTAAAAAGTGTGTGTTCGTGTTGGGTGGAGGTGGAGGGTGCTGGTGAAGGCGAACATGTTTTTGTGCAGTATGTTGTGTTTGGATTGAACAATTTTTATTTTTTCGATTTTTTTGTTTTTATTTTTTCTTTTTAGGGATAGAATTGATATTTAAAGAAAAAAAATGTATAAGATAGAGGGTGTAACGGTACTTTCATGTTTCAATCAACGTTAATCCGCTTAAAATTTTAAAGAAACAAATTACAACATTTGAAACCACAATAAAAATATATTTGATTTACTTCGGACAATCCTTCAAACTATACTTCAACATTTAGTTTAGTTATAGAATTTGACTTATCAATAATGTTGTTTGAACATAATTTATCGACCTAATATATTGTGTGTGTGTGTGTGTTTTTTTTTTTATATCTCAACTATCTCAATAGATCACTGCATTATTTTTCCGCTCATGTACTGGGTTAATGTTGAAGCTTGTGTAAAATCATTTCTCTACAAAAGAGTAAATTTATAGATGGTGGCCTCAAATAACTACGTTTTGCGGGATATTTGAATATTTGGGCTTTCGTTCGTGAAAGATTTATCATATAGTTGAACTACCACTAAACTGATCCCTTTGGAGTTTAATTAATTATTATCCCTTGATTGATAATATATCACCTCTAACATTAAGATTCATTAATAATCCAAGACAGTGTAATATTATGCCAATAAATTAAATCTAATTAAAATTACTCATAAAGGGCCTCTTTTTGGGTAAGAGGACTCATTGGTGATGTAGTGTTATATTGTGATACAATTTTGTTCTATCCCTCACATGTAGTCTTGATCTTCGTCTATTTATTTGATCCTGTAAAGAGAAACTACAAGGCTATATAAGTCCTGATGGCGAAGCAAAGCAAGTACTCATTTGTCTTAGGAAAATATTATTTAAACTTTATTTGACGATTTAATGAAATACAACTGCAGCATTAAAAGTCAAAACTGAATACCATCAAATTTTTTTAAATTTTTATTTGTCCATATTTATAAAATCATTATTTTTAATTGAGATGGCTTAAGAAGTTTTTTTTTTAACTCATTTTTTCGGTAAGTAAATTTTTTTAACTCTTATTTATCTTAATATGCATAATTTTAAATCATTATATTAAAAGAAAATGATACATAACTCAAATGAAATTAAAAAATTAAAACTCAAATATATATTATCCATCGGATGAGCAAGTCGTACTGAAAAAATTAATGGACCCCCTCATCCAAAAAATGATATGTATTTGGGCTCCAACTTTTTTTGAATTTCATTTGAGTTTTATAATATTGCTCTCTATTAAAATATTGGAAAATGCTACATAACCTAAATAAAATCCAAAAGTTAAAATTCAAATACATATTATTCATTGGATGAATGTGAAATGAGTGGGTCTCACTGAAAAAATTGATAGGATACACTCATCCAAAAGATGATATGCATTTGAGTTACAATTTTTTGTGTTTCATTTGAGTTTAAAATATAATGTTTCAAATAACATTAATGCTATTGAGACATAATTTAGAGATATAATAAGTTGTCACCAATAGATTAATAGTGGAATGCATTTAATAATAGGTTTCATTGCAGCATTAAATACATTCCATTACCAATCTATCACTGATAACTCAATATATCCCTAAAATTTGTACCAATGACATTGCTCTTAAAACAATTATATATTCTACCCACAAGATTAAAATACTCTTACTCAATACGTATTGGGAAGAAAAAGAATATGAAAGATACTTAACATCCACTTAATCTAATGCATTGAAAAGTTAAAGGTAAATTTGAAAAAAAAATATTAATTATGATTTAGTTTCATTNGGAAGAAAAAGAATATGAAAGATACTTAACATCCACTTAATCTAATGCATTGAAAAATTAAAGGTCAATTTGAAAAAAAAAAATATTAATTATGATTTAATTTCACTNCGTATTGGGAAGAAAAAGAATATGAAAGATACTTAACATCCACTTAATCTAATGCATTGAAAAGTTAAAGGTAAATTTGAAAAAAAAATATTAATTATGATTTAGTTTCATTAAACGATAGATATTATGAAACAAAAAAAATTATATAAAATGACAAATATTTAGGAACGGAGAGAGTATTCTCTATATTTCATTTCACTACTTCCAAAATGGTGGGATGAGATAAGGGAAAGACCCAAAAAAATAAAAAGAGTGACATACAAAAAAGGAAGGGTGATAAAAGGGCACAAAATCTATAATATTCAAATTAGAGAGAGTGCTTGGAAAATATTTTATTGTCAAATACTAATCTCTCTTATTTTTTAATTATTTAATTAAAAAATATTTTATTTCTCTACTGTAATTAACTATGTCCACTATTTTTTTGTAACTATGGTATAGTTTTTTGAATAAAGTAAATTCTTGAAAATATTAGGTGTGTAGGGTGGAAGAGAGGGGAGAGGGGGGAAGGGATTAAGTCGCGGCGGAGGAAGGTGGGAAGGAATTTCAAATTCCGGGCCTACCACTAGCGTAAAATCACAGGGAACCTACGAAAAGCTTGACGAGGAAAAGCTTGATGAGTATAGTCTTTCATTCTCCTTCCTCACTATTTAAGTTCCCTCATGTTAAGATAATCAGAGAGAGAGAGAGAGAGAGAGAGGGAGAGAGATGGAAGGACATAGGAAGGGACCTGTATGTGTAACTGGTGGAACAGGTTTTGTAGCTTCATGGCTGATTATGAAGCTTCTTCAACAAGGTTATTCTGTCCACACTACAACTAGGTCCGATCCAGGTAACTTCATCATCTTCTGCAATCCAGAAAACCCATTCCTCTGTGATTCATAGTTTCTTGAATTTTCACGATCATTTGTTCTTCTAGTCAACTTTTGGGTTGACATTTGAATTTAAATTCAATACCAGGTTAACCCACGAACATGATCTTAATAATTTAGGCTATCGAGAAAAAAAAAATTCTTTTTAACTGTCATCATAGAAATGTTGCAATATGATTTTGATTACTTAATAAATAATTTATTATGTTTAGTTTTGAGTTGGTAAATATTTTATTAGGATGATAGATGATTGATAAAATGCCAGATCCTCCATAATTGAATGAAAATTGTATATTAAGAAATTTTGAATATATTTGACTGGGTAGGATATTTGATTAGTGTATTAGATGTTTGATGAAATGCCATAGACAACAAACTAGCCTTTGGTCTAATGGTATTCTTTACATTGTAAAGGCTTTGTTTTGTTTTCTTGAGATTAAGGATTCAAGTCCCCCTCCCCTCTCCCTCTCCCTCTCCCTCTCCCTCTCCCTCCCCCAAACAAATAAAATAAAAAAAAAAAAGAAAAGAAATGCCATAGACAGTAGTTCTCGATAATAGGAGGAATATTTAACATTTTAACCATTTAAAATATAATTAGGCTGTAGTACTTAATATAATTGAGAATTGTTTTAATGGTATTATTTGTATGTATTAGGAGACTAGAAATCTTACTATACTATAAAACCATCATATTAGGTGGGAGGTGGGTTCAGAAGTCTGCCCTCCCACAGTTTTCTTTTCTAAGGATTTTCAATTATTTAATTATCACTTAACCAATTATGTTCTAATATATGTCTCATCTAACTACCCCTCTACCCCACTAATTAATTATCACCCATTCAATTTTTTTTTTAAAATGAGCCACAAATTTAAATTTTTTAAGGAACATAGTTTCACCACCATAACTTTACATAATTAGTTTATCACCCTAATTTTTTTTTAATATAATTTTCTCTCTATTTTTTTTAATGGTATGATGACAATTGAAAAAAAAAAAGAAGGGAAAGGTGGATGAACATATGTGAAATTTCCGTGCGATGCATGGGGCCAACACCTGTAAAGGTGAAAGGGATGACTCATATTTGGTTGGGTGAAGAATTTGGGTTTTAAAGCAATGAGGGTCATGATTTTAGCTTGCCTGTGTGTTATTACTTGTACTGTCTATGAAATAATAAGTTACCACAAATTTAGGAAAGAAAAATTTTAGATTTTCCAGCTTTGTCTCCTACAAAACAGAGTTTCAATCTAGTTTGTATTGTGGCTAAGTACTGAATTGTCTGATCAGAAATTAGTAACAGTTTGTGTATTGCCAGACAAGAAGAAAGACATTAGCTTCCTCACAAACTTACCAGGCGCATCAGAAAGACTCCAGATTTTCAATGCAGATCTTGATATCCCAGACAGTTTTGATGCAGCAATTGCAGGATGCGTTGGAGTGTTTCATGTTGCTCACCCCATGGATTTTGGGGACAAGGAAACAGAAGAAACAAAGACCAAAAGAGCCATCAATGGGACACTAGGCATTTTAAAGGCATGCCTTGAATCAAAGACAGTTAAACGAGTTGTGTGCACTTCCAGTGCATCCACTGTTTTTGGTCACAACCAGGGTTTAGATGTAATTGATGAAAGCACATGGACTGATGTAGATTTTCTTAGAGATCTAAAAGTTGTTGGAGCTTCGTACACGATTACCAAGACATTAACAGAAAGAGCAGCTTTAGAGTTTGCAGAAGAACATGGATTGGATCTCGTGACCGTCATTCCTGCTCTTATCCATGGCCCCTTCATTTGTCCTCGTTTGCCTGGTTCAGTGCGCACGTCAATGGCTATGATTTTTGGTATGTGTTGCTCATCACAAACAATTATGATTCAAAAATGTTGTAAACTGATAGATGTAATGGGTGAAAGCACATGCAGTGATACAGATTTTCTCATTACTTTTAGCTGCATCTTGCTATAACTTGTTTAGGTCCCAGGTATCTGATTCAGATATATGATAAAGAAGAGGGAGATTTAGACTGTTGAAGAATGAGGCCTGGGTGAACCTTATCGCAACAGTCTGCAAATTAACCTAAGCATTTTTAGATATGGTCAAATAAGGCCTTTAAATCTTACTCTAAATAGCCTTTTAGAATGTTGTGTTTGATTTTCTCTTTACGATATATTTAATTTGTGTAGGTGACAAGGACCGCTATAGTTTTCTTGTGGGTACATCTTTGGTTCATGTAGACGATGTGGCCAGTGCACATATTTTCCTTCTTGAATATCCTAATGCAAAAGGAAGATATATATGTTCAGCAGTCGATATCACAATTCATGAGATGGCTGAATTTCTTTCATCCAGATACCCTGAATATCAAATGCCAACTGTCGAGTATGTCTTTAAGTCTATTTTTCTTCTCTACATCTTTTCTCCTAGTAAGAAAAATATTCAAGTCACCACCAATTTTTGCATTTTGCAGATGCTTAAAGGATATCAAAGGGGATAAATTTAATGGCCTATCATCAAAAAAACTCTTGGATACTGGTTTCAAGTTTAAACATAGACTTGAAGATATGTATGATGGAGCAATTCAATGCTGCAAAGAACAGGGTTTTATCTAGTCCATTGTGACATTTGTGATTGAAACTTCTTTTTTCTTCTTCGTCCCTCTGTTGTGTCCATATTTTCTGTAAGGAAGAAGGCAATATAAAAATTCCACCAACATGTTTGCACATTTAAATAAAGCAAGTCATATGCGTGATTGTGTATCCTTTTGTAGCTTCATTATTGACTTGGCCCAAATATTGTGTTCATTTACTATTTCTATGAATTCATTGGTATCATATGCTTTTGTGTCGTGATGGATAGATTAGAGGAGGGAGCAAGAGATTTTGCCACTTTTGAGAATGTCTAATATTTCAGAATCGTCACTTACCTTGGTGAGTTCTTATGCCAGCCTGCTGATCAGTTGATGCTTGGTTCTTCTGCACTGAGGAATCTTCTCTGGCGAATTGGTTCTACATTGACATTGAAGCCACTCTGAGGTTGAACAAATCAGCTCATGTCAGTGAGAAACTCGATATTGGTTGTGTTTGCTGCTCAAGATTGGAAAATTCCTGTCATGAAGTTTTTTTAAGAGTTCACGTCTTGTGAGAAGTGCATCATATGTTGTTTTGTGGCATTGTTGAAACTGTTTCAGCAATTTAGTAAGTTTCTGAGAGACTTTTTTAAGGAAGTCTAATATAAGGATTCTTCATAACTCTGGGGATTTCTCTCATTTAGGCACTATTGTTGCAGATGTTCAGCGTGTTCTTCATTTGGTTGTTTTTTTTTCTTTGTTCACCGATAGACGATCAAGAAATTGTGTAACTCACCAACTGTCTAGAAAGGCTAGATGTGGTGAAATTGTTGATGTTAATTGACATCAGATTTCTTATTTTCATCTCTTCTTTCAAATTTATCTTCTTAATACAATNATTTCTCTCATTTAGGCACTATTGTTGCAGATGTTCAGCGTGTTCTTCATTTGGTTGTTTTTTTTTCTTTGTTCACCGATAGACGATCAAGAAATTGTGTAACTCACCAACTGTCTAGAAAGGCTAGATGTGGTGAAATTGTTGATGTTAGGGAAAAATTGACATCAGATTTCTTATTTTCATCTCTTCTTTCAAATTTATCTTCTTAATACAATCTTTACCATTTCGATTCAAACTCAACCTATGTCATGCAAACTTTGGCACTAATTTTTATGTTTTAAACTTTAAAAATTGTGATAATAAATTTTTTCCCTTTTTTTGTCTATTCAAAAAGGTGGAAAAATCCACTATTATACGTNATCTTTACCATTTCGATTCAAACTCAACCTATGTCATGCAAACTTTGGCACTAATTGTTATGTTTTAAACTTTAAAAATTGTGATAATAATTTTTTTCCCTTTTTTTGTCTATTCAAAAAGGTGGAAAAGTCCACTATTATACTTNCACTAATTTTTATGTTTTAAACTTTAAAAATTGTGATAATAAATTTTTTCCCTTTTTTTGTCTATTCAAAAAGGTGGAAAAATCCACTATTATACGTGCATTTCAAGTTGTCTTCTAAATTTCTATTTTTTGTCTTTTTTTTTTGTTCTAATGGGAGTGTTGGAAGATATATGTTGATTGCTAAGTTTTTAAGGGTATAAGAAAAAATTTTGATAGATAGATGGAACTCATTTCAAAGTTTAAGGGCATCTATGATGTTTACACTAATTCATTTTTGTTCCTATCAATTCAAATGTGTATTATTCATTTGTTTTCTTTTTCCGGCCTTTGGGGTCTAAAAGGGCCGGCAAAGGCTAGAGCTGCCATGTGTTATGTAAAGCATATGTTTATTATATGTCTTTCTAACCTTTATTGCCATACACCGAAAATTAGATCTTTTAAGCTTAAGTTATAATTTTTTAAGGTGTAAGTTATAATTTTAAAGAACATGATTGATTATAGAAAGTTAAAATCGATATCGACAGTTGTAACTTTTTTTTTTAGATTATAATTTTACTAAACAAAATGATAATTGACGGTACAAATTTAAAATGATTTATATAAATAATTAGAATTTGGAGATATGTTCTTCATGTTTTTATTACTAGCGACGATATTTGAATACAAATTTCTATTGTGTTGGATGATTTTGATTTAAATACCATCTAGAAATTAAGTAGTTTGTTACAATAGTTTTGTTACATAATGTTCAGATTTGTATCGATTACTTCCTCAATCTTAACGGCCGGCTACCAAGGTACGGTAACTTTGACAGCTGTTTGAAGGTCATTAAAACTTCTTACCAAAAAAATATGATTAAAATTATATTCAAAAAAAACATTAAGGAAAGAACAAGGGCTTGAGGTTAAATTACCAAATTAAAAAGGACCAAACGGCAATTAGATTCCAAAAGCACCGTTGGGAACGCTCAAAGCGATCCCTGCAAATATAACGAACTTCTCAGACTCTCTCGCCTGCAAAAACGCAAACGGCCCTTCCACCTCTCTCTCTGTCTCTCCAGAGTTCAAATCTTCATCTTGTTGTTCGAGGTTGCTTTCCAGAATATCTCTGCAATTAGCCCTAGCCCGAGCCCTTTGAAAATCGTTCATGTCATTTTCGGATTCTGATTCGTCTTCTCATGGCGGCGGAGAGTACAAGAACTTTCGCCAAATCAGCCGCGAAAGTACGTTCTCTCTTTCTTTTCTCTCTCACACACACACGCCCATTCTATGGGTTTTTGCTCATTATGGGGACGTTCGATCTTTGTCCTTGTATTATCACAGTAGGACTCACCAATCGGAATTTTCCTTATATAGAAATATATGTATATATATCTATAATTTGGTCATATTTCCGATATCTAATTTCATCGATCGTAATGCACTGATGATAAAANGTGTTGGATGATTTTGATTTAAATACCATCTAGAAATTAAGTAGTTTGTTACAATAGTTTTGTTACATGATATNGTGTTGGATGATTTTGATTTAAATACCATCTAGAAATTAAGTAGTTTGTTACAATAATTTTGTTACATAATGTTCAGATTTGTATCGATTACTTCCTCAATCTTAACGGCCGGCTACCAAGGTACGGTAACTTTGACAGCTGTTTGAAGGTCATTAAAACTTCTTACCAAAAAAATATGATTAAAATTATATTCAAAAAAAACATTAAGGAAAGAACAAGGGCTTGAGGTTAAATTACCAAATTAAAAAGGACCAAACGGCAATTAGATTCCAAAAGCACCGTTGGGAACGCTCAAAGCGATCCCTGCAAATATAACGAACTTCTCAGACTCTCTCGCCTGCAAAAACGCAAACGGCCCTTCCACCTCTCTCTCTGTCTCTCCAGAGTTCAAATCTTCATCTTGTTGTTCGAGGTTGCTTTCCAGAATATCTCTGCAATTAGCCCTAGCCCGAGCCCTTTGAAAATCGTTCATGTCATTTTCGGATTCTGATTCGTCTTCTCATGGCGGCGGAGAGTACAAGAACTTTCGCCAAATCAGCCGCGAAAGTACGTTCTCTCTTTCTTTTCTCTCTCACACACACACGCCCATTCTATGGGATTTTGCTCATTATGGGGACGTTCGATCTTTGTCCTTGTATTATCAGAGTAGGACTCACCAATCGGAATTTTCCTTATATAGAAATATATGTATATATTTCTATAATTTGGTCATATTTCCGATATCTAATTTCATCGATCGTAATGCACTGATGATAAGAAATGCATATTGTTTGATCAATCGTAATAACTTTTGAATACAATGGTGGAAGATATAATCTTTTTTAAATTGTAATATGTTATATTATTAATAATTGTAAATAGGAAAAATGGAGAAGACAAGTTCTTTGCTTTTATTTTGTTGAATGTATTGATTTTTGTGCTTCAGTGTTGGTGCGGAGGACTACGAGATGGATCACGTATTGTAAAGAAGTGATCTTAGTAAAAAAGAAAAAACTGGAAGAGGACAAAGAAAGACTGTTGGTGCCTTAGGAAACACTAGCACAGAGTTCTTGATTGGGGAAAAAAGATGATATAAAAGAACTAGACATGCCTCAACATGAAAATCTATATGACTAGACTTCCAATGGAGTAGTAGAGGGAACCTGTCAAAAGCTGGCAGAAACCTCTCAAGAAGGAAAACAGATGATCAAGAATTTTGTTCCACAGTTTCAGCATAGTGATTTTGTAGATGTTATGGATCACAAAAAAGAACTCATGGATCGGAATAATCCTCTAAGCTTCCTTTTTATGTCATTATGGTAGTTGAAAGGAATTGGTATTAGAGAAAGTGCTCCATGAGAATGATCACGATGGTGACAATGAGGAAAATATTAGGGGTCAAAGAAGAAATATATGTGCTTTCATGTATTATGGGAAGTTGTTGGTGACTTGGTGGACATGATATAGATTTAGAACCTCCATCAAAAAGAAAAGGAACACTGACTTTCTTAAGCTTGGTAAGATTCTTGTGACAATTGGCATTTTCGGAACTCTGGTAGGATATTTAGATTGGTCAAGGTTTACATCTGCCACAATGGTGTATATCACACTGTTGTATATGCAAATAGTCACAGTTAGAAAAGCACCTTTTGATGAACAGAGAGGGACTTGCAGATCATTATCCACTTAATAAAAGAAAAAAAACCTTAGAGATCACATTATAGACTAAAAGCAGGAGATTTTAGTGGTTATGTTAGCGAGGCATAAGCACATAAGCAAGGAGTATGCATAATACAACATGCTTAAAGTGGTGACATTCGATAAGCATAATGTATTTGTGATTTTTGCTTCTGCATATTCAAGTAAATCTTTCAGATTTCTTTGGAAGAACATTGAATCTCTCTCTCTCTCTCTCTCTCTCTCTTTGTGTGTATGAGTCTCTACGGTGCGTATGTGTGTCTGTTTTTTTTTCATACTGTCCATGTGTGTCTCACTCTCAATTTTTGGACGCAAACATAGGTCTTCAATATTTTGTATGTTGTAAATTTTTAGAATGGAGACATATAGTTTTGGCAACTTGTTGGACCCTATTTTACTGTGTACTTGTTTTTTTGATATTTTCAGGATTATTGCATGAAATGCTCCGATCGTCCAAAACAGGGGACTCAAGGTCATCTTGGAAGGTGAGTTTTGTTGTTATATTGCCTATTTGTTGTTAACAACTTGAATTATGATTTCCTGATTTTCAGATCTCTGACAGCTGGTAATTATCTAGAAAATTAATATGTCATAATTCTGGCTAGATGTTTTCTAATCGTGTTCTGTATTGGTCATTTAATTTGGAAACATCAGTTTGTCACATTGTAAAATTGTTACCAAGCTTATTTGATCTCTTACAGGTACTCATCATGGATAAAATTACAGTGAAAGTCATGTCTCACTCATGCAAAATGGCAGATATCACAGACGAAGGAATTTCATGTGAGCATCTACAGATTTTGGGGTTAATAGTAACATCTATTATTTTGTTTTTGTGTTATTCTAGGTTTTACTTTTGCATTGCAGCTTAACACATGCTAGGTCCCACCTCCACGTGGCAATGGCCAGTTGGCAAAATTCAGAAGACAATATACTTACTTATTTGGTGTTCCCAATTCTTATGGTTGTAATTTTTTTTTTTTTTTTTTTTTATGGTTGTAATGTTTCGTACTAATGCTAGAAATACAAAATTTTTCATCCATCTCCATTTACCTGATGTCCAAATTTTATTCTTATAATGCCAATGGAGGTGATTCAATCATTAGTTTGGGATGTCTTAATATTATTTGCCATGCCTTTTCTTTTCTTGTTTTGCAACTTAAATCGAATGGTTACCCTGAAGATGTTATCAACTACATTCTGATTGTCTGTTTAACAATACACTTACCATATTTCCACATTTCCTGCAGTGGTGGAAGATCTTTACAGAAGAAGGCAACCTTTGCCCTCGATGGACGCTATATATTTCATCCAACCCTCGAAAGAGAAGTAAAATTATTTTTTATATCATCTGGTTCTCATGTCTGTTCAGTAATTTTGTCAACAGTAGAAACACAATCTATTTACTTTCTGGAAAGCACAAACAATCTACATTGCTGTACTATGGAGTTTTCTTTTGATGCTTTTCAATTTTTCACTGTTTAAACTTGTCTATTTTTAGTAATATATTAAGGGTAAATAGAGTTTTTGATACTCCACTGGAGTTTAGATAGAAGTTTACATTTATTAACTGGAAATGTGTACGGGTTGCCTGTAAGTCAAAAAAAAAAAACAGCTCAGCGCATGGGGTTACAGCCACTGTGAGGTCTGTAAATGTCTGCTAGTATAGTAGTATACCAGTAAACCATATTTGATTCTGCATCACCCATATTATACCAAAAGGTCAAAAGTTGGTGCTGCCAATGCCATGTAGTTGGAACAAGGCTTTCAGAAGTTGAGTTGAAGTAAAAAATTCGTAGCTGTTGGGGACAAGTTTTGGTTCAAATGTCAAGTGGACTCAAGTAACTTTAAGTGGAATACCCAGGATGGCATCTTTGGTTTTCAGCATGAAGAACAATGTAGAAATAGTTGTGTGCACTGGCTACTGGACTCTTGGAAGCTTTCAGGTCCAAAGAAAACTGGTCTTCGTTGGCATTTTTTCAAAATCTCTCTCTCTCTCTCTCTTTTATTAATTAAATGTTGAGATAACATGATTATGGCATTAACACATGGATCACACTCCACATGTCAACGGATTAATTATTGATATTCTCAAAATCCTATCTTTTGGGGTTCCTTACGAGTATATTGAGGGTTGCAACTTGTTTAAACAAAATGTGCTCTCTCTTTGCAATAGACTTTCGCATCCAAAGTCCCATTAGCTCCAGGAAAAGTGATTGATTATATTGTAGATGGTCTGATTAGTTACCTGGAAATGTAACCAGTACCAGCTATGCTGGAAATATGCTTTGGGATGATAAACACAAACATGGCTTGCGTCTGCTTTAAGACAAATTATAAGTCAGGGGAGTCAGGGTAGTGCATACCTGTGAGGCTTTTGCTTGTGGGTGATTTATTCCTCTTTTACACCAGGTCATGATGATGTTTTGGCCACTAAGTCTCAATGTACAACTTTGTCAGATTTAAACTGGTTTTGCTGTCGCTGTTGTTCATTTGCTCTTTCATTTATGTTCTTTGCGATTAAGAACCACTAGTGTCGTTATACATGTTGTAGGGCTTTGAGTTTGCCACTACTATCATTAGCAAGAGTTGCATTAAAGGAGTGCTATCATTAAATTATTGACTTTCAGATTAATACAATTTTTGTTATGGGAATAGCTTCCCCAACTGACCCCAACTTGTCTCAGTAAGATTCATACTATAAGCTACCACCCTAGCACAGTGAAGGAAAATGGTCATTAGTTTTCTTTATGGAGAAAGGCTTGTTAATGCTCATAAATTTTATATTGCCTGCATGGGTTGAATGACGCATCTTGTGAAGGAGTCCCCTCATGCAACTTCTCATGCTGAAAACTTTAGAGTTATTCAACCTATAGTTCTGCTTGATGATTTATTTTAAACAATCACTTTAATGTCAAAAACAATCTGCATTTTTATCTCTGGAGGGTAAGTCGCCTCAGATATTTCTTCCCACCATATCATTAAATTAAAAAAGATGTGGTTTCTGGGAAATGCAGTTAGATTGAATTTTGGGCATTGCTTATTCCCTTTCCTGTTTGAGTTGTTCGTAGTTCATATCATTTTTTTCATCTGTCATTTTCATTGTACTTATAGTTTTTTCTTCTTTTCATGTTTGTTTCTTCGTTTTGTTTTGGAAATCTGTCTTCATTTTTAAAGTGTATTTACCANTAGATTGAATTTTGGGCATTGCTTATTCCCTTTCCTGTTTGAGTTGTTCGTAGTTCTTATCATTTTTTTCATCTGTCATTTTCATTGTACTTATAGTTTTTTCTTCTTTTCATGTTTGTTTCTTCTTTTTGTTTTGGAAATCTGTCTTCATTTTTAAAGTGTATTTACTATTCTCTCTTATCTGGAAATTTTCTGAATTTTCTCTACTGGAGCTGGTCACTTTGTAAGAAGATGAGGATTTACTTTTCTATCTTCTGCTCTCTTGCAGTGTTGTCATGTTTTTGTCTGACATGTCAGGAAGAGAACCTTTATACAAGAAGTATGTGAAAGATTCTATTGTTTAGAAAATCTACTTCTTGCGCTGGTTTCTTGTCTTGTTGAACCTGAATGTTTCTGGTCATGGTGAACGTCTTTGTTTTCCTTTCTTTTTCTTTTTGCTACAGAGCATACGTGTATTTCAGTTCTCCTATCCCAAAGGACTTGGTTAGTCGCATCAAGAATGATACTAGTGTGCTACCCCGTATAGGTGCATTGAGAGAGGTTAAGATTATCACTTTTCTAGCACTGATCTTTTTACTATCTAAAGTAGTAGTGAACTTTCAGTTTGACGTATATATATTTTTCTTTTTGCTTGGAGAAATGCAGATGAATTTGGAGTTCTTTGCAATTGACAGTCAGGTAATTCGTTATCAATACCTAATTATTTGTTTGATGCTATGTTGATTTCCTGTTATAACATTTTCTTTTATGCTGCAATAACATGACATAAGAAAAAAAATGAACCCCTCCATTTTGTATGGCTTGGTCAGGTAACTTTCAGGATCAGTCACCCCATTTCACCATTTTACGGTCCTGTCATAGTCATGAATCATGATATCCTATGCGCTAATAAAGTTGGTTTTGACCTTTCACCTGTTTCTTAATGCCTTCAACATCAAACAGTAGCATTCTGTGCCTTTTATTGCACTCGTTGGTTTTTGTTATGCAGAACCTAAAGTTTTATTCATGTCTCCCATGCTATCCCTTTCTTACAATGGGTCTATAGGGTTACTTCATATTCTTAAAATGGCAATTACAACATGGAGGGCCTGTGGTCTTTGGAGGCCTGAGGCAAAAGATTGTTATAAACACAAGTTTGAAACCTGCAAGCCGGAAACTTCTGAATATTGTATCTTAGAATAATAGCAAATTTACTTTGAATGAAATGGTAGAAAAGGATATGGTAGCTTGTGGTGTAATAGAAAATATGACCCTTGACAGAGTACAATGGTAGGACATGATTCATATAGCCGACCATTTATAGTTGGGATAAGGCTCAATTGAATTGAGTTGAGAATAATGGAAATTACAAACCCTCTGTAAAAAATTCTAGTGTGCTTGTCTATTTGTTTTCTTCCCCTTCATAATATATTTCTTCATACAATATATTAAATAAGAAGAGCTCAGAACATGTTTTGTCCCCATGTTAAATCTTATGTAGGGATTTATCACTGATCATGAGAGAGCTTTAGAAGACCTATTTGGTGAAGCTGTTGAAAATTCTCGCAAATTTGATGCTTGCTTGAACACAATGGCTACCCGGATTTCTACTGTTTTCGCCTCCTTGAAGGTATGAATTATGAAATAAGATTTCTCAGTGTTAATCCTTTTGGGATGGATTCTTTCGAAATTTTGATTTGTATGATACTTAGACATCCTCCATTTTATCTTAATTATGAGCACTGGAAAAGTGGATATATTCTTGATTTTGGGAGTAACCAAAACATTGAGAGTAACCTAAACAGGACGTCCCCAGGCCACTTCATGTTTAGACTAATTCCTGTGGATTCATGCACTTGCTGAAAATTCTTTTGCTGATTGGGAAAGAACCATCCTGGTTGTATTAGAACAAAATCAAATTTTACTTTGGGAACTAAACACTAAATGCTGCCACTTTGGTGTGATATTCTGAAACATAGTTTGCTGGAATTGCACCAAAATGAAGTGATTCATATTGAGTATTTAGGTGGGGGTCTTGAAGTCTCTGCTTGCATTTACATTTACGACAAGACAAACTTTGAGGTGGGGGTCTTGAAGAAGGAGAAACTTTTGCTTGAATTGGTGCTGATCTCTGCTCATCATAAATATTGCCATGTAATTGGGGCATATAAAATACTACCCTAACCAAGCAAATACCTTTCTGATGAAGATGGAATTTATTCTCTTCAAGTTGGAAGTTTATTAATCCTCATCTTTTGTTTTGATTTTTAACGTTGGGCAATGCAATTGAATTGAGTTGTAATCATTGGCTATTTAAGTCCAAGAAACTTTGTTAGAGTAATAGAAGAGATCTGTCCATTATCCCTCCCCTGCTGCATATGCATGCACATAAGTCACGAGTTTAATTGTGAATTCTAGCCGAATGTTGGGATTTGGTATTAATTCTGTTGGCTATTAACAAATGCAACTGTCGAGCTTTAAGAATTTTAGTTGTCGAGATATTCGCACATTTTCCAAATACTGCTATAGATGTTTTGTAGTACCTTAATAAAACTGTTTTAGCAGATTTCTGGAGTTTTGAAGGGTATCTAAACCAGAAGTTTCTAGAAATCATATAAATTTTAGTAACTAATAGCATTTGAACAGCGGGCCTTGGTGCATCATTAATGTTGCTCCATTGCAACTTTGGTGCCTCAGGTTTGAGTCATGGGAACTGCCTCTCCACACAAGGGTAAAACTGCAGAAGTCTGACCCCACCCAGGAAACCGTAGCGGCAAGAGTCTCATGTCATAGGTTGTCCTTTGCAGCTTCTGATCCCTATGAATGCAGTTTTACAGCTACCAAAAATGAAGTAATAAAGCACAAATTATAAAGCGACAAAAGATACAGCAACAAGCGTTCTATGAGTAAAAATGACTTCAATTTTTCCTGTGAGAAAGGAGTTGTTATTACTTGGAATGCTTTTGATTCTCCGGATTATACAGTAGCATTTTTTATGTGGAATAATGTGTTTTATTAAATGGGATTGTGTTCTGCATTACACAAGTTTGCATCTCCTCAGGAGTTTCCTTTAGTCCGGTATCGTGCTGCGAAGGCTCTTGATGCATCGTCGATGACAACATCTCGTGAATTAGTGCCTACAAAGCTCGCTGCCGCTGTTTGGAACTGTATTACCATGTATAAATCTACCATTCCTAACTTCCCACAGACTGAAACATGCGAGCTACTCATTTTGGACAGATCTGTTGATCAGGTTAAATCCATTTATCTGCTGACCTATGTTCTGCATGTTTCCCTGTTTGATTCTGTTGTGTGTAACAAATTTGCATGTTTAGATTTCTCCTGTCATCCATGAATGGACTTATGATGCTATGTGCCATGACCTACTGGAGTTGGATGGAAATAAATATGTGCATGAGGTACATGTTTTGTTGGTTTTGTGCTCTGCAGCTTCCTTTTTCTGACTGTATTGTGGAGCCTTTATTGGATGTTGAGAGGCATTTTATTTAGGTACCTAGCAAATCAGGTGGTCAACCTGAGAAAAAGGAGGTCCTTTTGGAAGAGCATGATCCTGTCTGGCTTGAGCTCCGCCATGCACATATAGCAGATGTATGTCTCATGCATGAATTAATTTGTTTCAATTTAATTAGTGTGAATGCTCTTTCCTACTGACTAGCTTATCAGGCTAGTGAGCGGTTGCATGAGAAGATGACAAACTTTGTATCAAAAAACAAAGCTGCACAATTGCAACAAAGGTTGGTGCTATATATCTTTCTGTTGGATGGATCACCTTGTTTTACCATTGTCTTGTGAGAACCTTAATGTCATTAGTTTAGATCTTTTCTATCTGATTCTTGCTGAGCTTCATTATTTAGAATCTAAAGCTTTATCCCAACTGAATTGAATGTGTGATGAGAAAGTACTATTTATTTAGTCTGAGAATGTTGCGTTACTTTTTAGCCAAGTAATGCCAATTGCCAAGTAATTTGACCAACAAGGATACTGCAGTGGTGGTGTAGTTAATAGAGGGTGGTCATTGTAGTAGCATCTAACTTCACTTCTTTGTGCTTATTCCAATTTGGACTGAACTCCAGGTTTAAGGCATATTAAGCTCCATCAAATATGACAAAATTTCTGTTAAAATATAGTTACCTATAGTTTAATGACCATTGATCTGCTTGTTCTAGATTACTGGAGTTAATGATAGCCACCTAGCCACATCCAAGATAGGTGCTGTTGGTTGCACTCGTTAAATGATCAATGGTCTGAGCTATGCACTCTGAACATTGAGGCATTGGTTTTGTAATTTGCGGGATATTTTCTGTGCAGTTTTATGGTCTATCTTTTGTCAGTTCTTATTCAAGATCTCTCAGAACGTCTTTCTTTTACATTAATCATCTGTTTTCTTGTTTTGCCTTTCAAGTAAATGCAAATCTATTTAATTTGTGTTATTGCTATATTTTGTTAGCCACTTCTTATGTTCAAATCTGACTTGATGTAGAGATGGTAGTGAATTGTCTACACGGGACTTGCAGAAAATGGTTCAGTCTTTACCACAGTATAATGAACAAATGGACAAATTCTCTCTCCATGTAGAGGTTTGTGTTTCTATTCATTAGATGCATACAATTTGTTTCACTTCTGGCAGTAAAATTGAACCATTTTGGAGCTATCTACGGTGTGGCCAGACGAAGGAATCCCCAATCCCATCCCACCTAATCTTGGGAGTTCAAGGAAGTTTCTTGGAGACTTGTGAAATTAACTATGAGATCTCTTCTTGACTGCATAATTTGCAGAGAAGTTAGTACTATTGCAACTAATGATCAGAGGGTTACATGTGTATACATAAGGAGGATCAAACATTGATCATGTTGAAATGGTTATACAGAATGGACACTACGAGCATGCAGGTAAAATGCTATAACACTGATTGTTTCCTTGTTTATTTCAATCAGATTGCTGGAAAACTTAACAAAATTATCAGAGAAGTGGGGCTTCGAGAACTTGGGCAACTTGAGCAGGATCTTGTCTTTGGTGATGCAGGAACGAAGGAAGTCATAAATTTTTTGAGGACGAAGCAGGTGATTTCTGAATATACGTGTCTGATTAAAAATGGATGCACTTTATGTGAAGAATTAAGGTCTGATTAATGCAAATACCTTAAGACAATAATCTTTCTCTNATTTCTGAATATACGTGTCTGATTAAAAATGGATGCACTTTATGTGAAGAATTAAGATCTGATTAATGCAAATACCTTAAGACAATAATCTTTCTCTGTGCAGGATGCAACTACTGAGAATAAGTTGCGTTTGATGATGATTTATGCTTCTGTTTATCCAGAAAAGTTTGAGGGTGACAAAGCATCAAAACTGATGCAGGTAACTATCAGATCCCAATTTCTGCTCTCTTGACAGGACATTTTGTACATTCCTTTTTCCATTCTGAATAGTCAACCAACTAGATTCCCTTCGAGAAAATGATTTACAAACATGACAAATGCAAACTGTCCTTTTGGGGATTAAGGACCTGAAATAAGAAACAGTGAAGGGCACAAAAGAGGAAGTGCAATGGCCAGGGCAATTATCAACTGAAGGTCTATGAACGGAAAAGGAAGAAGAAAACAGGAAAACTACAAGAGTATTTTTTTTTTCATTCGTTATAGTGATAATTTACAACTTGGTGATGGTTGCTTTGTTGATATATGGACAATAAGCACCTATATGATCTTGGTTCACTTTGAATCACTGAATGTTCTTTGTTGATGGTATTTGCCCTAGCCTGATTTCCAGGATACATTATCAATGCAGGGACATCCTCATTGTTTGCACTGCTTCTGTTCATAGAGGATACTCCTTACATTTTGGCCATGCATCTCTTTCCATCGATTATGTTGATTGGGCTCATTTTGTTTCATCCTTTAGTGTCAGCCTCTTATATTCATTTTTTTAATGATAGTGTTCAAATGGCTCATAGTATTGTAAACTCAGGTTTTCTTCAGGTCACGTGCCCTTTATCTCTACAACAATGTGCATCACTTTCGAGTTAAACTTCAAATCTCAAAATTAGCATGTGATTATCAATTTTTTTTTGTGTTTTGGTAATATAGAGAGATGAGTTTGAATCCAACTCAGGCAGTGCTCTTGCTTACATGCGTGACTTAGGTTTGTGCTGGAATTAGTTGCAGGTATCAGAATTACCTTGACAATTAGTGTTTCAGAAGATAAAGTTATTTTCATATTCACATGTGTAATTCATCAATGCTATATGGGAGTTGGAGTATCGTCCAAATGGAAAAATAAACGAAAATCACATTTTAGTAATCTAGGTGATCTTTATGATTGTTCAGATGTTTTTAACAGGTGAGAAGAAACATATCTATTTGCACCTCAGAGATTCACTATTAAAGCTAATTCCTTCAAAGATAGGCTTTGGGCTGCTTGTTGAATCACCTAGTGTAATGCACTGGAATAGGGTTTGACCAATTATATCTAGGACCAAAAAGCCTTGAGGCACAACCAATAGGAGCTCGGGCACAGATGATGTGAGGCAGGTCATACAGTAGAGTGGAAGAGTTTTTGAGTTCTTGACATTAAGTAGTTCAATGTAATGTATTGTCTTTTCCTCTGCTCGACACATCATTCCCTTTTCGCTCTAGCTGCTTTGCCACTGTCTTTACGATGGCCCATTCTCCTCATGGAAGGCTGATCAGATGGTTTTGTGTATCATGATTGTGGGGTCCGCCACAATCATTAGTTATGTTAATAATAACCTCTGTAGCCTCTATCCATGATATGGTGATAAATACTACTATTGTTATACATTAACTGTTTTCGTTGCTTGAGAAAAAAGGTTTACTACAAAAAATTTCTAGAAGATATTGTCTGCCTCACCTTGAGTCTGGTACCTGATAATTGACCCAGTTTCTGAAAATAGGATGTCTTGTACTGGNTTTTGTTTCATCCTTTAGTGTCAGCCTCTTATATTCATTTTTTTAATGATAGTGTTCAAATGGCTCATAGTATTGTAAACTCAGGTTTTCTTCAGGTCACGTGCCCTTTATCTCTACAACAATGTGCATCACTTTCGAGTTAAACTTCAAATCTCAAAATTAGCATGTGATTATCAATTTTTTTTTGTGTTTTGGTAATATAGAGAGATGAGTTTGAATCCAACTCAGGCAGTGCTCTTGCTTACATGCGTGACTTAGGTTTGTGCTGGAATTAGTTGCAGGTATCAGAATTACCTTGACAATTAGTGTTTCAGAAGATAAAGTTATTTTCATATTCACATGTGTAATTCATCAATGCTATATGGGAGTTGGAGTATCGTCCAAATGGAAAAATAAACGAAAATCACATTTTAGTAATCTAGGTGATCTTTATGATTGTTCAGATGTTTTTAACAGGTGAGAAGAAACATATCTATTTGCACCTCAGAGATTCACTATTAAAGCTAATTCCTTCAAAGATAGGCTTTGGGCTGCTTGTTGAATCACCTAGTATAATGCACTGGAATAGGGTTTGACCAATTATATCTAGGACCAAAAAGCCTTGAGGCACAACCAATAGGAGCTCGGGCACAGATGATGTGAGGCAGGTCATACAGTAGAGTGGAAGAGTTTTTGAGTTCTTGACATTAAGTAGTTCAATGTAATGTATTGTCTTTTCCTCTGCTCGACACATCATTCCCTTTTCGCTCTAGCTGCTTTGCCACTGTCTTTACAATGGCCCATTCTCCTCTTGGAAGGCTGATCAGATGGTTTTGTGTATCATGATTGTGGGGTCCGCCACAATCATTAGTTATGTTAATAATAACCTCTGTAGCCTCTATCCATGATATGGTGATAAATACTACTATTGTTATACATTAACTGTTTTCGTTGCTTGAGAAAAAAGGTTTACTACAAAAAATTTCTAGAAGATATTGTCTGCCTCACCTTGAGTCTGGTACCTGATAATTGACCCAGTTTCTGAAAATAGGATGTCTTGTACTGGAATCTTTGACTGAATTAGAATGTTTTCTGTAGTTTGTTTATTTATTCTGACATAGATAGGTACTTAATTAATTATGTTTAGGTATTAATCCTGGATTGTAAATGTGCTTGTACCACTTCTGTGCCTTATCTCTAAGTTTGTTTATTTATTCTGACAGTTGCTTCTTAATTGTGCCTAAGTACTAATCCTCTTACATAAATGTACATCTACCACTTTTGTACTTAAGTTAAAAGCCCCTGCATTTGATCTTTCGAGCAAATGGATGGTAGTGAATGTTTGGACCCCCACCTTTGACCTAGTTACAAAATGGTTATTTTCTTTGTTGTCTTTATAGTTGGCCAAATTATCTCACGAGGATATGAAGGCAGTGAAAAATATGATATTGCTAGAGGGATCAGATAACAGAAAGAAATCAAATGGAACTTTTTCGTTAAAGTTTGATTCCCAGAAGGTAAAATTAGATAGTATTGAAATTTCCTATTGAAGATCTGTAGATATTTTTGTCTTCATGGTTCCACAACCGAGGTTTGACAGTTGCTATAATTCTTGTTTGCTTATTAGAGGAAGCATGCAGCAAGAAAGGATCGAAGCGGAGAGGAAGAAACATGGCAGCTTTTTCGATTCTATCCCATGATAGAGGTATGATCTTACTCCCCTCTTAACATGTGTGAATTCAACCTCGAAAGCTGGTAATTGCTGCTTTCGGCATCTTTTTTTTTTTTTTGTACTAGTCTGAGACAGGTTCTTTCTTTTACACCACATCTTTTTTAATTGCTGTACTGCTGCATAATATGTTACCGCTCAAAGAAATGAATGTGTTTTCTGTTATATGTTATCGGGTGTTTGCTTGGTACGCAGCTGGAGAGTTTGTCGCATATGAGCAGTAAACATTAATTTGCAGAACAATTGCACTAAAAATCACAAACCATATTGTGGGCTGACCTTGCATAGTGCAATGCAGGCCAGGATCAAATCTTGTTCTTGGCCAACTGATATTGTTTCATAGTTGAATTGGTTTTAGATACTCAAATCATGCTATGATTTTTTTTTTTTAAACTTGACTTGCAAAATCTTGTTTTGTGAGGATGTTTAAGAATGGAATTAATTGTATGGACATGGTACTATGGCTTATGCTATCTTTCAGGAGTTGATAGAAAAACTCAGCAAAGGCGAATTTCCATGTGAGTATCATTGCATGAATGACCCAAGTCCAACTGACCGTGGGGCTGCTGGAGGCACGCAGAGTAAATCTATGAGGACAATTCAATCTCAAGCTCCACATTCAATGAGATCAAGAAGGACTGCAACATGGGCACGGCCTCGTAGTTCTGACGATGGATATTCAAGGTACATATACAACAGATTTTTCTATGTTTGCAGTAATTTGCTTTGTCCACGGTGGCCATGACTTGCATTTTCAGGTTAGACAAGTTAGCTTATTGATCCATTAGTCATGCCATTTTCGTTGTATGATGAAATTTTTATAGTGTGCTACATTATACGGTTAGACTGAATGACTGCTGCTAGAATCTTAGAAGTTCTCTATGGATGTCCGGTGAAAGAATGTGAATTGCAACTGTGACACTCCATATGTGCTGGATTTTAGAGTTCTTATTCTTTCTTCCTCTACTTTTCAGTGATTCGATTCTTAAAAGTGCGTCTAGTGATCTGAAGAAGATGGGACAGCGCATATTTGTGTTCATCATTGGTGGGGCAACTCGATCTGAGGTAATATTGTTTTCCTGGAACAAGTTGTGCAGTAGTTTCATTTTGGCCCAACAGATGATATATTGCTGTTGTTGTCCTCAGCTACGGGTTTGCCACAAGCTCACAACAAAATTAAGGAGGGAAGTCGTCCTTGGTTCGTCTAGTATTGATGATGCACCAGTATACATCACGGTAGTAGCTTTACTCAATTTTACCATCACCATCGTTGTCATCATCTTTTTCTTTCTTCTTTGTTTGAAAAACTTTATAGTCATGTTGCAGTAGAAATTAGTATGATTCGTAAAGCTGAAGAAGTTCATAAGACCATTTATAGACACCTTTGACCAATTTTTCACAATTTTTTTATGTGAGATGCATTGTGAGCCATTGGATTGAATTGGAAGAATTCAGATGAAATCTGTTCTGTTAGTTGAAATTAGATTAAATCTGAGCCATCCCTGAGCTTTTCTAACTTTGGAAATTCAATGTTTACATAGGATAATAATGTTCTCTTTTCTTTTATGGCTAATAATGTACAAGCCCTGATATATTCCATNCACATTACATTCAACGAAATTAATAAATAGTTGCAAGGATGCCCTCACATTAACTTCTGTTACAACTTCCGTCAAATTGGTTATGTGGCCCTCACATTAAATGTAGTTAAATTTGACAAAAATGACGATGAATATTAATGTGATGACGTGGTATAATTGTTATATTCAATATTTTCACCTTGAAAAGATCATGATATCTCCACATTACATAAATAAAAACGAGATGTCAATTTGGATTTTATTTCTTAGAAATGATAAAACCTAACCAATTTCATTTCTTTGCCACGTAGTACAAGGGTTCAAGAATCCATTTCAGCCACCTCATGCCATGTTGTGTTCGGCTTCTTAATTGCATCACTGATCGGCCTCATCCAACTGAAGTATCAGAATAAAACTGTCTCTCCCTTCGAAACACACGAAAGAACCATGGACACATTTCTCGTAACACTTGCCATATATGGTTTAACATTAGTAGCCACAATGATACTCCAAACTCATCATATGGTTTGCTCTAAAATCTTTGGTTATCTTAGCTTCATCTTAGGAGCTTTTTGTTCGATCTTACTATTTTCGATCTTGCTCCCACGCTGGTTTATATTCATCATCGGGGTTCTAATGTGCTTGTTTTCGACAATATCCATACTTGAACACGTCTACAATCAGCTTCGTGAAAGAACGACAAATACAATTCTCTGTTTGTTGGAGATATTTGCAAAGTTTTTTATGATGGGATGCGGATTGATGGAAGAGCAACGTTTCCTCGGTTGATTACCTGTGTCATTAAATCAGTGTCTTGATTTATCAGGTATCTTTCAGGATTTGGAAGTGTTATGGTTGTAAATTTATAGGATATGTATGGTTTGATAATAGAGTTATATGATATGCTTATTTTGGAAATGTACTCACATTATCCCTGAGGACAAAGATATTAGGTTTGAACTTTCATATAAGTGTTCTGCCATTGTTATTTATAACACAATGTTAGACTATGTAATGTTGCAAATGTTGGATATTATATTTGAAAAGGCTTCTGAATTAAGCCTCTTTTTTTTTTATTTTAAACTAGGCCAAACTTTACTTTACCACCTCCATGTGTTATGCTCAAAATGCACTTTACCTCCCTGAATTTTAAAAATGTCCAAATAACCCTCCTATAATTTGTGGACTAAATAACAATGCCAAGTCAATTAACAAAAAATCTAAAATGACCTTCCTAACCATCTTTCTCCTTCTTCAACCTCTGTACACTCTCACCCCTTCTCTAGCAGACCTATCTACAACTTTTCGCCATTCTCTCTCTAAAACCCACCACCATCGACCATGAAGGATGGCACAACANGGTGGTGGGTTTTAGAGAGAGAATGACGAGAAGTTGTAGATAGGTTGCTAGAGAAGGGGTGAGAGTGTACAGAGGTTGAAGGAGAAAGATGGGTAGAAAGGTCATTTTAGATTTTCTGTTAACATTGTTATTTAGTCCACAAATTATATGAGGGTTATTTGGACATTCTTAAAATTCAGGGAGGTAAAGTGCATTTTGAGCGTAACTAACACATGGAGGTAGTAAAGTCAAGTTTGGCCTAGTGTAAAATAAAAAAGGAGGCTTAAATCAGAAGCCTTTTCAAATATAATATCCAACATTTGCAACATTACATAGTCTAACATTGTGTTACAAATAACAACAGCAGAAGAACACTTATATGAAAGTTCAAATAGAATCTCTCTGTCCTCGCAGATAATGTGAGTACATTTCCAAAATAAGCATATCATATAACTCAATTTGGATACATAGTCTACATTGTGTTACAAATAACAATAGCAGAAGAGTACTATGAAAGTTCAAATAGAATCTCTCTGTCCTCGCAGATAATGTGAGTACATTTCCAAAATAAATATATCATATAACTCTATTACCAAACCATACATATCCTATGATATGACAAAGAAAGTTATCAAATGTGCAATACTAATCCCTATAATGAACAGAGCAAATAAGTATATATAGAGATTGTAACCTTTCAGCTTGAAGAAACGTTGGAAGTGCAGCATGGCTTCTATTATGATCAACCAGTCCAGAGGCCCTCATTTTCTCCTTCAAGCACCTCAAATGTATTGCACTAGTACTAAATTTTAAGAAAATACCATCTCTTTATATCCATCCAAAAAAAAACTTGACGACCGAGGGTTCGGAGATTATAAGTCAAAACAGATTTGTCATTTTAAAATCTTGGGTTGAGGGTAGTTTTACTAAATCTTGGTAAATCTCTTTCGTCATTTTAAATCCAAGATTGCAATGTTGATGGAGACACTCAAGACTGTATTTACCTTTACACACACACACTAAATCTTGGTAAATCTCTTTCGTCATTTTACTGACATAATAATGTAATTTCAGTGGAATCATTAGATTAATATCAAATTTTAATATTTGATGAGACCCACAATCAATTTAAAGGTCATAATAAATTAAGTTAACAAATTAAATCAAATTTTTAGATCTTAATAACACTAGTCATTTTATAATGATGCTATGGTTTTCAACCATCAATTTTTTTTGATGCATTCAAAAATTAAAAGACCTAATTTAAATAGAATACTTAGGATAAAACAAGTTAGCCATATCAAGTGAGAGAGAGAGAGAGAGAGAGAGAGAGAGAGTGGTGGAAGGAATCACACTATCAAGTTAATTGCCTATCGAGTTAATTATCAGAAACATAAACTTTGACATAATGGAATCACACTATTATTAGTCAAAAACAGATGGAGACGTCTCATCAGTGGATGCTATTGCAATATTGGTTTGGCGTCTCCTCATGGAATATGGTGATTCATACATACTGATTACACTCGTTGTTCGAAACTCCAACAACCACTACCCCTTTTGTCAAATATCCTTATAACTGATATGGCTAACTTGTTTTATATTAAAGGACAAAATAAGATATATTAAAAAAAAATTAGGACTACATAAATATATGAATATATATTAAAACAAAAAAAAATTGGAAGAAAAAAAATTCTAGTCTTTGTGCACCAAAACTCCCATTTAGACTTACCAAATTTCCAGGAAATTCTTTGCTGTTTTTCCTTTTCCTCTTTTAACCTTCTTTATTGGCCTAGTGGGACCTTTTTGGGCAAAGGCAGAAGATTCAATCCATGGTCTGATGCTGTCTATTCACATGATGGTAGTGCAGCTGTTTCGTATAAATACATGATGAGAGTTCTTACCGTCCTTCATATGCCAAGGCCTCAAGCATATTTGCTATTGAAGAGAAAATGAGTGCCCCAGGAGTGGTGGATGATAATAGAAGCCATGCAGCAATTCCAATGTTTCTTCATGCTGAAAGGTTAGTTTTACTAGTAACAATCTCTATATATACTTCTTTGCTCTGCTCATCATAGGGATTAGTACTGCACATTTGTTAACTTTCTCTGTCATATTTTAACTTCCCGACCCGCATCATGCAATATTGTTTGTCTCTTGCTTAGATATGCACAAACAAATTTCACGCATGTAAAACCCTCTCGTGTTGACTCAAATCAAACGATTGCTTAATGAAGTTTTTGTTAAGTGCTTTAGGTTGTCCTTTTAAAGTTGTGTAAACCAAGCCTAATGTGAAAAATGTTGAACAATATGGATCCGGGGTGTACCAAATGAATGGTAAGTTCTGCCATCTCACCAAAGTCTACGTGAAAGTTTGTGTTTCTGGTAACTGACTTGATAAACAATTAAATCTTCAAAAGGAGTTGCAATCTGGGCTTGCAATGCCTTATGCGGCTCTGCCTTATGGAAATAATTAGTCCTTTCCACTTGAAAATGACCTCTCTTTTTCTTTTTCATCCTTAAAATTGTTTGAATCTTTTATCAATTAGTTTCAGAGAAAAAAAGTAAAGTTTAGTTATCAACAAAAATGTTAAAGCAATCATCAACTTTAAAGTTGACAAAAAAAAAAAAAAATCAACTTTGAAGATGTACAGTGGTGGTTATATGTCGCAAAGAACAAATAAATGGGAGGGATGTGGGTTTATCGATCAAAGACAAATTACACTTTGTACCTTAATAAATTTTAAAATTCTTAATTTATATTCTCGATGATTAATTTTTCACATTACATTCAACGATATTAATAAATAGTTGCAAGGATGCCCTCACATTAACTTCTGTTACAACTTCCGTCAAATTGGTTATGTGGCCCTCACACTAAATGTAGTTAAATTTGACAAAAATGACGATGAATATTAATGTGATGACGTGGTATAATTGTTATATTCAATATTTTCTCTTAAAATAGACCATGATATCTCCACATTACATAAATAAAAACGAGATGTCAATTTGGATTTTATTTCTTAGAAATGATAAAATCTAACCAATTTCATTTCTTTGCCGCGTAGTACAAGGGTTCAAGAATCCATTTCAGCCACCTCATGCCATGTTGTGTTCGGCTTCTTAATTGCATCACTGATCGGCCTCATCCAACTGAAGTATCAGAATAAAACTGTCTCCCTTCGAAACACACGAAAGAACCATGGACACATTTCTAGTAACACTTGCCATATATGGTTTAACATTAGTAGCCACAATGATATTCCAAACTCATCATATGGTTTGCTCTAAAATCTTTGGTTATCTTAGCTTCATCTTAGGAGCTTTTTGTTCGATCTTACTATTTTCGATCTTGCTCCCACGCTGGTTTATATTCATCATCGGGGTTCTAATGTGCTTGTTTT